ATATATATATATATATATATATATATATATATATATAGTGTTTCACATCTGCTCTTTGTTTGGTCGCAGCAACGCCTCAGCCTGATTTGCAACGCGTGCGCAGTAAAGGCGAATATAAAGAGAGAAGAATTTTCACAACGTCTTTTTTCTGTACGTTCACATCATCAAGGCCGGAAATTACCTGCCGTGACGCAAACGAGCTCAAATCGATAGCTAGTTACAAAGGAAGGTAAGAGTCTCGCTGCTACTGCGAAGAGGCTCTCTCCCCCAAAAGGAAAAGAACACTAGGGCAGCCCCGCAGCGGGGCCTGTGCATCCTTTCTTTGCTTGAAAGGAAAGCATTCGTGCTGTAGGTTTCAACGATACTCCAGTGTTACTCACAAACGGCGCATTTACAAGACAGTGTTTTCAATCGAGGCTTCAAAAAACAACAACAACAACAACAATGATGCTTTTCATAGATGCCTATTCCAGATGAGTTCCCTCGACCTACCCTGCTTCTCTTCCCATTTCCGATTTTTTCCTTCTTGTGCCCGTATTCACGCGGAATTCCTTCCTATCATTACAGCTAAATTATCAGTATACGCATGCGCGTAGAAGGGCAAGAGCGAGAAGCGAAGAGGTAAAAACAATACATACACGCACACACACAGACGCTCTCGCTAGTCAGCAATTCTGGTGTTTGAGACGTGTTTGGCTGTCACCACTGTGGCTCAACTCTACTTCAAAACACATACAAAGACCCGCACAGTCTCTTTTTAAAGTGTTTCTACTCTGCTTATCTTTATTGTCTCACGTGTTGTTCTTTATCTTCCTCCCACACGTAGACGACGACGTCGGTGCCTCCGCGTGTGCTTGCGTGTGCTTGCATGTGTTTTCACGTGTGTGTATGTGTACGCCCGTGTAGGTCTCTCCACCCAACCCAATGGGTTCCGCGGTGTCCCTCAAAAACTCCGACGGCAGAGAACAAACAAGAGCGCTACCGCCCACCCGCGGGTCGGAGCGCGGCTCCGGTCCCAACTCCTCCTTGCTGAGAACACAGCCGTCCCTTCACGAGTCCGCGACGAATCGTCCGGCAAACCGAAGCGAAAGCCCCCAAATGGTGCCCCTCCCGAACCGCGGCGCGTCCTCGGTGTCGTCCTTCCCCTCCTCTATCAGTTTTCTGGAGCACGTGCCCCCGGTGGTCGCATCGTTCCCAGCTAGAGCCACGTCCATGTACGCGGCCTGGCAGCGTGCCCACAACGCAGGCGTGCGTCCCGGCCTCGAACCTCGCAGAAGCGAAAGCGTCGCAGCCGTGGAGGTCGCAAGCACCACCCTGGCAAACCGTGAAAGCAAAGATGCTCAACCATCCTCCAGCTCCACCGACGACGGCGACACCGTGCCACGTGTCGAGGAGCAGGAGGTGATGGCTGCTGCCCTCATGAAGCCGTATCACACCATCTGCCGCAAGTTCAGCAGCGCCAGCAACGGCAAACGAGTAGTGTCCGCCTCGTCTGCCTCGCGAACGGTTGACCGCCTCACGTACACCGAGGAGGTCGAGGATGGCGGCGGGGAGACCACCGCGTTCACCAAGCCGAATTCATGGGCGGGGTCTCCATATCTAAAGAGCGTAGAGTTTTCGAATCCGCTGCCAGGGGTGTCCAGGGTGGTGGCGGAGAGCTACCCTGCCCAGTGGATCCCTTCCATCACACCGTGCTTTGACGAGGGGCTTCTCTACCGCATCGAGTGGCGGAGGCAGGGCCACCAGAAGCTTCCGGGCGAAACAGGCGGCTACGCGTACGTGGTGTGGTGCTTCCACAACATCACGGCGTGCTATGAAATGGAGATCGAGGTGACGTTTGAGGTGCCGCCTGGGCTGATGACGGCACCAATACGTGGCTGGGGCGAGACAAAGATGTCGTGGACGGACGTGGACACCCCTGATGGGTCCCCCACAACCGAGCAATCTTTCTTGAGCGCACATGCGCTCTGCCCTCCGTTGCGCACGATCGGATTCGTGATCGGTCGCGCCGGCGCTTTCCAAACGTCAATCCGCGGCATTCCTGTCCCTGCAGCGCAGACCGCTGGAAAGCTCCTCTCCACCTCCAACTCTGACACCAAATCCGATGAGGTGCATCGCTCGCTCTCCAGCGAGGAAAGCCTTCGACGCGCGTTGAAGGAGTGGCGCCGCTTTGTTGACCCCGAATTCCCACCAAACATTTCGTCTCTGCAAGGACGCACGCCGGGCCTTTCATCCTCCTCCTCGTCGTCGGCCGCCACGGCGTCGGCTGCGACGCAGACAACCGTGCGGTGGCTGCGCACGTCGGACATCGTCGCGCGGCTCTTCAGCCCCACCTGCGCCCACCTGGTTCACATGCAACCGTTGCTGACACCCATTATCGATCCTCTCTCCATCGAGCCGGGTGAGCTCGGTGACAGCTGGCTGGTCGGGGCGATGGCCGCCGTCGCCGAACACCCCGGCGTTCTGCTGCGCATGTTCCGTCACCCGCGGTCGTCTGAGCACGCGAAGATCGAGCGGGCCCTTGGCGCCTTCCGCGTGACGCTGAACGTGCAGGGCTGGTGGCGCAGTGTCGTGGTCGACGACCTCCTCCCTGTCACGAGCGGCAACTACCCCCAATACGCCCACAGCAACCGCGACGTGAGGGAGCTGTGGATGGGAATGCTGGAGAAGGCATTCGCAAAGGTGCGCGGCGGCTACGCGAACATCGTCGCAGGCGATCCCCTCGACGCGCTGCGTGTGCTGACGGGGTGGCCGTGCGCGCGGTACGACATCGCCAACTTTAAAGGCATTGCGGCCGCCTCGTCTGCCTTTGCGTCGCGTCTGCTTGGGTACGACCGGCATGGACTGCAAATCATCTTTCACACCGCCCCACAGCTGTCTGCCCCGACTTGGGAAAGGGGCTACGGCGGTGGCGCCGCCTCCCTCTCGGACGCTTCCTTGTCCCTCGACGATGACGACTACCGGGGCAGCGGTGGCGGCAACGGCCTGGTGCCTGGAATGGTGTACACCGTCGTGAAGATTCTGCAGTTCAGTACGAGTCCGTTCCGGGCGGAGCTCACGCTGCTGCAGGTGCGCAACACCTGGGGCGACGTCGCGGCATGGAAGGGAAAGTGGCGGTGCGGCAGTCCGCGCTGGGCGCAGTGGCCGCGGGTGGCCGAGGCGTGTCGCATGCCGCTTCACACGACGCACGACCTACCAGAGGCGTGGAAGGAAGATACAGGAAAGAGCGAGGGGGACGGCGTGGTGTCGGGCAGCGCTGCGCCTACCGAGTGCGCCTGCCGTCGAGAGAAGTACATTTGGCTGGAGTGGAGCGAGGTGTACCGATACTTCTCCGGGTGTGGGGTGATGTTTCGCCTGGCGCTGCACCACGACTACCGTGTGCAAGGCGCCTTTGAGGGCGTGCGGCCCTCCGTCTGCCTGCGTGTCACGGTGACGAATGGCAGTTTCGTGGGCGTTACGCTGTCGATGCAGGGCACCGGAAGGGGGAAGGAGGGGGCGCCGAGGATGGATAACGACGTCGACGATGATGGCGCCGCGAGCGCGCACCCGCCCATCATGGTCAGCCTAGCCCGGGAGCAGGCGAACGCACTGCGCATCGTGCGCAACTCGCAGCTGGATCCGGACAACCCAACCCCGCTCTTCACCTTCATGCAAGTGAGTGAGGTCAGCTTCCTCTACTTGTTGACGCCGGAGGAGTCGCCTTACTGGGTGATCCCGCGCATGTTGGCCACCGACGCGAGCACGCCCCTCCCCGGCGCAGCCACACCCGCCGTGCGCCGTCCCTACGTGCTGGGCTACTTCCAGAAGGGTGCGGTGGGCGTGCGAGATGGGCCGCGGGTGGAGTTTGTGCAGCTGCCCGCCACCTCCCCTGCGTTTCAAAACAGCACGTGCTTTTCTCTCGGCGACGATGTTAAACCAGTCAGTGCGACGTTTCAGGTGAGGCCGCCACAGGCGGGATTTCCGAGCACTTACGTGCACACAGAGGTGTCGGAGGAGGCCGGCATTCGTGCCGGCGACGACTTTGATACAGCAGCGGGGTACATGTAGACACGTTTGCTCTGCGGTTGCCTCGTTTTTCTCTTCTTTTCTTTTCTCTCACAAAAAGGCACTCAGCAACAGGTGGTCTCGAATGACACAGGACGAGAGTGTGCGAGAAATCGGCCAATGAACCCTTTCAGCAGCACGGAATACCCCCAAAAGGGATGTTCGCAAACCACATCGTCGTTCAGCTGCGCACAGAGGATGGAACTCTTCGAAAACGTCACCGCTTCCTCACTTCCGACTGCGCGGTGTCTTGTTATTCCTTCGCCCTGTGTTGGACTCACATCGTGTGTGCTAATCCGGTCACCTGTTCTTCATTTGTTCCCCTCTCAGCGTCGTTTATCGAACGCATTTTTCTCACCGTTCAAATTATCATAAGAAGCGCACGCGCAACCGGGAGGCAGCTGTGATGACAAGTTTAGAGTTTTCTTGTAGCAGCCTACTATCTGATGTGAATATGTGCCGTGCTCACGTGTTTGTAATGGCCCAACATTTTTCTTTCTTCTTTCCGACGTCGCCTTGAAATTGTGTTTTTTTTTCCTTCGTTCTTCTTCTGCCTGCTACTTTCGTTTGTGACACTTTGGCCATTTACCTTTCTACAGTCATGCATCGAACTTTTTTTTTTAATGATCCCGTTTAACTTTTAACGCCACATAGGTTAGTGATAAGTATGGTAAAATTCGTCTAGGATTTCTTCTCTTTTTTGCTGAAAAGCTACGCCGCTTTCGTCTTGTCCGTACTCCTCAGATGGGGACTCGGTGTTTAAGTGGGGCGATCTTCAGCGTTTCTAGCGCGTCTTTAGCGTTGCAGGAGTGTCCAATGTGCATGCGGAGCTCACCACGCGCCTGCCGTATTCTTGGCGGCCAACTTTTGCTTATCTTTCTTTGTCTCACTTCCTCCTCTCCCTTTTAACTGGTTTCTCTGAAATGATTCATCCATGCACATACGCACGTCGCAATGACTCCCCATACCTGTGCCTCTGCGAAAGAGTCCTCACTAACCCTCGCTCTCCTCCTTTTTGCAAGAGAGCACACATCTACACAGTCCGCTCCTTCTGCTTGAGTTTTCTCTTTTCTCGCTGTGGGAGTTGAACACGACACCGTCTTGTACGCGCTCTTTTTTTGCCAGCACCTCGTTCTCGCTTCCTAGTCGTTCTTCCACCCGTGTGTCCTGCCACTCTACTCTCCACTCTATCTTGGCACTGTTGTGTTCTTCATCGCCACCCCGCAGACATTCCCCGTGTGCGGCCACTTTTCCTTTGGGTCCATCTTTTGTTTGTTCTCTTCGCATCTCATTCAATAGTATTTAACTTCCAGGGCGGGGCAATCATGGGCAGCTGCAACTCGAGCTCGGGCACCGCGGACCAAGACCCGACGAAAGGATACATGTACGTGAAGCCCGACGCACGCGGCACGAAGGAGGCCCTCTTCGGTGGTCTGCTGTACCGCTACTCCGACGAGGAGCAGGGTCGCTGGACCTTTTACAACAACTCGAAGGATTACGAGTTCCATATCAAGTACCTCTTTGGCGCAGACAGCCGACTGGAAGCGTTAAGCGACTCCACGTTGGAGGTACAGGATGACGGTATCCTTGTCGAAATGGTGCTCTACCCGCTGGAGACGAAAAAATTTGTGCAGGGCACCATCGACGGCTACGAGAGCAAGTTGGAGGCGCTTCCGCTGACGGAGGAGTACTTCGCGCAGCACCCGGAGTTGAATGAGGCGGAGTACTACCGACGTCTTGAAGCACCAAAGAGCAGCAGGTTCTAACAGTGTGCGCAAGCTCACACACGTATGGATCATTTTAGCTGATGTAAGTAGTGTCGGCGAAAGGACGATGCATTTTCCTTTTCTTGTTTTTCCCCGTATTTAGAGTTTCATTTGGTTTTCTTTTCTCGGTGTATTGCTGGTGGTTCACCTTGTTTCGTCCGAGTATAAGGAAGCTCTTTCCCTTTTGTTTCTGTGAGAAGAGGGAGGAAAGTCCAGATGATCTATTTAGCTTCCCAGACCTCAGTGCGTGCGTTTTTTTACTTATGCCTATGTGCTCATTGTTTTCAACTATATTTATGGTAAATGTACCTGTTTCTTTTTTCAATGAATGCCTGAGTAACCGTTGAGAAAAAACGGAAGGATTGCCGACGCGAAATTGAGTTCTCTTCTGCGCCAATCACGAAGAGCTGTGTCATCGTTTTTCTCCTTCTCCCTTCTAATCACCATCTCAGCGTTCGCGCAGTTCTCCGTAAACTCTTTTCTTCTGTTGTGCTTTGCTTTTACTTCTCTTTCCTGTCTTCTGCTTTGTTTCACGGTTGTGCACACCGAAACAGTGAAGCAGATCTCGCCGAAGATGTTCCCTGTTTATAGAAATTTCTGCTTCAACAGCGCACTGTAATGAAACCGTTGTTTATGATTTAGTACATAAATACGTTTTTTTTTTTAAATGGTGTATGTGTGCGTGTGTGTTTGTGTTGAGTGCGTTGCGGATTCAGCTGTTCTGTTTTTCATTTTGAAATTGACACATTCGAATACAGGTTGCTGAAGCAAAAGATGTGCAAGCCTTATTTTTCTTCCGGGGTTTTCAGTTGATGTACTGCACGCGGCGCGAGAACAGCATGTACTTTACAACGGAGAAGCGCTGATCCTTGGCGACGTTGCATGTAAATAAGATTGTATATTGTTTCTCTTCTCTCTCTCTTTTTCTTCTTGCGTTCGCTGGTGTTGTGTCGTTCTTTCCCTAACGATGGCTTCCTCCCTTTTAGAAAACACTCTGGTTGCTGCCCCCTTCCCTCCCCTCCGTTCTGTTGCGGCACCATGGTTTGCCGGAGGGGATAAAATGTGTACGAGGGGAAATAGGGAAGAGACACTCATCAAATGTATGTGCGTTGAGTGATTTTTTTTTTAAAATTTGCTTTTTTTTGGTTTGCTCCGTTGGGCTTTCTTTCTCATGCCGTTCGCGTTGCATAAGGACCTCAGGCAAAGGCACTCAGGTAGTAGAGGAAAGCATGAGGAGAAGGGCAAGTCGCACCCGCGGCGCGTTGTTAGACGATGGAGTTTTTTGGACTCACTAAAAGCGCTCTTCTTTTTCTGGGTTTCTTTTCGGACAAAGCGATACGGAGAAGAAAAAACTGAGGTTTTCTGTGCCTGGATTTTTCGAGGTGCTGGTAAAGAACCACAAACAGGTTTCATTTTTTCACTGCTTTTCCTGTTCACCACGCAGCTTCGTGGCTGTGTGGTGCAAAGCGAGGTTTTTATCTGTCATGTAGCCAAAGTATTTGATGGATACCCCGCCTTTCGTACCTCCTTGCGTATCCCTTCGCCACCACAACCCCCAACGAAATGAACGGGTCCACAGCAGCTCTAATTGCCCATTTATCATTTTTTTCTTTTCATTCAGTTACCGCCCGTTTTCCTTCTCCCTTCTGCCTCGACTCCCAATCGCCGTTTTCTCTCTCTCACACATCGAATTCGCCGTACACACATCACCGCCACAGCAAAAAGCCGCACTGTTTGAACGCATTCGTATCTCTTGCCTTTCAGCTACTTCGGCGGCACTCGCTTCGTTCATTTTTGCCTTTGCCTTCTTGTGGAAGATATTTTCCATACTTTCCGTTTCTCTTCCCCTGCTATTTTCACAGCGATGGGCTCTGGGAAATCCAAGGAGGCTGGCACGACGCCGGTCAAGTTCAAGAACGGCAAGCCGACGGTGAACGGAAACCGGATCTATCCGATGTTCTCGAATTACCTCTTCCGCATAGCTGACACCGACTCCAAGCGGTGGGCCTTCTACAACGACAGCAAAGACCTGATCATTCACGTAGCGGTGCTCTTCGATTACGACTCGCAGATCGTGCCCCTGGGCGACACCACCGCCTTCCGCATTGACGACCCAGAGGAAGGCAACGAAGATGACTTTGGCAAGTATCTGTGCGAAGTGGATCTGCGTCCCGGAGAGACACAGCTGTTCGTGGAGGGCACAGTGACCGGCTGGCGTGTCGACACCCTCGAGGCCCGCACGGCGGAGGACGAGCGTGAGTATCGTCTCTGAGGTGGCCGCTAATACTCCTGTTCTAATGATAGACACCACGAAAGACGAGAAGCACGTATCTCACAGCTGTAGAGGCCGTGCCTAAAAGGAAAGGAAAATATGTCCTGCTGTGCTTCACGTCAATCATCAGGTTTTTATTTTTGTTGCCACCTCTCATTTTTCCATCTGTTTCCCTTCGCTTTATGTTTCCTTCGCATTATTTTCATGTTCATTCTAATTTCATTGTTTTCTTTTGCTCTGTTTCTCTCTCTGTTACTGCGTTTTACAGTCATCTCCTACTCCGTGAAGTGTGTGTTACGGACTCTTCTGTTTTTCCTTCAGCTTTTACCTCATGTTTTTATTTTTTCTTTTCTCTTTTTTTCTGTTGTGGCCACGGTGGGTTTCATCGGTGGCTTAGATTCGTTTTCTCCTTACCCACGGAGAGCAACTTCCGAACATTTGTGTGTAGATCAGTATGAAGTGCAGCTCCGCAATGTACTTCGATGTGCATCCTTCTCTATCTGATTTTTTTCCTTTCCGTTACGCGCTTCAGCTCCGTAGGTTTGTTGGTGATTGCTTGTTCTCTCCGCTGCTTTTCTTTTTTTTTTCTTTCTTTCTGTTCACGATGTACAAGGCAGCGTTGTCTCTGAGAGGGGGAGAGCGTTTGGGAGGGGCAGAGGAGGAGGCGAAAGCCAGTACGAGGGATTTGAGCCAGCCAATTTGCAAAATTTATATGCGTGATCGTCAATTATTTCGGCGAGAACCCCCTTTTTCTTTTCTTGGTTGCTGCTCGAATTCTCTTTCTGTCTGAATCAACTTCTCTAAACCGCGTTGGTGTTGAATTTTTGTTTTTCTTCTTGGCGTAAGTGTACGAGTTTCGTGCACGCTTCTGCAATGTTGGTCTTCTTTTCCGTTGCCAGCGAAGCGCTTGTTGCCGGAGATGGCTGTGGCACCGTTTCTGCTTCGCTGCTGCGATCTGGCGTGTGTGTGTGTTTGCTTTGAAGCGTGGTTTTCAGTGTATAGTTGCCGCCCTCTTTTTGTTTTTAAATTGGCTTGAACCCGAAGACGAGGAGGGAGGAGAGCTGGGGGAGGAGCGAGATGCAAGCTCTCTACACGCCTTGCTTTACCTGCCTGCTGTTGTTGACGGATCTCTTGCACCTCCGACTTTCCCAAAGTGATAGTTTCTTTACGTTTTCTCCTTTCCCTTTAACAAAAAAATATATATTATTACGTGCGTGTGTTTTTCAAATCCTTTTTTTTTTGCCTTTCGCGTACCTTGAAGCGCACGTCGTCCCTCATCTCGCTCCAAGAGCTGTCAAGAAGAACTCCATCGATATATACATATATATATAACAAAGCGTCATGTTGTGAAAAGAAGAAAGCGATGACGGTCAGATAACTGTTACTGGGTGTCCTACCCTGGCCGTTGTGATGTAAAAAACAAACAAATTGTAGTCAACACCACTGCTCTGTCCTTGACACGCGCTCCTTCTTTTCCTTGTCAAAGTTTATTTTGCAATGGAGATGCCGCTTTCGGCATCCTCTGAGCAGGCCTTCAACACGAGTCTATCGAAGAGCGCCGAGCATCTTGTCGCATGGACTGATCCAAGTGCATGGGTATTCGTTCATTTGACAAACGTCAACGGGGTCCGGGTTGCGTCGTTTGGCCGGACAAACAGTGAAGACAGAGTCCATCAATGCGTACTGTCCTTGCTTTCAGTGTGCACTTCCTTTACCATCGATCTTTCCTTTCGCTCGTCCTTTTCGTCCCTTTCTGCTTTACAACACATTCGTAGGTTACTTGTGGCAACTCTGACTCGACGCATCGCCGCTGTCGAAGAAGAGGAAAGAAAAAAATTTCGGTGCCGCGACGTCTTCCGCACAAATAGAGCGCTAGGTTGTTGCACAGCAAAGCGAAGCGAAGCTGTTCGATTCTTTCCCTTTTCGAGGGGTGCTTCCGCGCTCCATTTTCTTTCGTTCTGTGGGGGCGGCCCACCACGGGAAATGCGTTGTCCCGGTCCAGCCGTACACACGGAAGATTTGTTCTTTTCCACGTAAGCAGGACACAGTGGCCATTCGTGTTTTCCTTTTCCAGTTTGTCCCACATTATTGAGCTCGGTACCTCCTTTACTCCTAACGGCAGGGTCGTACCGGCACTTTCCTCACGTGCTGTTTCGTATCCTTTTTTTTTCTGTTTTTCCTTCTCAAGCGCAAGCACCTATTGCAACTCGGCCCGTTTTTTCTGTTGGTTTTGCTGATCTTTGCTGGAGTCCACTCATTCTCCTCTCCTTGCATGATGCACCTTCTGCTGTCGAAAGGAAAATAATAATAAAAGAAAGCACGTACATTTCCAGTGTGTTATTATCTCTCTCGTTTGTTGTCGTTTCGTTTGTAAGAATATATATATATGTATGTATATATGTTGCTTAGCGTATACATTTATTATTATCATTTCTTCTCTGTTTTCTTGTGTTACTTCAGTTCGGATTTTCTCTTTTGTACCACCGAGTGTGACGCGTTCCGGCCAATCCTTTATTCTTTTCTCTCCCGTTATTTCCACCTTACATCTCGAAACAAAAGCGTTAGAGATATTGCACCCCTTCCCCTTTCATTTTGTCCCCCAAACGGTGGAGTACCGAATGCCTTAAAGGCCTCACCTCTGCAAACTGAGCTATGCTTATCTAAAGGAAGGAAATAGAAGAAACACATACAGCCGCATCGTTCATGGAAGCATTTCAGACGTCTGCGTACTTTCGCAATGGAGGCGGTGTCATCTCGCTCCTCTCCGTGCCCGACTTGGAGTCGCTGGATGAAATCCAGGATGGCGATGTACAGGATTTGCTGCAACTGATGGTGCCCAACGCGCAGGGCGGCGGGGATGCCGAGGCGAGCCCTACTTCGACGTCGCGGCCGCTGCAGGGGCCCACCGCGGACCCGGCGCCACTTTACCCGAGCCCGTCAACGATGTCCAGCAGCAGCAGCAACACCAGCGTCGCCATCGCACTGCCACCCCGCAGCAGCGGCTCCGCACGGCGCGACCCGGTGCGGTCGTCCATCACAGCCGAGTTTGGCGGCACGCTGTCGCCGCCCGTGCCGACCACGTTTTCTCCGTCCAGGCAGACACGCCCCACGGCGGCCGCCCGGGCAGGGGTGAACATTCCTCCGTCTCCGCCCTCTGCGTCTGCGTGCGCCGCCCCTCCCGCACTCCTACACGTCTCCGACACGGCAGTGCTGGAGGCGGAACAGCGGCGGTGGGGCTCACAGCTCGTGCAGGAGTGCTGGATGCATCAGGAGCTGCACAACGTCCGCTGGAACGAGCAGCGGCTGCTGAAGCACGGCGCCGCCTACCGCCCTCGTGCCATCGCCGCACGAACCGCCGTGAAGATGACGCACACGAAGAGCCTGTGCATCGTCCTCAACGTGGACGTCGCAATCATTGAAAACGCCGGCGAGGCGCAGGTTGCGGGTGATGGCGATGAGGGCTCGTCCGAGGAGGCGCACATGCCCTCGCTGAGTTCCCCCGAGGCAGAGGCGTGGTCGCCGCTGCTGATGTGGCGCTCGCCAGCTCTGACCCCTGGTGACGCGCCGACGGTGCTGTCGCAGCTCTCGGAGTGCTTAGGGGAGCAGTACGAGGGGCTGGCCCCACGCCCGCTGCCGACGTCGTGCTGCGCAAACGCGCGGCCGTCCGACCTCGTGCAGACGCTCAGCGACGCCCGCAAGGACGCAGGGGAGGCCAAGGTCATCTTCCACTACCTGGCTCGTGGGGTGCCCGCGCCACGTGGGGGCAATTTGTACCTCACGAACTCCGCGTCCGGCGCGGGCGGCTACGCGGGGCCGCCGTACAGCAAGCTCTCGCTGGACACCTTCCGAAATCGTGTCGGCTTCCCGCTCGTCTTCATCGCGGACTGCGCCGAAGCACGCGAGATTCTCAACTACTACATTCGCATGTGCGAGGAGCAGCATCAGCAGCGGTACTTTACGTCGTCGCGCGAGTACCAGTTGGAGTCGAGCCGGCAGGTGAGTGCGGCGGAGCTGGACAACTTGGTGGATGTGCAGATGGGGACGGCGAGCGGGACGTTCGAGGGCGTCGGCAGCTGTGCCGATCTCTGCGCCGGCGACAACCTGCGCCGTGGCCGCGGCGTGGGCGTGATGGACGGCACACCGCCCGCCCAATGTGCGGTTCTGCAGGACTTTTACTTCATCGGCGCCAGTGGGAGCAGCACGATGGGGAGCAGCAGCGGAGCAGGTGGCAGCAGTCTGCGAGACAAGTCTGTTAGCGGTGGCGGCGTCGGCGGCGGCGGTGGAGGGTACGACGACTTCAACATCAACGCCGGCAACGTCGGGAGAGGCGGCTTCGCCGGTGGTGCGGGAGGAGGCCCGACGGGCCGGTCGGGTGCGAGCAGCGGGAATGCCGGTGCCCTCCGACACCACGTGCGGCTGCCATCCGACATCCTCACGAGCTGCCTCACAACCCCCCTGCGCATGGCCGTCCTGTGGTTTATTGCGGAGCGCCCGGAGCTGCAGGAGTTGCACCCCCTGCTGCTGCGTCTCTTCCCCGGTGCGCTGGGCGACAAGAAGACCCCGCTGGGCCAGCTGCAGTGGTACCTGCAAAGCATCATCGAGTGCATCGCGTGGTCAACCTTGTCGCTGCCCGAGTACTCCCGCCTCTTCCGCGAGGACGTCTACGTCGCCCCGCTCTTTCGCGGCTACATCTTGGCCGAGCGCATTATTGTGGGCGGGCTGGACGGCTGCCTCAGCGTGTACCCGCCGCTGGCCCCCACCCACTCGCACACGCTCTGGGGCACGTGGGACAACTTGGTGGAGCGGGCCTGCGTGTCCGTCCTGCGCGTCGTGCACCCGGCACCGCCGCGGTGCGCCAGCGTGTTGGAGTTCCGCGGCTGGCTGGATGAGCAGGTCACCTCGTGGAAGTACACCCGACCCGATCTGCTCGCGGTGCCCACCCCCCTCGCCGGCGCCCCCCTCTTCGGGGACGGCGGGCGGCACTCCTGCCTGCCGTCCACGCCCGACGAGTCCGCCGTGCGGATGCCGTCGCTCTTTGCGGAGTCGCTGCGTGGACTGCAGGCGCAGCTGGACGGCATCACGCAGCAGTCCTTCGAGCGTCCTCGCGTCTTCTTCGCGGAGATCGTCGGGTTACCGCTGCCAACGCCGTCCGCCTCCGCTGTGTGGGAGTCGGGGGGCGGCGTGGGCGCGGTCGAGGGCGAAAGGGGTCACCGGTCGCGCTGGTCGGCGCTGGCGTCGGGCCGCAGCGGGACAGGCGATCCTGCTGATCCGAAACGCCCGACGACGCTGCCGATGTTGCGCGACGTGGCGGATCGCTACTCCAACTCGCTTCGGTCGTCCTACCCCGCACAGCAGCGGCTGGACGAGGGTGCGTTTACGCCGGAGGGGACCCGCGGTTCCGGCAGCGTGCCCTCCACCACCGCTTCCATCGCCACCTCCATGGGCGAGTTGCGGGGCGGCAGCAGCGGCCGCGGTGGCAGAGCGGGCGGTACCTCTGAGGGAGGGAAGGCGCCGGCGAGGGACCGGGGTGTGTCGGGGCGGGCAGATGCGCGGGCCACGCTGCCAACAAGTCGCTATCAGCGTACTTCCCATGCGAACCTGATCGGACTGTCCACCTCGAAGTCGCCGGCGGCTCTTGCAGTCAACGGCGGCGGCGCCACGGCGGCCACCACCACCGTGGTACGGAGAGAGGCGCGGCGCAGTCCGAGTCGCCTCTCCGGTCGCCAGGCCGAATACGTCACAAACCTCTACACTAACCCCACCACCTATGGACAGGCCAGCTCCTTCCGGTACACGGCGGGCCTCAACCCGTCGAAGAGCAACCGCGACCTCTTCATTGGCTCCTCCACGTTTCCGTCGTCGTTGGCCGCCACAGCCGCCGCGGCGCAGCCGACTCAGCAGCACACCTTCCCCTTCATGGATCGAATGCCGCTGCTGCTGCAGGCGCTGCTGGTCGCCGCCCATCGCGAGAAGGCTACTGAACTCCTCTGCCGCCTCGTCGACTGCGGACCGGCCGCCGTGCTGCAGTGTGCCGAGGCAAACATCTACCGCTTCGTGCTCGACCGGTACTGGAGCCGGCCCGACCTGCGCTTCCTCATGCCGGCCACCATCTTTATTTACTGCAAGAGCTGCTACGCCGATCCAGAGCTGATCGGCAACCCGAAGCAACGCGACGTCGCTGTGCGGGCGTGTGCGGAAATTCTGCAGAGCCCGGTGGAGGTGCCGCCGCTGGCGTCGACGGCGGACATGGCGGTGGAGGGGGCCCCCGGTGCCTGGCAGAACGCCACGCTGGGCCCCTACGCCACGCCGTTCGGGCAGCGGATGCTGGCGGCGGCGCTGCTCACCCTCATCGCCCTGCACAGCGACGACGGACGTGAGGCGTGCCACCGCCACGGCGTGTTTCAGCTGTGCTGCCAGCTACTGCACCGCACCCGCGAAGAAGCACCGCTGCTGCTGATGAACAGCTTGGAGATGGCCGCGAGCGGGGTCGCCGCCGGTACTTCGCTGAGCCCGGCACCGCCCATGCCGCCGCTTCCCCGCCCGCCAAGCTCCATCCTGAACTCGAGCGTCTCCCTCTCCTCGCCTGTGCACGCCCCTAATCGCGCCACCGCTGCTGCACCGTCATCAATGGAGGAGCCTCCACCGCCCTCGTGCATTGCCACGACGTACCACGTGACGCTTCTCACCCTCTTCGTGTCGCTGCTGTGCAACTGGAAGCCATCTGCGACGGCCGCGGCGCCGCACGAGCGGGAGGGCGCCGAAGGAGCCGGCGAGGACGAAAGTGCCAAAGTTACGGAGTTATGCCCGCCGCTGGACGGCGAGGTGCACGAGTTGCCACCGACGTCGTCGCAGGTGCTTGCGGCTGGTCTGCGGACGGCGGCGCCGGCCTTGCTCAACTTCACCTACTCCGACACCTCCATCCTCCGCGGTGCGGCGCTGCGCTGTTTTATGATGGTGCTCATCTCCCCCGCACCGAGTGTGCAGTTGCGGAACAGCTACGTCGAGGTGGTACTGCGCTTCATTCAAGGCGAAACCTTCCACCGTAGCGAGCTGAACACGGACCTGCGGCTGGAGGAGCTCGGCATGGCCTACACCACATTTCGCTGGCTGCTCGGCCAGCTCCGCGAGGACCTCCCCATCGGAGAGATCGGACAGTACGTTGCCGTGTGGGTTTACAAGTGGTTTCGGCTGAATGCACTAGGAAAGGTGCTCGGGTCTCTCTTTACCGGATCTACTCAGGCAGGCGGCGCAAACGGACGCGGGGCCACTCAAATCAGTTCCTCACAGGCGCACCATCAGCAGCGTCCGCCGCAGCAACAGCAGCAGTCAGCCTCGTTTTATCAGTCATCGTCACGCAGCCAGTGGATGCCGCCGACGTCGATGTCGTACCGCGGGTCGAGCGTGGTCACACCGGGCTCTGTCTACTCCCATCGCGGCAGCAACGTGCTGGTCGCGGCTGCCCGGTCTGTCTACGGTGGCGGCGGGCCCACCGCACTCGACGCATCGGGTGGTGGTGGCGGGGCGGCGGGCAGTCTCGCGAATGCGATGGGCGGCTGTCTGCGGCAGCACCTCACGCAGCAGGACCACCGCCGTCTGCAGTCGTGCCTGCCGCCCCTCAGCGACATCGTCCGCCTCTTCTTTGAGCACACGCAAGACGCCTGCCCCTACATCCGCGCGTACGCCCGCAAGGTCGTCGCCGAGGAGTTCGGCTTCTTGCGTCAGTCGTGGTATGACGACTACGCCGTCCACGAGCTGCACCTCTCCCCGAGAGAGGAGGACCACAGCCACTACCACCACCCGAGTCACCGCCACCGCGGCTACGGCGCACGGATGGAGACGGTGCGGGAGGTGTACGTGAGCGGTGAGGCAGTGCACAGCGCACGCGGGGACGGTGGGCTCGGCGGCGTCGCCAGTGCCGATCCTCTGACCGCATCCTCGATGGACGGCGGAGGCGACTTGACCACGTACCTCCCACTGCGTGAGTTGCTGACCGCGGGGGAGGCGTTTGACGAGTTTCTAGGTGGTGGGGGAGGGGGAGGGAGCAACGGTCCTGCGCAACAGCTGGGCCACCACCGCTCCACCTCCTCCGTGGTACCCCCTGCCGCGGCTGTGACGGCCAATATGATGGCGGCCGATGCACACGCTGCCGCCGCCTCCACTTCTGCTCCTGCGCTGATGGCGACGGAGATGGACGACGTGGCCGATCCCCCGCCGGCGGTGCTGCGGCGCTTCATTGGACGGTTGCTGCGCATCGCCTCTACGAACGGCCCGGAGGCGACCGCGTCGCTCTCCCCGTTTCCACGCAGTACCTCGCGGCCCCACCTAGACGGCAGTGGACGGGACGGTGGGATGCGGACGAACGACGGTGGCGACGGTGGCGGCGTGATGGCTGACGATGTGGGGGACCGCGGCAGCGCGCGCTACTGGCGTCGGCGCCGCGACAACTTCGCGCGCTCCGGAAGTGACCGGGAGGGCGAGAGGCGCTACGCGGGGGAGAAAGAGGACGGCCGCCGTCACGGCAGCGCCGTGCATCGTCGCGTCGTGAGCAGCGAGCGCGGGCAGCGAGAGGGGGAGAAGGGCTACTACTCCTACGATGACTCGGTGGAGGAGGAGGAGGCTGAGGGAGAGCTGGACGATACGCTGCTCGACTCGGAAACCCTCGCGTTGCACCCGCTCTGGGCGATGGACAGCACCTCCATGACGAACTTCGCGTACGGTGCGTTGAGCTTCTTGGAGCGTTTCATGCTGGAAAAAATGGACGACAGCGACCCGCGTCATCCCATGAACCTGGAGAAAGGCAACGCCCTGCACCATTACTATCAACGGGTGGAGCGGAACATACGCGCCTTTGCGCAGGACGAAATGCCGAACGCAAGGACTGTTGTCGCTGCTGCTGCGGGCACCGGTGCGTGTGGTGGTGATGCGTCCGTGATGGCTGCGTGCGGCAAAGGGGAGATGAACGACGCAACGGCGGGCAGCAGCAGCAGCCGGACACTGCGCGGCGGTGCCGTCATGGCACCCGCGCCCTTTCACTGCCTCGGTGTGGGAGACATTGGCCAGGCCGGGATCCCTGGCTACGGCCCGCGCTGTGGCGGCTTACGTAGCCGCTACAGGGAACCCACCCTCGCCCTCCACTCTCGCCGCCGCAGCGGCCGCCCTGCCGAGTCGGTGGTGGAGGGCGGCGGCAGCGGTGAAGCGCGGGTGGGCGGCAACGTGGACGTGGTGCTCTTTCACCCCTCCGAGCCGCTCGTCATCACGTCGACCACGGGCGGGCTGCTGAGTGTGTGGTCATACGACCACTTGGGGTTGCCGACCACCGCCAAAGAAGAGGAGCGGGTGCGCAGTGAGGGCGGCGATAACAGCAGCAACAGCGACGAAGAAAGAGATGCGGAGGGGGAGGGTGGCGAGGGGAATGCGCAGGACGGGGAAGCAGCGGAGCCGCCCCATTTGCGGCAGCGCTCCGCCGTTAAGAGTGGCGCCAACCCCGCCCCGCTGCGGCCACTGCACGCCAAAGCGCAGTTCTTCCTGCGCGACGTGGTCGGCCGCAGCCACTCCGACCTCTACTACGTGGCGCGGCCGCGCTTCATGTACGACCGCTTCAACCCGAACGGGGCGGCGCCGGCGCTACGCGGGGCCGCAGGACGGCGACGGCCGATGCAGCGGGCCGACGCGGCGGTGCGGCGCGGTGGGCGGGAGCGGGAGACGCCTGGCTACCCCGGCCACTTCTACCGCCGTGACGAGATGGGCGGCGGGGGCGGGGGCAGTCGTGCCGGGGCCTGGATGGACCGCGCCGAGGCAGCCAACGCGATCGCGGCACTTCCCTCGTCCTATCAACACGGTCATCCCCACTACTACCACGGCGTCGGCGACTTGCACATCGTGGATGCGGCGCACCACCCATTGATTTGTGCGGTGCGCCGCTTTGGTGCGGTGGAGGTCTTCTCCCACTTCACGGACCGCCACCAGGTGCGACGGGTGGTCACGTTCGAGACGGCCCGCTTTGGCCAAAACGGAGGCGTGGATCAGTGTGTGTCGAGCTATCAGTCGTGCACCGGGCTGCTGTACGTGAGCAACGGCGAGGACGAGGTGAGTGCGTGGGACCTGGCCTCGCCACCCTCGGCACACTGACCAGCGCCGATTCGCTCTCGTCCGTGGGGTCCGGCAGCATCTCTGCGTTGAAGGCGAACCCGTACACGCCGTACGAATACCTTGTCGGCAGCTACGGCCGGCAGGTGTGCCTCTTCGACCTCCGCGATGGCAGCGGTGCGGCGCGGCTCGGCTACGCCCACCCGTCCTCGCAGTTTGCCTTCACCAGCGCCTCCCCGACGTCTCGCTACGCCACCAGCAGCCATCTGTCTCCTCTGTCCTCTCTGTGCGTGCGTGTGTGCTACTCCCGCCGGTACCCTGACGCGGTGGTGGCCGGCTACGCCTGCGGCACGGTGGCCGTGTGGGACCGCCGCTACCCAAAGCTGCCGAGTCTCCTCTTTGGTGCGACGCTGAACGGCGCGATGGCCGGAGACGGTGGTGGTGGAGGCGAGGGCGGAGATGGCTGGAGCCGGTCCGAGGCCGCTGGTGGGGGTGTCAACCCGTTGTCGATGGAGGGCAGCGCGCTGACGATGATCCGGCAGCTCGACGTGCACCCGTGCAGCAAGCGCTTCCTCACGCTGACGACGACGCCGACGGCGCTGCAGCTGGTGCAACCGTGTCGCGGTAGCGGCTACACTGTGGATGCCTCTTCGGAGAGAGCGGGGACGGGAGAGGGCAGTAGTAGTAATAGCAATAGCGTCGGTGCCGGTACTGCGACGAACCATCGTAACCGCACCGTCCCCCCGTATCAGCGCCGCCCTCCACCGGCGTGTGTGGTGCAAAACTACGACCTGGCGACGGACACGGCGGGTGACAACCGTGTTAGGGACGCCAGCGAGGAGGATCGGAGCTGCGAGCCTGGTGCGGCGTGCTTCCACGACTTTAGCCCCGTCTTCTGCGTCGGCACCGGCAGCTCCGTTCGTCTGTACGGCATGTCGCACCTCAGTACCATGGCCACGTACATGGACGTTGACCTCGCGTAGGGCACGCCACGCGTGGACGTTTCGCACTCCTTGTTGTTCTCTTTTTCGTTGTGCACCTTTCTTTCAGTTGTTTTTTGTAGAGGCCCCATAGAGAGTAGACGAGCCCCCGGTAAGCATGTTGACTCAGAGTAAAAGAACTGTCTTCGCAATGGATAGCTGGCCATCGTGCGAACGCTCGCCGAACACCCACACAGTCCTTGCGTTTCTCACACAAATTAGAAGAATTAAAAAAAAGAGAAACTCGTGAAACGCACCTGACGGGGGTTGCTGGGCAACTTGCATTGTTTCCAGCCAACGCGCAAGCACCACGAGGCAACGCTCTCCTGCTCTCTCGTCTTCTCCATTTGTCTCTTCCTGTCGTCCTCTCTTTCCGTTCGGAACGCACCACACCGCGCACACGCAGTTTTCTTTCCTTTTCCGGTTGGGCAAAAACGTTTACTGTTTCTACTGCTGTTTACTGTTTTTCAGCATCGAAATTCACTCTACTGAGAAGAAGAAAAAAACACCGCTTTTGACTTCCTGCGCGTGCTGTACACGAAGTAGCTTGACCTTCATCACGTCCGCAGCGTTTCAGCGCTCGCATCTGTACCTTTTTTGTTTCTTCTCTGTTACTTAGTACTCTCTACTTAGGTTACCAAAAAAAAGGTCCTTTTTGAACTGGCGTATTCGCTTGAGTTTGGGGCCGTCTTCTGTTGGACTTCCTCAGTTTTTTTTCTTTTCTTTCTAGCTCACTGCCTTGCCGTTGGGCAACGTTTATATCTACACCTCCCGCGAGGCACTCTGTGCAGCGAGTATCTTCGTCGTGTTGACGAGACCGCGCGTCTCGTTCTACTCGTTTTGCTTCCTCCTTTTGATTTTCCTTTCTTTACTTGTTGTATTGCCAACTCCGTGTAACTGTACTGTACCTTCTACCGTTTGGTTTGTCGCCTTCGACGAAGCTCACGGCTCACCAGATATCTGCCGCCTCCCCGATACACTTAAAACAAAGAAGAATAAGAGAGAATGGGCTGCAAGAACAGCACGACGAAGAGCGCCAACGACAGGAAGGCCGCACCCGCAGCGAATGCGCAGAAGCCGGCGAAGAAGCCCGCGGAGAAGCGGAGGGACGACGCGTCGGCTGCGGATGCCTCGCACATCACCGTCGACCCAACCCCGGCGGCGGTGACTTCCACCACGCCGACGCCGCCGGGGCCCGATGCGGTGAAGGAGGACGAAAAGAGGAAGGAGGAGAAGCCGAACGCACCGGCTGCGGAGGAAGAGGCGGAGAAGAAGCCCGAGGAGGAGGAGGAGACCCCTGCTGCTGCTGCTCACCCTGAAAGCCGACAAGAGGAGAAGGCGGCGGCAGCGTCGGCTCCTACGGCCGCAGCGGCTGTGAAGCCTCTTGATCAGGTGGCCACAGCCCCGGCGGAGGAAGCGGAGGAGGGGGAGGAGGACGCACCGTCCAACGAGCCCCGTTCCCGTCCCGCCGCCAGTCCCATCCACCAAGAGAGCCAGACGCAGCGCGTGCGAGACCCCAACTCGACCTACGATGGACCGGGGCCAGCGTCGATGTTCCCCATCGACAACATCTACCGCTGCTTTGACGAGGAAAAGGGTCTGCTCTTCCGCCTCGTCAACAAAAAGCGACACCTGTGGGCCTTCTACAACGACACGACGGAGTATCTGATGCGCGTGTCCGTCACCTTCGGTCCCGAGAGCTCCGTCACCCCCCTCGATGACACCGAGGCGACGATCGTGAACGCCGAGACGGGCGAGTGCACGTTGGTGCTCGAGGTTCCACCGGGTGCGACGAAGCAGTTCATGCGTGGCGAGTACAACGGCTTCACCACCTGCTACGACGCGACCCCGCTAGACAATTTCGAGGAGACCCCAGGGGCGCCGAGAGAGGAGCCGGTGGCGCAGCAGCGGTAAGTGGAGGCGGTTTAAGCAGGATGGCGACGTTGCGCTGATGGACCGCCTATGGACGGCGACGTGCGCGCCTCCGTTGTGGAGGCCAACCCGTGCATGGAGGGAGCCGGAGGATGACCGGAGAAAAAGGAAAAACAAAAACGAAGCGCGAGGAAGCGTAATTGTGGAAGGACGTTTGGCGTGCCGCCGCAGTGTCGCAGAGGGGTGTTTTCCCCCTCCTTCTTTTTTGTTTGGCTGTGCGGGATGCTGTTCGGAGATACTTGAAATTGCGTAAATTCACACCAAATGCGCAGTGAGACGACTACGCTGAATGCGAACTCGATTGCTGGTTTTCTTATCATTTTTTCTCTTCTGTTCCTATCTTTGTGCATCGGTTTTCCCCATCGGATATGTGTTTTTATGTATTTCTTCTTGTGCTTTGAGGTAGGCGACTGCGAAGCACTCCGTGACCCTGTTTCTCGGTCAAAGTATGCTTCTTCGTAAATCACGCGACGACGTGCTCCTCGCTAGCACTTCTATCGTTTTGACAGTTTCGCTTGCAAAAGGGCGTGTCGGTGTGGGGCAGTTTGCGGTATAATTGTTTTGTTCTGTTGGGTAATATACGTTGCTCACAATCGGGTCAAGTTCAACTTTTGTTCGAGGACACGTGAGGGGTGTGGAGGAAAGCCAGACTGATGTTTGCGAGTTGGAGGAGAGTCTTTGGCATCCGCAACCCGTAGCCGCAGTTTGCGTGGCGGTGTCGGGTGAGTGAGCTGTACGAGGAAACGGGTTGGTAGCGGCAACGTGAAGAGGAAAACTCGTTCAAATCTGATGGCTCACAGTGTGTGTGTGTGTGTGTGTGTGTGTGTGAGCGTGCGTGCGTGCTGGTATTGTTTCGAGCTGCTCTCGTCTCTCCTTGTTTTCCCTCGCGGGCGTTCGTCTTGCTGCACCTCCCGCTTCTGTCTGTTGTGCGCTGTGCAGATACACAATAACGACAAAGATGAGGAGAAGGCCGGCAGTGACGAAAGGAAGAGCATCAAACGAAGGAGGAAGGGGAGTGAGCTACGAGTGGCTCAAAAGCTATATATATCTAATCATATATCGGCAAGTGTATCTATAATACTTCCAGTATGTACCCAGCGCTCGAAAACGTTAACAAACGCGTGCAGGTTTGCGGTGTGTGTCGTCGTATCGACACGGAGCTGTGTGACGACGATTACCCCCGAGGCACCTGATGATGAAAATGGAGATAATAATAATAAAAAGGAAAGTATTGCTCTTTGGTAGCTGCCGCTGTTTTAGACGCCTTTGCCAACACGCCGTCGTGCTCTTGTTTCCTCTTTTCCTGATCAGCACCGAAAGGCGGCGCATTTGTCAGCAGGCAACACCCATCGATCGATGCTGTGCTTCTTTTCGCTGTAAACTGCCGCTACTCGATGTATGTGTGTATGTACGGAGCTACACTCTTCTCTCTCTTCTCTCTCGTCTTCTCCCCCTCGCTCGCCCGTCACCCCCCACATTCACCAGCAGTCGCAATCTCCCCTTTTGTTTTTCTTCTCTCTCTGTTCTTTGTTCGAGCCGTCGACACAATCGTGTGCGGCGGGTACCGAGAGAAGCGTCGAAGCATCTCTTGCAATCGTCTCTGAAGCAAACGTTTACGTTCTCTCTTACAAAGAAAGAAGGAAAAATATAAAACTTCGTTTCGACTTCTATCCACACTTCGATATTGTTTGGGTCGTACGTGCAGGCTATCCCACAACACCTCCTTCTCCTAATGCTGCTTGTATTGCAAACGACACTTTTTTTCTTGTTTGTTTGCGGTGCTCAGTTTCTCTTTTTTTCCTTCTAAAATATTAAAAAAAAACACACACACACGAAATATTGCTCTTTGCTTTCTCTCTCCCATTTCCTTTTTTCTCTCTCTTCGAACTCCTGTACAGTCGAGGAATAACAAAGGTGCGTGTGAAGAGGTAATTCGCATTTCGCAGCCCCCCTTTGCTGGTGCAACGACGTTGGAATCGTTCATGTATAGCGTTGTACGCGGAGTCCGCTGAAAACCTTTTTCTTTGTTTTTTTCGCCTATTTGCGCATAGTTGTGTGTTTTCTTTTTGTGTTATTATTTACATCCATCTTGTGAGTTCTGCGTTTGGCACCTTTAATACGTGTTCCCCTCAGCGGAACGTTCTTATCTTGTTGTTGTTGTTGCAGAGTTGAATTACGCAAAGAACTCCTTTATTGTCGGCGATTTCCTGCTGTCCTCTTAATTTTTCTTTTTATATTTCTAGACGTCGAAGCTCAACACGGCGCTCCTTCCCACTTCAATAGTTTTCTCTTTTTGTTTTTTCCTTCAGACCTCAGCGTTGATTGTGGCCTACTTCTTTCTCTTTCTTTTGTTTTATTCTAATCGTTGACGTATAAAAGTAATGGGCGCTGGAAGCAGTGCAGCGAAGGATTCCACGGAGACGCTGCCGCCGGCCTGCCCTGTCTTCTACAACTTCTCCCCCAGCACGCAGCACATCCCGACCTCCACACTGCCTACACGCGATGCGCGCGGCCACGTACGGCGTCCGGCGGGCGGGTGTGCGGCGCGCATCATCGCCCTCCGCCATCTTCCCGTCGTGACTCCCGACGCGAGGAAGGAGGCGAAGGAGTTTCTCGCCCATGGGGGCACAATGAAGAAGGCAGCGCGCGGCGACGAGGCCGCGCTGGCGAAGATCAAGGAGATGGAGGAGCAGGCGAGGTCCGTCCTACGCGACCCGTGTCTTCCCCCGGCCGTCAGCTCCTGCTTTCTCATCAATATCGCGGTGGATGAGCAGGGCCGCCTCGCGCCGCTGTCCACCGACGGCGCCGCTGGTCTGACCGACACAATGAACATGATCGACAACTGCGACTCCGACAATGCCAGCGAGTGTGCCTCCACCGCGGTGGCCTCGCAAGTGCATCCGGTTGGGCGAAAAGGGTTTAACTTCGACACGGCCAACAGCGGTAGCAATGCGCAGAAGCCGGGTATGATGGGTGCCGGCGCACGGCGGACCTCGCCTCCGAGCGATACCCGCGCTGCGCAGGAGGCGATCGGCAACAGCAACAAAAAGAATAATATGGCCTCGTTGCCCTCTCCCAAGTCGCACCGCGCTTCGGCAACTCCCTCGTACGACGTGACAGCCGTGCAGCGGCTTGCTCCACAAGGAACGGCGTCAGGCGCCACCAGACCGACTCCTTCCCCTCCTTCGGGAGATCCAAATCTGCTGCCCTCTATCTTTGTTCCTCCACTCGTCTCCACCTCTGACCTTGACGCGGACGGCGACGACGCGGAGCTCACCGCCCTCATGAACTCCTCGGTGCGGTCACTGTTGATTAAGGGCAGCCGCTTCCGCAAGGGCGATGGTGGTGAGTCCACACCGACGCCGGTCACCGCCAGCCTGGGTGAGGCGGCCACAGCGCGGCTGCGACGGCAGCACTCGCGCATCAAGCTCCTGCAGGTTCCAAACCGCACGCGGTGGTTTCTCTTCAACGACAGCCGCACCCACGAGGCGCAGGTGACCGTGATGCTCTGCTACACCAAGCAGAAGGACGCAGCGGACTTGCCGGGCAAGGGCAGCCGCAGGGAGAGCCCTGCGAGTGTGGCCGCTTTGTCGCCCCGGAATGACGTGCCCGCCTCCCCCTCCGCCTCGCCCCCGGGGGAACTGAAACTGATGTGCGTGCCCACCCCGCTCTCGCACACCGCAACGGACCCGAAGGAACTGAAGAAGCAGCTCGCCAGCATGTCCAGCAGCAGCCGCAGTTTCGTCGAGATCGAGCCGCTGTCCTTCTCCGCCTTCTTTGCGGCGCTGCCCGCCCCATCCGGCAGTTCGCAGAGGGAGTTGCTGTCAAAGTTTGAGGCGAACGTCCCCGGTATGGCGGCGGTGGCCGTCTTCGTCGTGTTAGCGCCCGGTGCGACGGTCTTCCTTGCGGAAGGCGAGGCCACCGGCTACTTCGTAGATACCCACATGGTTCCCTTCAACAGGTCCACCAGCATGGCGGTGCTGGGCCGTCTGCTCACGCCGGACCTTGTGCGGCTCGCTCGTCAGAAGAGCGAGGCCTTGAGGAAGGATTGCCACCACCATAAGTTGATCTTCCTCTCGAAGCAGGCGGATCCTGCTCCTGCTGGTGGCGCAACGGGCCCCGGAAACAGCATCTCCTCCCCTTCCCTTCTCATCGCAAAGCCCGCGCCTGCCGCGGAGGGGCGCGTCGTCGTTCCGCTGGAGCAGCCCAACAGAAACACCCATCCCGACCACCACCAGAACAATGCACGTCAAGACACCGGCGGTGACCGGCAAAGCACCGCCAGCACCGCCAGCACCACCAACACCACTAGCACCACCAGCGCAAACCCGTCTCACCCCTCTGCGCACGCCCCCAAACCGTTATCACGACTCTCGGCGGACGCAACGGAGGCGATCAACGCCGCAGGTGAGACGGCTGTGCAGCAGCAGCGGATCAGCGCCCGTTCACCATCCATTCCCCCAGCGCGTGCCACGACGACGGAGGTGAACGGCGGCGTCGTGGTCGGTGGATCGGAGAGCCCACAGGCGCGCCGGAAGAGAATTGGGCCGATGCTGCGGAACCCGAGTTTGGAGGCCGCCGCGGTGCAGCTGGACGATGACGCGAAGGAGCAGTCGTTTCATCGTGACTTGCCTGCCGCTAACTCGTTCGCGATTTCTTTTTGAGAGCGAGAGAGCGAGGGAGGCAGGAACGGAGAAAGGAAGAAAGTTGTATGTGCATGAGAAAAGAGTTTGCTGTGTTTTAGTTTTCTCTCTCTTCTTTACCGTTAACGATTGTTTTTCTGTGTTGTACAACGTTAACCGACGGTTCTGTGTTTCGCGTCTCCACGATACCGTACTCTTTTCTTCGTCTGATGTTTTACTCACCTTTATCTTGTCTGTTTGCGCGCTAACGGCACGGAGCACGCCAAGCATCAGCAAAAGGTTTTCTCTTTGGTTTGCTTAACGTTTGCGTCGCTTTTGTTGGCGGGGTTTTCTCTCTTTTTTTCTTGTTTTTTCTTCAGGTGTAGAAGATGTACCATTTTATTTTTCTGCTTCTGCTTTACTCATTCAGCTCAGTTGCTCGAAACAAAATAAAAGGAGAAAAGTTGGAATAGTCGTGCAACGATGAGGTCAGAGAGTTCTTACGAGGCACGAATACCGCGACTGGACTCGATTCGAGAGAGAGAGAGAGAGTGCAGTGCACGGTATGATGATTTCTTTCTTGGACGATTCTTTTTCTTCCCCTTTTCCGCTTATTATATCCACTACGTTGATGTCGCCTTGAAGGACACCGGATGGAATCAGCAAATGCGTTGCCCGACGAATGTGATTTTGTGTGTAAAGTCAATCTACGTTTTTCCTTTTTGATTTATTAAGCTCTCTTCGTGCAAACGTGCGTCCTTCTTGTTTTTTTCCCCTATACAATTTTTTTTAGTTCGAACATCGATGTATTGTTGTGAACGCGCGCTATTATTGTTTTTTTATTCTTTTTTTTGTATTTATAATGCTGTTATTATTATTATTATTATTATTATTATTATTATTATTTTTAGATGAGTTGAGTGCCTTCATGTGCGCACCTGGGATTTTCTGCCTTGTTCTTCTTGCTGTTGAAGGCACACTTCTGCCTGCGAGTTCCCAGTACGACGAATAGCAGTAGCAATAGTATTAATAAATTTCGAAGGAAGCACATTAACGAAGGAAGGATGCCATGGTCAGCTTTAATGGCCCTCTACGCGGCACATTGTTCGCTACGTCGGACTCTGCGGAGCTTGTTTCCCCTTCTGTTTGTAAACGACGGCCGCCTTCAATGCTCACCACACTGCGCATATATATATATATTTGAGGCATGCTGTTAGCAAGTTCTTATTTATTGCGTGAAGGGCGCTGACCTGCAGCTCTCGTAGGAAGAATTGTGGCTTTTTTTCTTGTCGGAGTGTATGGCGTGTCCGCGCGCGATTAGCAATAAAAGCGGACTCTCCGTGTCTCGTTGCTGAGCGCAACTTACGCACTTTCTGCCCCCTCTCCTCTTGTCTCTCCCTTTTCGCTCCTGCTCCTGTATCTTCTCCCTCCCCATCCGCCTCCCTACGCAGACAGGTTACACGACTCATCAAGACGATTAGCTCTGATCTGTTTTCTCCCCTTTTTTGTTTCCTGTGCTGCCTCGCCGTCATCGCTGCTCTGCGTCGTGGAAACCATCGCTCGCTACGTCGACGTCTCTGTTCGTATATTCTCCATTGTCACCAATTGCATTACTCACGTGTGCGTGAGACAACAACAGCAGCAGCAAGACAAGAACGAAAGAAGATGGGCTGCGTTACGAGTTCTAAGAAAGACGTGGAGGCTGTACCGAGCGGTGAGGTAAAGGCGCTCTCAATGGACATGAAGACGCGCTTCGCCAATGTGGACGCAGAGGTGCTGGGCGACTACAAAGACGAGGCCATGGCGGAGCTCATGTTCGTCTACGGCCGGTCCGCGAACATCTACATAATCAAGACTCCCCCTTTCCACCCGGCAAGCCTGCACGAGCGCAAGGAGGAGGAGGCCAAAAATGAAGGGGAAGAGGACAAGGAGTACCCGCAGGAGGAGACGAAGGAGGAGCCGGTGAAGGAAGTTCGCTGGGCGATCTTCAATGACAGCAAGGACGATGCCAAGTTCGAGACCACCTTTTTCCACGCCGAGGAGCTGCGCAACGCGGGCAACGGGGACGGTGTGAGCTTCGTGCGCAAAGAGAACGGATCCGTTGTGGCGTCGGTGTACGTGCCTGCTGGTGCTACGGTGCCGTTCGTAGAGGGGCCCATTATGGGCTGCATGTACAAGTGCGTAGTGCACGACCCCAAGACGAACGCCTTCGAATTTGCTGCCGCGGCGAAGTAAACAGACGCGTGATGAAGAGGAAGAGAGCAATTTTTTTTTCTCTCACCGGTCCCGGTTGGAACTGCGGTGTCTACCCTTTCTTTCTCTCTCTCTCTCTCACGTGCAGCAACTTCTGTTGTGGCTTTTTGGTTTGTTTGCACTCAACGTCTTCTTCGTTCTTCATTTCTATTTCTGTTGTCCTTTTTTTTCTTTCAAATAGCGCGCCTCGCAGGAGTACCGGCCAAAGAGTTAACGCGAAGCAACAACAGCGACCGAGACCCCCTAAAGGGAAAAATCAATGTAGGTTGCGCCCGCGCAAATGTGCACAGACTTTTGAGCTGTCCAGCAGCAATACCAGACGAAGAACTCCATGTGCATATCGCTTTGCGTTAGCGTGTCGAGATGGATGACTGGCAGTTGTAATGCTGCGATCGGTGTGTGTATGTGTGTGTATGTATCTAGTAGAGAAAAGGGACTGCGGTCGGCTTTCTTTCTGTTGTTGCTGTCTATAGTTCACCCCTTCTTTTGGCTGTGGCGGCTGTGTGTATGTACGGTGGAGGAAAAGCGCACGCGTTTGTTTCGGGCTGTGTGGTGTGTGCCGCTCATTCGCGAAGCTTGTTTCTCCCTTTTCCCTCTTTTTTCTTTGGATGTTATTATTCTGCATCTGTACCTATCATTCTCTCACTTGCAGTATATTTATTTTCTTTCTGTCTCTTCTCTTTGTTCTCGTTAGCATTCGGGCCCTTCGACGCTCGGCAGGGTCGAAAGGAAGCACCGGAAAATGTTTTCCACAAGACAATGGTAACGCAGCCTTTGGCGAGTCACGTGCCGGCTCCAGCGAAGGCGTGCCACTTACGTGTGCCGACGGCTGCCGTGAAGAGACGTGAAAACGACGTTGACGTAACGCAATTAAACGGGGCGTTGCCCTTTCGCCGGAATCGGCGGAGCATCTTTCATCTTCCTATTTGGTTCTTAAGTATGTTTTTTGCGTTAGCTCCGGTGAAGATCACAAAATGCGTTTCCATTTTCGTGCTCCTCATCTCATTCGTTCCATCTTCTACACTCTTCTCGTTCTCGCTCTCCTTCTGCGTGCCTTCACGTCCTCGCCGTGCGCACCCGCGCCTCTCTCTCTCTCTCTCTCCAACTTCACCACCAACAGCTGCAACTTCCACGTCTTTTTTTTTCTTGTCTGCTCCTCTTAGCGCTCCTTTTCGTTTTTCATTTGCGCCGGCAACTGCAGTCCCCCTCGCTCGACTACATCCACGCTCCCCTTCTTTCCCCGCGCTCCACCACCACCACTACTATTACTACTGTTACTTCTACTCCTTCATCATGGGCGGCAAATCCTCCAAGGGAGACGGCGAGTTCAACTGCGGTGGCCCTCAGGACTTCCCTTTTGACGAGAAGTTCCCCCTTTTCGAGAAGGGGAACGGCCTTCTCTTCCGCCTTGTCGACAACAAGGAAAAGCGCTGGGCCTTCTACAGCGATTCGAAGAAGTACGAGTTCCACGTCACCGTCAACTTCGGCCCTAACTCGCGCAACTTGGTCGCTCTAGGCAACACCTACCTCGCCGAGGACGTCGATGGCGGCTGGAGCGCCAAGACGATCGTCTACCCCGGCAAGACGGAGCCCTTCATCCAGGGCGAGGTGGTCGGCTTCGACTCGGTCGTGAACGCGGTGCTGCTGACGACGGAGTACAAGGAGCGCAGAAAGGAGGAGAAGAAGGCCGAGAAGAAGGCCGCCGCCGCTGAGGAGAAGGACGCGGCGCGCGACGAACTCGGCAGCAACACGAATTAGGGACTTCTTGTGTTCCCTCTCAGGTCTGGTTTTTGGTCCCCCCAAAAAGAGGAGGGGGGAGGGGGAGGGAGGGAGGGGAAGTACGCGGGAGGTTCCCGTGCAGGAGTAGGCAACAAGATGAACAGTAAAGGATGCCACGGCGTTCGAGTCGCTGCGTTTTCATCTTCTCGTCCCCTTCGCTCTCTCTCTCTCTCTTCTCGGAACAATAAAATGGTTTCCTTTTAGTGTAATGCTTTGTTGTTCTTTTTAATTGATCACCTTCTTTTATCTTCTTCTCTTTCTCCTCCTTTGGCTTACCCAACCAGAAGTGGGGAAGGCGCGCCGCAGTTTATATATACAGAATCGCTGTTTTATATCCACCTTCTCATGCCGTTCTTGCTGCTTTCTCTGTCGTCTTCTTTTTCACTACTAACAAGAGTTTTAAATTTCTATTATTATTGTTTCCTCCTTTGTTCGTTTCACCGTCCCATGCTTGGCGCGTGTATGTGTGTGTGCGTGTGGTGAGTAGAGGGGAGTTTTTTTTTTTTTAGAATCCAATTCGCGACTCGGCGGCGGTTCGTCCACGCACGCGGTGATGCGTGCGCGCCTGAAGCACAAGCGCGTCGACCGACAATTACGCTGTTGTAGAACTACCTCTTTTTTCTTTTTTAAGGATTTAACGAAAACTGGTGAACACAAACGAAAAGCACGCGCGCACGCACACACGAGCTGTATTACCAATCAGCGGCACTTTTCTTTTTGAAATAATATCTTTTCTTTTGGGTTTCCGCCTTCCTTCCTTCCTCCTTTTTCTCTTTTCTGTTTTTTCATTTTGTCCCTTGTGGGAACGGAGGCAATGGAGGGTGAGACGCCGGAGCAGCGCGCCGCCGTCCGCGCTGGTTGCGCGATGCGTCTCAAGGGAAGACCACAAAGAAGAAAAGATCGAGAAGGCGCCACGAGAAGTCGGAGAAGCGGCAGAGCTATTCTTTCTTCTTTTCTTCTCTTGTTTCATTCGACACGAGAGCTGAATTCGAGGAGGTGGGGCGCACGATCATCAGCGCCTACGCAACAAGAGGGGTGCTAGTAGCAGTCGGTATAGAAAAAAACACCACAGCAGCGAACACAGCAAACGTTACCGTTTCTTTATCGAGTGCGCAGACGGGGAAAAGCGCTCTGGGCCGCGAACAAAGCGGAGCGCTCTTCACCTATAATTTTTGTTTCTTCTTCTTGGTTTATTGTTCAAACAAACAGCGTGCGCCCTCCATCAGAGGAGGGGGGGGGGGGAACAGAAGGTGAAAGGAAGCAAGAGGTTGGTTTACACGCGTGCGGTGGAAGGCAGAAGCTGATGGGCTGTCCAGGGAGGATCTCCGCTCTCTGCACCGGCTTAGATACCGCTTTTCTAGCCTCGAAGAAGGGAGGGAAAGGAAAGGGAAGGGGGAGGCGGAGGCGGAAGAGGAGGCAGTCGACGCCTATCGCCTTCGTATTACGTGTGCCGTAAGCGCCATGTTCATCCGTGCTCGTGTGCTTCCGCGTTGATTCACGCTCGCCCAGACACTCAAAACAACTCCAGCAACAAGGAGGCGCTCCGCTGGGCTTTCTTTTGTGTGGTTCACCTATCGCCCGCTGCTTCCTTAACGCAGAGGGTGCATCGTCGTAGGTGCGGGATGAGGCGAGCTCCTCAGTTTCCCGGAAGAGAAAAGAAAATATATATGCATAAAGATGCATGCTGAAGTATCGTCGTGAGCGCAACTAATACCTGTAAAGGAGCAAACAAATAAACAGACGAATAGAGTGGGGACTCTTTCAGAAGCCTGGTTTTGCTGACGTAAAAGAAAAAGAGGTGTTGAAGCTCGAAAGTGATGCAGGCGGCACCCATGTGTGTGTGTGTGTGTGTGTGCGTGCACGGCCCATCGCGCTGTGAATGCTGAGCTTCTCTGATTCCACTGAAGTATTTTTTCTTTTGTTTAGCTGATTGTTTAGGATAAGTATGTGTCGAAGAGGCGAACTTCGACATTTCCCCGCTTGGGTAAAAGCGTCCGTTTTCATTTCGCAAGACTCTCGGCCCTTCTCACCGGCGCCTCCTCTCTTCGCAGCGACCACACTTTCTGGCCTTTTCCTTCCTGCTTCTTCTCGTCTTTGTTTGCGGTGCATCTGCATCCCCTACACGTGCGATGGGCCCGTCCTTTTTCGTTTGGGACTGCGGTGCCGGGGCTACGTACATGAACAATACTCATTAACAAAAGCATCCCCAATCGAGGTCGCCTTCACCGACACGTGTGTGTGTGTGTGCGTATGTGTGAGCTCTCCAAACACGACGGCTAATAATACTATTATCATAAAAGAAAGAGAGCAAAATACGTCTTCGCGCACGACACACGGTGCTCAACAAGCAGTCACGACGCGCCGCAGCACGCACAATGGAGGAGGCGAAGGCAATTCAGGATAAGCTGGACGAGCTCCAGCAGGAAATGCACGCAAAGGTCGAGGCGTGCGACGTGAAGTTCAACACGGCGAAGAACGCCGTCTTCGCGGCGCGGAGGGAGACGATTGCGGACTTGATCGCCAAAAAGCAAGTCCCCGCGAATTTCTGGGCGCTCGCCCTCATCCGTCTGCTGCAGCTGAAGGACCGCGAGTCGACGACGATGCCGCACTTCCTCGGCCCCTACGATGAGGAGCTGCTGAAGACCTACCTCGAGGAGATCCGCGTCGAGTACAACGAGAAGGGACACAAAATCACGCTGCACTTCAAGCCGAACCCCTTCTTCGAGGAGACGCAGCTGTGGGCGGAGGCAGTGGAGGTGATGGACGCGGAGGACGAAGACGAGGAGGACTTGCCGCCCGTGGAGGAGAGTTGGTCCTTCTCGGGGGTGACGTGGAAGGAGGGCCACGGACCGCGGATCGCCGACGAAGACGACGAAGACGACGAGGAGGGGGACAGCGAGGATGACGCACCAGGAAAGAAGCGGACCCACGCTGCTGCTGCTCCTGCCGCTGGTGCTTCGACGGCGTCGTCCGCCGATGCGATGCACGGCCCCAGTGTGTTGGAGGTATTTACCGAAATGCCGCCGCACCCGGAGGAGGATGAGGAGCTGGATGAGGAGGACGATGACGTCATGGCGGACGCGATTGAGGACTGGGAGGCGGAGATGGACGATCGCAAGATGCTGCTGCGTCTCATCGAGCTGTACATCCACCACAATCCTGTGGAGGCGATTCAGGAGGCCGCTGCCGCGGCAGAGGCAAACGGTGCCGATGGCGAGACGGCTGCCAAGAAGGCCAAGACAGAGTAGTCGATTCCCTCTCTCCCTGTGCAACTATCGGAAAAGTAACACGGACTTTTCCGCTTTTTTTTTCTTGAGTTTCTCATAAGAGAATAAACGTCAGATTTCTGCCTTTTCGTATCGATGCCGTCTTCGCATAGAGAGCGGGAGAGTGTCCGTCGGAGTAGTAAAGAAAAGGAAAGAAACATAAACCTCCTCCGTGGAGCACCGATGTTCATTTGAGGTGTCCGTTTCATCTTGCAAAGGCTACCGTTGGAGAGGTGCTCGTTGAGCTGCGTCAAGAAGACAGCGTATTTTCTTCCGCCTGATGACTGCGTCGCTTCGGCGTCTGCTTTACCCCCGGCTCGTCGGGTGTAATGGTGTACGCAGCACGGCGATAGGACGCTTACCCAGCTAGTGCCTCAGTCCGCCTCCCATCCTTCTCAGCCATCTACCTTTCCTCCTCCCTTACCGTTCAACCACGCATCCACGCACGCAAAAAATAATATACATGTATATTCCTGTTCTCCTCCATGATTTCACTGCAATTTTCTCTTTACCATTTAAACTCTTGTTTCTATCGTATGACTGATGAGCGCGACCTGTTGTGGCAGGTGACCTATTATTGTATTTCTCTCTTTTAGGGAAAACAGCGGTGAATCAGAAGAAAAAGGAAGAAGGGGAGGAAAGCCCCTTTGCATGTTGACCGAACGTTGCTTATCAGCGCACCGTTTTTTCTTTTCAAAATCTTGCGCGTTTTTTTTCTTTTGCGCTGAGCTCAAATAGCATGTGAATACACTCGATAGCATTTCCTTTGTTTTTTTTTTACACTTCCCATCTCGTTTGGCCCTTCCTGCTCATCCTCTCCGCTTCGATCTGTTAAAGCACAGCATTCTTTGGCGAAGCGTGCAACCGTGCTTCTCCTTTTTCTTTTACTGTTTTGATCCTGTCCATTCGCTGAACGAGCGTCCCACATAGGCAATATCTATCTATCTATCTATCTATCTATCTCTTTTCACCTCGTAAGTTTCGTCTCATTTTTTCTTTTCAGATTCTCTCACCGGTATTAGGACTCCTTAACAATAGCAGCAGTAATTGACGCTTCCTCACGAGCATCGCACGAGTTTTTCTTTTCCTTCTCTCCGTCATTTAACTTCCGCGATTACGTCTTCCGTTCCGCGAGCGGTGTGTCTCTTCCACTCCTGTTTGTTGCTTTCCTCTAACTGCATTTTTCATTGTGCTCCGCCTTCTTCGACACTCTTTGCAGCTAAGCGCAAGAGGTAGAGGCGGACGCTATACACGCATATATTTATATATATCTATATTCCACACGCTTACTCCCTCAAAAAAGAAATAATAATAATACTCAAGCACGGTTTCGTACCCACGCATTACGTTGCGCACGTGTTTTTCTGTTTAGTTACTTATTCGTTTTGTAATACGCGGCAGGCGCCTCACGTCGTATAACAAAACACCCTTCGTTGAAGAAAACAGGTAACCGAAGGAGAGCTTCTTTTTTCCTTTCCCCCGCACCGCCACCGCTCCTTTTTTATTTTCGCTGAAAGTTACTTTCCTTGTTTTTTGAAAGTTTTTTCCTTTCCCGGTTTTGCTGAAGGTGTCTCTCCTTGTTTTTGTTTTTCGTCTTCTAATCATTGTTATTGCTCTCCCTCTCTCTCTCTTCGCGTGTGGCCCGAAATCGCCCGTTTCTGTGTTGCGTCAAGAAGAAAACAAAATAAAACTGTTTTATTTGTAGTTCTTTCTATAACACGACTCCTGTGCGCTTCAAAAATAATTACGGGAAGACAAATCAATCATATTCATCTATTTACTTAACGGCCCTGAGCAATGGGATGCATTCCGTCCTCCACGTACTTCGAGCCGAACTCGCGCCATGCCGGCACGCCCGGCCGGCCCACCACCACCAACGTGCACAGCGGCAGTGACTTCGTCGTCACGCGCCACGTCTCCACGGCGCAAATATCCAGCGGCCCCCAACAAAGCAACACCCGTAACAGCCCCCGTTGCAGAACCCCCGGCGGCAGCCCCGTGCTCCTGTCCCCCCACCGCAGCCTCTACGTGTCGGCCCCACCGCAGCTGCGCAGTCAGCGCGACGTCAGCGCCGACACCGCCTACACCACCTGCAACGGCGCCAAGTACAGATTTCTCTACGGCCGTCCGGTGGGCTTCGCAGGAGCAGAAGAAGTCATCTCCTGCCTCGATGACGCAGGCATGCAGGGCAACCTGTACCGGCTGGTGCGCAGCAAGCTCGTAAGCATCGGCGAGGAGGAAGAAGGCGGCGGCGGCGTGGACGGTGCGGGCCAGCGCCATGCCGACACGCTGTTGGAGGCCGAGGCCATTCAGAGGGAGCAGGGGATGGAGCTGCTGGCGTGCTCCGTCACGGCGCGCCGGCGGCGCAGCGGCGACTCCCGTGCGTCGGCACTGCAGGAGCAATACGTCGTAGCTTTGTTGGGTACGGACACGATTCTGGACCCCTCCGCGATTGCGCCGTCGCGGCGCCGGCTGCGCAGCGCCGCCGTGCAGGTGACGGAGGCGGCAGAGCAGAAGCCCAACGCCGCTCGCCTGTCTGCGGCGGTGCCACCGCCGCCCCCCGGCCAACCCTCGTTCTTTTCCTCCAGCGAGAGCAAGGAAAGGGAGGTGGGCAGAGGGGCCCATGGAGGCAACCTGCTGAACTTCAACTTGGAGGACACGGACTACCAGTTCTTTCCCCAAGCGCATTACTCCGCGTTGCCGGCGCAGCGCAAGGCTGGCGGGTCGATGCCCGTCGCGCTTTGCCCACCCAGTCGCACCCTTCGTATGCCGGTGCGGTTCAGCGCCGTCGAGGACCGTGTGATGGCGTCGTCCGGCAAGGCAGGCGACAGCGGCAAGAGCTGGAAGGACCGGGTGATGCAGCAGCGCATGTTCCGCCTGGCCACGTCCGAGACGCGCACCTGGGCCTTCTACAACGACTCGGAGTACATCATGCACGTCTACACCCTGTTTGACCGGTCGTCGAAGCTAGAGTCGCGGGACAGCACGCGTCTGTGGCCCAGCAGCGTCTTTGACGACGGTAACGAGGCCCCCACGCCGCCGCCCGTTTTCTTCGGTCTCTTCTTCGATCAGGACGGCGAGGAGGCCGTGCCGGCGTCGGAGATGCCGGACAGCGCCGCGCACCGTCCGCGGCGCATGTTTGGCACACGCGGGATGTGGATCGCCGAGTTGCTGGTGCCACCGCGCTCGACGCGGCTCTTCGTGGAGGGCAAGATCAGAGGTGCGTACCGGATGCGGTGTACCCGACTCGACCTCGATGACTTGGTGGCCGCGACAGGGACGGCGCTGTCGGTGGCGCAGCAGCGCAACGCGAGACACGCCTCGACGGACCGCTTTCGGTTTAGCCTGCTGCGGCCTAGCCTCGCCTTCTCCACGCCCAAAGTGGCTGCCGCGCCTTCCAACCCGCGGCTGGAGACCTCTACGACGACGACGACACCAGACGCAGCAGCAGCAGCGACGGCGGGACACGCGGAAAGCAACGGCGCGGCAGCTGCCCTGCGTGAGCTGAATCCCACCGGACTGTCTCACCTCCCACCGCCGCCACCTCGACTCCCCCTCGTCGAGGCGACGCTCACGAGCGCCGAGAACGTGGCGCAGACGCCGCATCAAAGACGGATGACAGCGTCGCTCATCGAGGCAAGCTGCGGAAGAAACCGCGCCGGTCTTCCCTCGGCACCGGAGATCGGCTGCCACTCCATCGTGACCGAATCGCAGGGCGTGCTGAAAAAGTTGACGTACATCTCTCACAACGCTGGCCGCACCGCGGCAGACGCTCTCCATGTGCCGGAGTCGCGGCCTGTCGCTCCTGCCCGCGCAGGGGTGCCGGCGAACTCTAGCGCTGGATCGCAATCGACTACGCCACCGGACTCCCCGGAAAAGGCCGGTGCGACGAGCAGCCCCATCTTCTTATCCGCCACGCCCACGGCAGTGCCGAGTGCAGTCGTCGGCCTCGGACCGCACCCGCTTTCCGTGGCAGCAACGGCGAACGCATTGCCGCAGAGGGACACGAACGGTGTTGCGGCAGACAAGGAGAGTGCAGCGTGTGCGGCTCCGGCGGGTGATCTGCCCAACAACGTGCTACAAACAGTGTTGCAGGGGCACGACGACGAGGTGGAAGAGCGCAGCCGCCACGACGGCCCGCTTGACACATCGAAAGCGGCGGACAACGAGCGCCGTGAAGAGAGCAGCGGGCGCGCACGCATCCCACACATCTCGCCGCCGCTTTTCTCGCTCGTCAGCCGAAGCGTCGACGACAGGTCGGATACGGCGGACGGGGGGCACAGCACCTGCGATACGCAGAGCAGCTGCGCCGGATTCGCGAGGATTCGACCGAACCGGCAGCGTGTTGCCCGCACCGGCGGCGACGTCCTCTCCTCCATCTCAGCGACGTCGATCGGCCAGGAAAGCACCGGCGATGACACGCGCATCCTGCGCACCCGCTGCACCGACCCCAACACGGAGGCGCCGCCGCCGCCCCCACTATTCGTCCGGGCCGCGACGCGGACTTCAGTGTCCGACGGGACGACGAGCGCAGCTGTGAGCCCCGAAGACGGCCTCGAACGCACTGCGCCGATGCACACATCTCGTACGGAACCCCACGCGTTGGCAGCCTCCTCTCCGTGCACGTTCAGCAAAGACGTCTCGAACTTTCCCCGCATCGGCGGCACCGCGACTCCCGTAGGCGGGGAGGACAAGTGCTTGTCGGCCGAGAGCTCCGGCGCGCTCAACGGCACCCCCTGGCGACCGGTGGTGCACACACTGACACCGCCGTCGAGCTACCAGTCGGGGCGCGCCAGTCGCATCTGGATGCCCGACACCTCGAGCTTCAGCTCGGTGAACGCAGATGATTCGCCCGACCCGCTGGGCGCGGAGGGCGGTGTGCAGGTGCAGGACTCGACATCCGCCGCCAACGTGCGCACTATTCTGCTCCCGAGCGTTGCGGCGCCCGCTGGCCACGCCACGGAGCTGTAAAGGGAAATCGCGCCTTCAAAACGTGCGCAACGATGCGGCGAGCGGTTCTTTGCAGCACTGCGTGCTGTACGACAAAGGGAGGTAGTTGTTCTCTTCTTTTACTTATCATCATTTACAGCTCCTCCCGACCCTTTCTCCTTGCCACGAGGCAACAGCAAACAACAGCAATACGTAGTTGCTGCTAAGAGGTCAGGGTCTTCTCCTTTTTCTTTTGTTCTCTCTTGTCTAAAGAAGAATTAAAAGCAGCGTCGCGCAAAGTGCTGTCCCCTTCAGCTTGGCGCGATTTCTTGCGTTCCTCTGTCACTCCGGGCGGCATTTCCTCCTTTGTGATGTTTCTGTTAACGCAAACAACGACGCTGGGCCTCTGTGCTCCAGAGGCTGTTTACGCTGCTGTTCTTGCTGTCTTCGTTCTAACGCACATCGTTGACCTCCCATTGCCTACGGAATCGAACATGGCTTCTTTCCCTCTGTACCACCACGATTGGTGTCGCGGCGTTCTCTAGCAGGAATGCACACACGGCGAGACATTTTCCAACTGTAAAAAAAAACGAAAACAAAGAAAGAAAAATGGGCTGCACATCGTCGCACGCGAATACACAGTTTTTGAATGGCAAGCCCACCTTTAAAGGCGATGAAGTCGTAAAGGGCTTTGAGAAGGAAAACGGACTCCTCTTTCGCATTGTCAAGAAGGGGAAGAAGAAGCGGCAGACGTGGGCGTTTTACAACGACACGAAGCAGTACGAGATGCGTGTTCACGTCACCTTTAACGCCGGCTGCGACATCAAAGCCCTCGGCGAGACAAAGCTGGAGGAGGTGGAGGACAAGGACGAAGTGATCGCCACCGTCACTGTACAGCCCGGTGCGACGGAGATGTTTATCGAAGGACGCGTGAACGGCTTCCGCTCCAAGATGGACGCCTTCAAAATTTGAAAGCTGAGCCGACGCGTACACCCAGCTGTGACGGCGTAAGCCGCGGTGAGCCGCGCCATTTCCATTCAATGGACCATCTGCCGAGACGAGACGTGTAAGAGGAGGAAAAAGCGAGCGAGCGTTGTGTGTGTGTGTGTGTTGATAGCGGCGACCTGATGTTACTGCTCTTGTGGAACGCCTTTGAGACGCGTACGCTTTCCTTCTTCGTTTCTTCGTTGCCTTTTTCTTCTTCCTTTACGAGGCGACCGTGCATTGCACTGCCTCCCCTCGCCGAAGTACCCCAGCACAGCCCAAGCTTAATTTGCCGATATGAAAGGCTCGAGGAGCGACACACAACACGCAACACGTCGGCGACCCAAACCACGTTGGGCATCTTCGTTGTGGATGCTGCAGGACCGCCACACACCGCTAGCGGTTCCCATTTCCTTTCCTTTTTTTTGCTTTCTTAAAGCCGGATGGAGGAGCGATTAGATCGGTGGAATGAATGAAGTGCGCCAGTCTCACCGTTCTTTTGTTTCTTTCCACTACCCTTTTCTCTCTCTTCTCTCTCTTGATAGGTTTTTGGCATTCGAATCTCTCGTCTTCTCTTGTTTTCCACCCACAACGATAAACACATACCATTCTATTATTATTTTTTTCCTTGTAGGTGCTTAACGCACACATCTTCCACTTCTTCCGTCGCCAGAGTTTATTGTCATCTCTCTACACTCTTGCCGGCGAAGCATGAAGAATGCACTCTTCGCACTGTGCCTTTTTGTGGCCGCCCAAGTTTCTTGGGAGGCATTTGGGGCTCGCGGCTTGTGCCAGTACTTCTGCGCCAGGAGTGACTCTTGCAGCTGGGACACAAACTGCAAGTGCTACATGGAGCACTACGGCATCAACCTCGACCGGCCGTCTCTATTCGTGCAGGAGGGCCAGAGTTACGGCCTGAACAGGAGCTTCTTCGACGGTGACGCTGCGGATGTGAACTGGACCGATGTCGCCCAGCATAGGTTTCTGCTTTTAGACCAAATCCAGCAGCCACGGGCCGTGGATCTGGGATCGTATTGGAACGCCTTCGCGAACAGGTACGCGGCGCTCACAGAGGAAGTCGTCATTCCTGTCTGGGTACAGGTTTTGAATTCCATGGTCACCACCACCGGATCCAGCATCTCGCACTACATGACCACAACAAGGGTGGACCAGAACAATGACTTCAGGGGCTATCGTGGACGCGACTCCACGAGTGGAAACAACAGGGGCTATTGCGGGAATGGTCCCTTTGACCATGCGTCGGTAGACTACGTGGGGAGTGCCTCCTTCAAGTTAACGCTGACAGGTAGCATCTTCTCTGTCTGTTTCGATGGGAACGGCAATAGATATGGTGCACCTAGGTATGGAGACACTGTATGGCAGGAGGCGTGGTCAGACGCGACCTGTTATTTCTATGAGGCGGGGAGTGAGATGGTTCCAACGAGTAGCAATTGTGTTGGTGATTCCAACTGCCGCAGGCTCGTAAACCCGACCTACCACGTCATAGCTTTCCACAGCTCCCCCGACAGCTTTAACCTGGATAGTGAGGTGTGCGCCCCGATGCGGGCGAGGCTGAGGAATGCGGCCGAACACCTAGCGGCGGACTCTAGGGCTATCGGGAATGGAGATATCTGCCGCAATGGCCTCATCTAAAAGGAAAAATCATTTCTTTTTTAGGCACGGCCTGAGAAGTCACAACGCCATCTTTTCTTGTTCATCTTCCACACGTACTCATCAGTGCTTAAGAGTGCGATACCTTTTTTTTACGTTGCTGCACCTGGCTGGGACTTGGATGCAGCTGTAAGTGTTGTCATCTTCTTTTACCCTTTACCTTTCTTTTTTTTCTTTTCCCACCTTCTTCTTCAACCCAAAACTGTCCACAGTTGTTCTTAAAGCATCCGCAAGGTACGATTGGATGATGGAATGGCTGAGATGAGGCGGTCTCGCTGTTTTCACTATTCTTTTCTTCGATCATCTTTCTTTCTCTCTCTCGGTAGCTTTCCGCTTTCGAATTTCTTTTGCGTTTTTCGAGTCCCGCCCACCCCGAGCCCGCACCGCCCGGCTTTGGAGGCGGAGCGGTAAGGAAGTCCGCCCCTGTGTGTGTGTGTGTGTGTATCAGCTACCGTGTGAAAACCAAATGCAGTATTCTTTGTGGTCATTCTTCACTCGCCCTCGCCAGTGTTTAAGAAGGCGATTTCTATATATATATATAAAACGTATAAAGCAAAGCAAGAGATGGTGGAGGATGAAGATAGTGGCATTTATTTCTCCAGGCGACGTCTTTGTTTTATTTCTTGGATCACTCTCCATTGGCGCCTAGCGTTGAGCTTTACTTATTTTTTAAATTAAGAAGCTCTGCAAACAGCCTTCTTTTGATTCCCTTGTGCTCCACCGACACGTGGTTCATGTAGCGAATTTCAGCCGTCGGTGGCCGTGATCTTTACTGCTCTTTGCTTTACTCGTTCTCTCGGCGCTGGCTTTCCCCTCCCCATCCCTCCCTCCCTCCTTCCCCCCCCCTCTTCCTTTCACCGTTTGCCTCCTTTCATACATCGCACTGCCTGTCCATCCCTGTTCTCGAACCCCTTCACCCCAGTGAGATTCGCTTACCCGCCTTCGTTTTCGCAATTACTATTCTCCTGCATCTCTCCTTTTTCTTTCTTCCCGCTGTTTTGCTGTCCTGTGCTTTCGTTTTAACTCTGCGTGTACATGAGCATATTTATAGCTCACATTCACTCACACACACACACATAGGTCTCCACAAAAAAAGTGTTGTTGATATTTCGGTTGTTGCTTATTCCAGCTTAACACACCCGGGCTTCTCTCTTTCCCCCACCCGCTCCTCACCTTTCGAAATTTTACCTCTCCCCCCGCCTACGCGCACCGCTCTTCATAATGGGCTGCGGAGCTTCTACCGACAACGCCAACGTGACGTACCTGAACGGCAAGCCCACCTTCAAAGGCGATGACGTCACCAAGGGCTTCGAGAAGGACAACGGCCTTCTCTTCCGCATCGTGAACAAGAAGAAGAAGCAGTGGGCCTACTACAACGACACGAAGCAGTACGAGATGCACGTCACCGTCACCTTCAACGAGGACTGCGACATCAAGGCACTCGGCAAGACGAAGCTGGAGCAGCAGGATAATGGCGAGTGGGTAGCTCACGTCGTCGTCTACCCGATGGAGACGGAGATGTTCATCGAAGGACGCGTGAACGGCTTCCGCTCCAAGATGGACGCCCTCCCGCTCTCCGACGAGTACCGCCAGCGCCAGGAGGAGAAGGCGAAGAAGTAAGCGAGGCGAAGAGGGCCGCACATGTAAAGACACACACACACCAAAAACCCCCAAAGAACAAGAAAAAAACAAACAAAAAGCACCACCAACAAACAAACAAACAAAAACTGTTGAAAATATGCGTAGAGGATCGTCTAGGCCGCGTCCTCCCCCTTCGCCCCACTTTTGCTGTGTAATGAAATTCTTGTAAAGGAGTAGGCTGGTGGCGGAGGGGAGCAGCGCAAAGACGATGGGCCGACAGAAGAGAGGGGGAGCGGAAATACGAAGGAACGGAAGCGCATGGAGGCACCTAAAAAAAGAGTAAGGGAAATCCTTTCCTTTTTTCAATCAGTAGTTTATTCTGACGGAGATGGGTAAGTCAAGTACGAGAGGGGAAGCGTGATGCGTGCGCAGCAAGGGAAAAGGAACATACGAAGCGATAGGGAACGCGACAACCGTCGCGACTGGTGAATGGCGCTTTGTCTGGGCTTTTGTTTCGTGTTTCGGGGAAGATGATTCATTGGTTTTCTTCTTCTCTGATGAACCCTCCTTTTGTGTGTGTGTTTTTTCGCTGTTGGGGCGCGCCCCGTCTGCTCTTCTTCCATTGCTCACTTTTTTCTCTTTTTATCTTTCTGACGGAAAAAGAGAAAGTAAGAAGGGAGAGGGCGGCAGCGGAAGTTCAGAAGGAAGAAAAGGAAAGAAACTTCGTCGTGCGGAGAAGAGAAGAGAGAAAAAGGTAGATCAGAAATAGTAATAAAAAAAAAGGAATACAGTTGTGACGTGATGAGGCGAGAGTCATTGTTCGCCTCTCATTTCTTCTTTTTTTTTTTCATTCGCTCCATGCATGCTGTCCGCCCATTGCACTGGCCATCTTTAGGCGAATCGCATGCATTTCGTTGGGTTGTGATGAGGCGTGTTCGTCTCCATGTGAAAGTTCTCTTTTCGCCTTCCTGTGCGTGGACGCTTCGTGCGACGGCGTTTTCGTTGCTTCTGGTCGTTTTCTGCGATTTCACTTCCCCCTCCTTCGGAATTCTTTTCTAAAAAAAAAAGAGAATTGAAGGCGCCTTCTTTCCGTCTCCATGGATGCTCTTTTCTATTTTTATATTTTTCTGTAGAGTACTGCCATCTTCTCTGTGTCGCATCGCCTCTTTTTAAAAAAAAGTATATTTGTCGAATAGCAACGGCGCAAACTGGACGAGATAACAGCACCACCACGACAAAATGATAGCAGCTGCGAAACATGGTAGGAGGTTGACGACCCAGTCAGTGTGCATTGTCATACTATATGACATCGAATGATCTCTTCCCACTTCTCATATCTCTCTCTTTCTCTATGAAAGTGGCGTAATTGCCTTGTCGTGAGCGTTCTCTGGTCTCTTTTTTCTTTTTGCTGCTGCTTGCCTCCTGATTCGAAAGCGTTGGTAGTGTGTGCGCGTTGCACGTCTTTCGACAGCCCTACTCTTTGACGTCCAGCGGTGTTTCTCTTCTCCGTATTTCACGTTTCCTTCCCCTTTATTTCTGTTCTTTTCTCTGTTGGATGTTTTTCGTTTTTTTTCTTCACCGATTTTGACACTCTTTCAAAGGAGCGCAAACGGAGCCCGATGTTGGATCGTCACGTGATCTTTTCTTCTTGTATTCCCCTTCTGGTCCGTCTCCTTTCGTAATGCGCTGTTTTGTTCTCTCTCTCTCTCTCTCTCTTCAACGTCAGTGAATGTATATGATGTTTTCTATTCGATTTGTTTACTGTTTTTGTTTTATTTTCTCTTTTCCTTTTTTCTTTAAGAGCTTTCTGCGAGCTGAAAATGTCCTTTTCTCGTTTTTCTCATGCGTTGGTTTTTTGTTTTGTTCTCTCTCTTCAGTCCTCTCCCTCTCTGTTGATCCCCACCGTTTCTCACGCTTCGTCCTCTCCGTCGCTGAGGCCCTCTTTTTGCGTCCTGCAGTGGAAGCCGCAGCGCAGTCGTCTCCCCGAAGGAAAATCGAAGCGGACGCGCAGGACAATGGAAGAAGAAGAACAAAAGCGAAATAAGCGTTTCGCTGAGTCAAACTCTTAATACATATATATATCTGATTTCTTTTCTTCGTCTTAGAAGTGCAAGGTGGTCTTCTAATGATGGTAGGTGAATCAAGTGTTGAACAACGCACAGGCTCGCAGCTCAATTAGCCAAGAGAAAACACACACGAAGCAACACGGAATTGGTGGGAAGCAAAAAATGAAAACGAATGGGTACGGGTTTCCAGTGCCCACGCTTTCTCCTTCTCTCTTTTTCCTTTTTGAAAATGTGATTTCTCGTCCGTTCGTTTCTTCCCACTTGATGGCGTCCATCTGCAACTGTATCTAAAAAGAAAAAGAAGGAAGAAACATGAGAAAAAGCACACACGGCAGCTGTCGTAGGCTTTCACACTCATTACGCGCCGACTGACGCTGTGCAGAGGAGGGAAAGCGAACGGGGAAATAAGGAGAAAAAAAGCTGAGGCATAGTGAGCCTTCTTCTTTTTCCTCCCTTTTACAGGGTTGGCATGAATAAGACAACCGTTGGGTATACGAAGGGTGTTGATGCTTTGCTCTCCTCCACCCTCTCTGCGTCTGCTGCGTGATCAACTTCTGTCTTCCCGGGCGCTTCATCTCGTCGACCTGATTTGTGGTCGCATGTACCGCTGCTGTGTTATCGGGTACCAGGGATCAACGCGTGCTCTCCTTCTTCCGCCGCAGTTACGCGTGGGCGCGGCAGCGCAGCTCGAATAAAGTCCGTCATTTCCTCATTATTATTTTAATTATAGCTGGTTTGGTTTCCTCCTCTCTCTCTCATTCTTCATTTTTAGCTGTTGTGCCTTCCGCGCTGTTTCTGTGTCGCGCACGCACCGCATTTTCATTCTTTTCCCGTGAGGCTGCGCACTTCCCCAACCAAAAGTGCCGCAGCTCTACGAGGCGCGACGGCAAAACGAAGCAGCAAGAGCAGCAGAGTCGCATCGCACTCGCAAAGCACCCTTACCGCCTTTGCTGTAACCCTGCATCGTATTTTTCATCTTCACATCGTATTATTGTTAGTATCCTTTTTAGCACCGTGCGCGTCTGCCATTGGGCCCATCCAGACTATGCGCTTTACAGGTCTTCTCCGCCGCACGTCTCGCAAGGGACCGGGGAGCTGGTCGGAGCCGATCCTTCTGCACTCCCGTCACCGTTCCAGCGAGGGCAGCCCGCGGCCAACGCACGACGCGGACACCGCCGCCACCGCCGCCGCTTCTCCCGGTGCGTACGCACCAAAGGGACACGTCAAACGGAAGGGCGTAGGCCGCAGCCCCAACGCGGCGGGTGCCGTCTCGTCCGCCTCCGCGTCTTCTTCCGCCGCCGCCTTCTTCGATGGGGCGGACAACGCCTACCAGTACGCGAGTGCGCGCGGCCTCGACAGCGGCCACGGCGAGATCCACCACCCCTCCCACTACAACTGGAAGGCGGACCCCGCGCTGAACAACCCACCACCGCAGATGGACTTTGCGCGGGGCAGCCTGCGCGGGGAGGGACACGGCAGCGTGCCGCACGGCGTGAAGCGCGTGACGGACTCCATTCCGCCCATTCACGATTTTCTCAAAGGCGGCGGGGAGGCGGGGGAGAGCCGCCAACACGGCACGGGCACGAACTGGCTCGGCGGGGATCGCGGGAAGGCGATCCCTGACACCCTGGAACGGGCCACGATGCAGCACTCCTTCGGTGCCGGGGAGTTCTCCATGGTGGACCGCCAGAAGGTGACCTTGACGCGTTTTCTGCGTCTTCTCATGGACGCCACACTGAAGCCGCGTGACGCCGACAGTCGCGTCTTTGGCGGCGACGGCGCCACGAAGCTGGCCGAGCAGCGCGAGGAGCTCAAAACCTTGGATCAGCGAATTGCACCCTTTCAGCACGATGAACTGCTGAACGACTACCTCAAGAACATGGACCGGCTGCACACCCCGAGCGGAGCCATATGCGAGCGAGAGGTGCTCCTGGGCAGATTGGTGGGGATTCTCTTCTTCACCGAGTCGGAGCGCTCGCTGGACTTCATGCGGCGCCTCCAGCCTTTTCACAAAACACACAGCCCCGACTTTGTCGTGGTGGCCGTCTCGCTGGCCGGGAAGGAGATGATGGACGTGACGCGGTCGCTTGGCTTTTTCCACTGCACCCACCGTGACGGCGCGACGTGGGTGACGCGTGATTGCGGGCTGATGATTCGGCCCTTTATGCCTCTGCCTCGACTTCTGATTGTGAACGGCACGACAGGAATCGAGGTGACCCGCGGTGGGGTGACGGCGGTGGTAGCGAACCCGTCTACGTGCTTTCAAGCCTGGCGGCGTGGAGACCGCGGCTACAGCTATCGAGATTTTCTGCAGTCCATGTATCTGTAGCCGTCATCGTCCTCTACACGTGCGCACATGCTCGTGTGCGGGTGTGCCGCGTGGATGACGAAGCGGAGAGAGAGAGAAGAAACGTTTTTGCGTTCTCTTCCACCGCTACTTACGAGCGGATCAGTGGAAACGGCTATCGTTTTTTCTTCTCCTTTGTAATTTTTGGGTGTGGTACTGTTTGACGGCACAAGCTGGAGCAGCGGATATTGCGTTTTCCGCGCAACGTGTGTATGCTTGGGCGTGGGTGCGCGCGTGAGCCACCAGCGTTGCAGCGAACCGTGCAGGGCTCCTTGAACAACAACGTTCATGATACAGAATAGTACGGTGCCGGATATATATACTGAAAGAGAGGCGTGGAAGAATACCACTAATTAAAAATATGAGAGCCCCCCTTACATGCGTAAGCAAGGGAAACCCTCTCCCCCGGCAACAGCTGGAAGCGACGCTGCCTTCATTGACACAGTCTCGTCAAAGTAAAAGAGTAGTATGTGCTATAATCGCGTTCAAGCCACATCGAACACATCACACTATCAGCGGTTTTTTCTCTCTCACTCCTTTGGAATTTTTCCCTTTTCCTGGACACTGCCGTCTTCAGCGCAACACGCAACCACACTCACGCTCCGTAGTAACCGGTGTTGACTGGATCCATCCCCAACAAGCAAACAAACATATATATATATACATATATATATCTTCTCAGGTGCATATATATCTATATAGTGTAGACGTATTGATCTGGCAACGCCGTTTTCTTCAAAGGAACACGCTTGAAGGCTCGATACCAAATTGTTCTTATCTTTTCTGTTTCATTTTGCAGATACCGAAATAACCGCGCGCGTCTCACCATTCTACTGTAGTAGGGATCTTTCTTTCTCTTTTATTTTTTCCTGCCCCAATCATGTCCGCCGACGTCGTTGTGTCAAGTCAGGAGGAAAGCAGCACCCTGCTGGTCGGTTTGGACAAAGCAGTCGGTGCGCTGTCGTCGAAGGAGATCAAGGATGCGCTGGAGAAGGGCGACATGCGCGCCCGCGCAGAGGCGTTAAAGGCGGTTATTCGCCTTCACGTCAATGGCGAGCCACAAAACCACCTCATCATGACTGTGATTCGCTACATCACTCCCATCGACGACCACCTCATCAAGAAGCTTGTGCTCTACTTCTGGGAGGTCATTGACAAGCGTGACGCTAACGGACTGCTGCCCGTCATCATCCTCATCTGCAGCTTTCTGCGGAACGACCTGCTGCACCCCAACGAGTACGTGCGCGGCCTCACGCTGCGCTTCCTGTGCAAGGTGAACGAGGTTGAGCTGATCGAGCCTCTCGTCTCGGCCGTCGTGCAGAACCTGTCGCACAAGGTCGCCTACGTGCGCCGCAACGCGATGCTGGCGGTGCACTACATCTATCAAAAGTTCCCGAAGCTGCTGCCCGACGCCCCGGAGCTGGTCGAGAACGCCATCCGCCAGGAGTCCGACGTGCCGACCTGCCGCAACGGGCTCGACTTCCTCGCCGCCTTCGCCCCCGAGCGGGCCGCGAGCTACCTCAGCGACTTCCGCGACTCACACAACCTCGCCAGCGTGGAGGGGCCCTTTCTCATGTCCGTCGTGGACTTCTGTCAGCAGATGATCCGCGCGAACCCGTACGAGAAAGCGCGCTACGTCCCGGTGCTCCTCTCGGTGCTGCAGAGCAAGAGCGCAGCCGTGCGCTTCCAGTGCGCCACCACGCTGCTCAGCCTCTCCTCGTCGCCCACCGCCATCCGCCAGGCAACACTGACCTACGTCGACCTCATCAAGTCGCACTCCGACAACAGCGTACGCCTGATTGTCGTGGAGCAGCTGAACCAGATGCGCGGGCCGTACCTGCACGTGCTGCAGGACTCACTGCTGGACATTTTAAGCGTCCTGCAGGACGGCACCATGACCATCCGTGAGCGCGTCATCGAGCTCGCCGTGGAGCTTGTGACGCGGCGCAACGCGGAAACCTTTATGCAGGCCATGCGAAAAGAGCTGCTGCGTGCGAGCCGCATGGATTCGGAGGTGGAGGACAACAACGTGGCAACGGCGTACCGCCTGTTGATCATCAAGGCCATGAACACCGCCTTGCTGCGTCACCCGCCCTCGGCGCCGTCCACATTGCCGGTCCTGCTCGACTACGTGTGCGACTCCTCTAGCACCAGCAAGGAGGTCATCACCCTCATTAAGGAGGTGCTGCTGTCGCAGCCGGAACTGCGCCGCGACACGCTGCGCAAACTCACTGACGTTTTTCCGATGATGACGTCCAGCGCTGTCATGCGCACCACGCTGTGGATGTTTGGCGCCTACACCGCCACGACGGAGGACGTCGTGCAGGCCTTCGAGACGCTGAAGAACGCCGTGCTGCCGCTGCCGTTTGTGGTGCCGAAGGTGGCCGTGCTGGATGCGGCAAACCTGACCGCCGCCGCGGCAGCGAACAACAATAAGATCAACAGCAGCAGCAGCGCCAGCGCGCAGCCGAACCTGCGAGCCGTGACGACCGTCCGCGAGGATGGCACCTACGTCACGACCTTCACTACAGAGTCGGCCTCGCCTGCACCAACGACAACGACGGAGAACGACTCCGATGCGACGGTGAACGCCGACGTCGGTGCGAGTGGGCTGCGTCAGGCACTGCTGAAAGGCGACTACTTCCTCGCGGCGGCCCTCGCCAGCACGCTCACGAAACTCGTGGTGCAGCTCTTCGCCTCTGCAGACGCGTCGGCCACGGTCGACTCGGCGACACGCAACACAGCCCAGTCCGATGCGCTGGCGATTCTGCGCGAGGTGCTGCGCTACGGCACCGCGGTGGACACCGCCTACCCGGTCGACTCCGACACCCACGAGCACTTGCGCCTCAACATCTCCCTCCTCTCAAACCCGCAGTCGGCGTTTATGGTGGATGTCCTGCAGGCCTCCACCGGTGCCCTCGCTCGTGCGGAGCAGCGGGGGGTGCGAGTCGGGGCGGGCAGCCCGGAGGCGGCGAAGGGCGGGGTGCGGCTGAACTCCATCGACGCCCCGGTTATCTTCTCCCAGCTGAGCGAGGGCAAGGACGCCGTGTTTGAGCTCGAAGCCACCGCCGACGCCGCCGGACCTGGGCCGAAGGAGGAGACGAGCGAGCGCAAGGCGGAGCGCTTCTTGAAGAAACTGGAGGACACGACGCCGCTCTCCGGCTTCAACGACCCGGTCTACTGCGAGGCCAGCATTACGGTGAATCAGTTTGATGTGGCGGTGGACTGGCAGCTGGTGAACTGCACCTCGCAGCAGCTGTCGAATCTCACCATTGAGCTGGTGTCCCTCGGCGGCATGAAGCTGTGCGAGCGGCCGCAGACGTACACCCTCAACCCGCACGAGACACTCGCCGTGCGCACCTCGCTGAAGGTGAGTGCGACGGAGACCGGCGTGATCTACGGCACAGTTCTCTACGACGCGCCGAACAATCAGCGCTGCAGCTTCATCTTGAACGACATCCACGTGGACATTATGAACTACATCCACCCCGGCCCGTGCTCCGCGGCGGAGTTTCGCGAGAAGTGGGGCATCTTCGACTGGGAGAACAAAATTGCCGTGTCCACGACGAAGCGTGATCTGTCGAGCTTTGTGCGGTACATCGTGAAGGAGTTGAACATGGAGCTGCTGGAGCCGTACGAGGTGGAGCAGCAGGAGACGCACGACCCGGAGCTGGAGCAGCTGCCTACCTCGGACGAAGAGGAGCGGTGCGGCTACGTCTCGTGCAACCTCTACGCCCAGACCGCCTTTGGCGAAGACGCGTTGGCGAACGTGAGCGTGGAGAGCGACGGAAAGGGCCTCGTGAGCGGCGTCATTCGTATTCGCTCCAACACGCAGACGATCGCCTACGGCATTGGTGAGAAGCTGAACATGCTCCAGAAATCAGGTAGGCTGTAAAGAAGGCAGAAAAGAAAGGTTCTTTTTGTCTTGTTTCTCCAACAATATCATCGTATCATCTTTGGTAGACGATGACAAAGTAAGTTGCTGCGCCGTTGCTCTGCTGTTGAGTAGTTTGTGTCTGCTATCGCGCTGTACATGTGCTAAACGGCGGTGATACTAGATACTTCTGTCTGTTTGCGTATTTGTTTGCTCGTATGAGATGTGTTTCTTTGGTGAGGGATTTCTTGCCGTGCTTCTTCGCTTGTCTGTGTTTGAATGCTCGTCGCCGTGCCCGTCTAACGCAAGGAGGCGAACCGCGATGCGGTCGGTGTTTCCAACGTCCTTCACTTCTTGCCTTTTTTCTTTTCTGCTGCGCAGCACGAATGAAGGCAAGGAGAGGACCGACGTTGGACTGCAGCAGCGGCAGCAGTTCAGGGAACATTAGAATGTGCGCTGCTGCTCGAATGGGGTGGGGGAGGGGGGCAGAGGTTTGTTCTTTCTGGGGCGTCTCTTCTTGCCGGTTTCGTCGACCTTAACAACCACAAAAAACCCCAGCCAACCAACAATGCACGTCAACCACGTAAGTTAATTAGAGAAAAACAACAACAACAACAACATTTTTTCCCTCCCAGCGATGCGAGGAGGAGAGAATAACAGAAACCAAGAACGCTGCAGCATCACGTGTGTGTGCGTGGGGGCCTCTTCGTTCGATGTAGACGCCTTTCTCGAGCTTCTCTTAGCATCATTTCGTTTTGGCGGTGGAGGGAAGTGTCGAAGGCCATTTCTGATGGTAAAGAGCGCTCTTCCCGCAACGACACCCATGCACGGCACAAGTCGGAGACGGATGGGTAAGCGTGGCATCCCGTTGGATTCCTGCGCACCAGTTCGTTTGCAGACGCTACAAAGGACTCCTTCTTGATGACCAACTCTCCCTCCTTCCTTTTTCCCTTTCTGCGTTCCTCCACGTCAGGTTGATTTCACCTTTCTTCTTGTTTATTTCTTTCTCTCTCTAGGATCCTCGTGTTCCGTTGCGCATGTCCGTCGGTTTGGCATCCATCAGCCTCGCCGAGGTGCGCGCGGTGCAGGACGGCGTCGCACATGACGTGCGCGAGGACGGCCGCACGCTGCTGCAGCGCCGCCCTGTGCACGTCATCCCCCGCTCGAGCCCCTCCGCCTCCGCCGCCACCGGGAAGGTCGATGACGGCACGAGCGTGGGTGGCGAGGCGCATGCGGGATACAACGGCAGCTACGTCGAGGTGAACGCGAGTGGCACGGTGGTGCTGGCAGCCGCGACGCCCTCCGTCGTGGACGGCTGCGGCACCACTACCTCGTCCTCTTATCGTAGACATGGCGATGACTCCAACGCGGAGGATGTCGCTGCTGCGGGTGCTGGCGTAGCAGACAATGACGCCGGCCGCGGTCAGCTGCACATCACCATCGATGCCGTCCCGCACGTCTTGGACGCCTACGCGAGCGCGGTGGGTGGCCGCAACGTGAGTCGCTACCGACGCGACTACTTAGCCTTCCTCGCCTCCACCATTCGGCAGGTCTTTGGCGCGGCGCAGGTGCAGGTGCAGGAACAGCAGGGCGTTGCGGAGGCGGAGGTGTTGCCGGAGGAGGACGAAGGAGGGAATGAAGAGGCGGCGGGCGGGGGTGGGGCGGCAGCGGTGACCTCGTCTTCCTCTGGCGCTGCTGCTGCTAGGGACAGCGGGGAGGCCAATCTGTCCAGCGGCTTCCCTGCAGAAGAACTCTACATTGGCGAGGGCTTTGGGTTTTTGATTCACGTGGACGTGCACGTGCTGCAGTGCTCGGGTGGCAACCTTTTCACCTCCATCGCCTACGCCGTCCACGCCGCCCTGCGCGCTCTCCAGCTGCCCGCTGTCACGCTCCACCGGGCGCCGGGCGATGGGGCGGGGGTGTCGGTCGAGGTGGACCGCGCCCAGCCCTACCGCAAGCCCGTGTCGTGGGCGCAGCTGCCCCTGCTGTGTGTGCTGTTGGTGTCCCCTACGGGTCACTACGTGGTGGACCCGACGCTGCGGGAGGAGTGGGCGTTGCCGCAGCAGGTCCACGTGGCGGCAGGGGTAGACGGGCAGGTGTTTTACTTCCGCTATCAGCAGCTGCCGTCGCGTCGTGGCAGCAGCTATCGCCTGCACGAGGCGGTCAAGGCGGACACGGCGGCAGCGTGTGCGGCCTACGTCGCCCCGCCCTCGGCGTTGAGCCTCAACGATTGCTGGGCGGTGCTGTCCGACTCAGTGTACGTTTGCCAGGCGATGATTCATGACTGTGAAGAGGCACTACAGGGGCAGAGAGACCTTCATTAGGTGGCGTCGCCACACACCCACGCACAGATGGATAGGTGGAGAGGGAGAGCTATCTACTGAAGCGGAGAGTAAGCGCACCCCGATGGGATCAGTGAAAGCCGCTGCACCGCCTTTGGACGTGGAATAATCGAAGCAATACGTATCTACTGTCGAGAAGCGACACAGGGCGCATTTTCAATGAAGAAAACCTAAGCGACTAAAGAAATGCAGGAGCGTGATGTTTTGAAGCGTCGTCGCGCTTTGCAAATATATATTTAAAGGCATGACAAGAAAAGCGAAGCCAGCGGGAGAATAATGGACACCGTGGCTTTCCCTGGTGGCAAAAAGCGGTTGGAAGAGAAAACGATGCCGCTGGCGAACTATTGACCTTGCAGGCTTTCAATATATGTGAACAGCAGCGTCTACGCTACGATACGGTGCCCTTGGCGAGTTGTTGCGTAGCCCCGTTCTGTACCGTCGCCGCCTCTTTTCTTTTTTTCTGGCTTCAGCGTCACAGCGGCTATATATATGTGTGTAACCGTCGTTAGGCAGTTTTGTTTTCTAAACCTTGGGGCCCCGGTTCTTACACGGAAACTGCCTCTATCCACTCCTCCTTCCTTCGCGACTCTCCTCCGCTCTTTTGTTTTTCACGATTTGCTGAACCTCCCCCCGAAATGCGTCCGTCACGGTTCAGATTCATCTCTTTCTAGATATTAGATTTTTTAGACCTTTCTTTTCGTTTCCTTCGACTCACCTTTTTCTTCTTTCTTACCTTCACATCTCATTTAGACGTTCCGTGCTCCCTGTGATCTCTTGATCCTGTCCCGCATACGATCTTGGCGAACGACAGACCTGGCGATTCCCTTCGCTTCACCCTCCTCTGAACACACCTACATACATATACATACATATACACACATATATATATATATCTTTCCCTTTTGTTTAGTGAGAAGACCTGTAAAGATAAAAAGGTGCTTTCTACTAACGATCACCGAGCAACGAGCAACGAGCCCGATCAGAATTTTAGAAGTATTACTGGCTCATTGCTTCTGCTGTCCGGTCTTCTCCCTCGTTGTTTCGCACGTCTACATTTTTTTTCCTTGACCCGCTTAGACTCACCCCTTCGCTCTCTTTTTGCCGTTTCGTTGTTCTTGCTGTCGCTGTGCTTCCTCCGCTGCGTTACGTGGATCAAAGCATCATTTACATATTCAACTCCTTTCCCTTTCACGAGACGCGGGATCAACGCGTACACGTTAGATTTTTCCCTTCCTTCTTTTCTTACCTTTTTTGTCTTTTCTTTTCTAGACCTAGTGCTGCGCCTGCGCAGCGGTGTTATTGACGTTAGACTTGTTTGATCACCCCTACGCACCGGCACGCTTTCTTTCCTTCCCCCTTTCCTTCCTTCTCACCTGCGTTCAGAGAGACATCTCCACCCCCGAATACGCATTCGTTGACGCGAAGCTTGCCACCGCTGAAAAAGAAAAGAAAACAATCAGGAGGCCTCGTCTTTGTCTCACGGTCGCTCTCCCCTGCGACCTTCAACCCAACACCTTGAGGCGCGATCCTTTCTCTTATTCTTCCACCCCACCGCTCAAGAGCGAGACTCATGCCTGCGCAGACCGGCTTGCGTGATTTGGGCCGCAACAATGCGCCGGACTGGCGCGGCATCGCTGCCAAGAAGGGTGCTGCGCCGCCCCTCCACCGCAGCTCCGCCAAGTCTGTCGTCCCCCCCGCAGCCGTCCACGCCACTTTCATCAGCCCGCCGCGCAACACGCCGATCTTGCCCGTCAGCAACTACAACAGCATCAGCAATGCGAGTTACGGGAGCGCTGCGGTCGACGTCGTGAACGGGGCTGCGGAGAGCGAAAACGCCATGGTGCGCCAGGGCTGCAACGCTTGCCTGGCCAAAGCCGAGTACTCGCTGACCTCCGGCAACCTCCGCAGCAACCTCGACGCGTCTCTCCCGCCAGGTGGGACGGAGCTGCTGCCGTACGCGAAGTCCGCCGCCTGCGAGCGCGGGTCAGACCTGCGTTCCGTCAGCGATGTGCCGGTCCTCTCGATGGGCTGCGAGGAGGAGTCGCGGCGGCCCATCACTGTGGCGCCCATGGCGGGGCTGGCGAGTGCCCGCGGCCACGTCTGCGCCGTTCCGTCCGCCCCGCCGACGCCGTCCGCCTTCATTGCGGCGGGTGCCACCGCTGCCGACGAGATCGTGGCGGCCTTCCTGTCGACGTGTGTGGGCCGGGTGGCGGAGGCTGCCTGCACGCCGCAGGGCAAGACGCTGCTGGTGGCTGCGCTGGAGACGGAGCGGGAGGAGGTGCTGGTACCGGTGGTGGCGGAGATCTGCGACGCACTGGGCGAGGTTGCCGTGGACGCACACGGCTGCCATGTTCTGCGCACGCTCATTGAGGCATGCACGGCGGAACAGACGGAGGAGCTGATGGCCGCCATGTACCCCTCCGTCATCTTGAACATCTGCACCACCTCCCAGCACACTCGCCTCAGCCTACAGTCCTTGTTTGAGCGCCGGCTGGTGGATTTGTGGCCGGTGGTGGATGTTCTGGCCGCCAACGCCGGCTACCTCGCCGCGACGCAGCAGGGCTGCATCTCTCTCATGCGCGTCTTCGAGCGCTGCGACGTGGACCAGAAATCCGCCCTCGTCCATGAGTTGCTGCCAAAGTTCGCCGCCCTCTCAAAAGACAGCTATGCAAACTACATGGTGCAGTGCGCCATCGAGCACACGGACCGCACCACCGCCGCTCAGTACGTTGTGCAGTTCTTCGCAGGGCACCTCCTGCAAATGAGCTGTGATAAATTCTCGAGCAACGTGGTGGAGAAGGTGGTGCGCGTCTGCGGCGGTGTGCCGGCGGTGCGGCGCCTGGTCCTGGACGAGCTGGTGTACAACCCAGCTGCGTTGAAGGAGTTGGTGTCGGACGGCTACGGCAACTTCGTCGTGCAGTCCGTCATCGAGGTGACGACCAACGCGATGGAGCTGAAGCGGGTTGAGGACCGCCTGCGTCCGGCGCTGGTCGGCAGCCCCTTTGCGGCGAAGATCGAGGCCAAGCTGAAGGCGAAGCGCCCAGGACAGCCACACGCTGCGACGAACGGCCACCACCAGCCACAGCACCCACTGCAACAGCCACTGCAGCAGCATCGTCCCACCGCTTACATGAACCGGATGAACCAGGTGAACGTGTTCGGCCTCCCGGCCAGTGTGAACTCGCCGATGCACCAATGCGCGCCGCAGCGGTCTCCGTCGTACCGAAGGCCGGAGAGGCAGGATATCGCCTTGATGCCGTTTACTGCTGCTGCTGCTGCTGCTGCTGCTGCTGCCAGCGTGTGCACCAACAACAGCGGCAGCTTTCGTCATCGCCCCTACGATGCGCAGGCGTTGCAAAACTTCCACGATGCCAATGCGCAGCTTCGCAACGCACCACTGGTGCAGGTGCCAACCGCCGGCTACTATACGTTTCAGATCGTGCAGGGACGCGGTGATGGTGATGCGGATGGCGCTGTTGTCACTGCTGAGGGCGAGGTGGAGGACAGTGGTCCCGTTTACGGTCCTTCGCCGGCAGCTCGCCGCCACCTCCAGCAGCAGCAACAACAGTTCCGTCCTCCGTTTAATGGAATGCTGTAATAAATGCGGTGCCGCTGCGAAGACTGGCAGCTGCTTGTCGTACCGCCGCTCCGCATTGGCGCAGATGCGTCTCCAAGACGCCGCCGCCTTCTTTTCTTCGCGTTTGTTGTTCCCACTCTTTGATGACCTTGCGGGGTTGTTTTATAGGTGGGAGTGTTAGTTGTGTAGAACCATTTGCGCAGCCGAGTTTAGGCCTCATGTCTTTTTTTTCCTTCTTCTCTTGATTGGCGCACGTAACGCTGATGCGGTGGAGAACCAGCGAAATTAGGTGCTGATGTCGAGCTGCGTCAGCGCGATGACGATAGTTCTCGGCGTTCCAATGTGTTGGGTCGTCACCTATAGTTTCTTCTTTTGATTAGATCGCTTGTTTCCTCCTGTCTCTCCTACGCTTTCTGGCAGTTGTCTTTGATGTGTTCATGCGCGCTGGAGAAGTCGAAGTTCGGCAAAAACAAATACAAAAGGAAAAGCAAAAGAAAGCAAAACGGCATGCTTTTTTAAAGACACAGAATCGTTCTGCAGTGGGTCTTCAAGAGAGGCCGTGGTCGCGAGAAAGGCGCGCCGTATAACATTGACTTCTAAGGTGAAAACAGATACGCAGAGAGCACCACAACAGATATGTGAGGTGGATATATATAACCCACACTTCTTTCTTTTTGCAACGGTGACACTAGCGAGCCGTTCGCTGACTGCAGTGACACGCGGGTTCCCCCATCCACCGTTTTTTGTTGTAAATGCACCACGGCACGCCCGCGGTGACGCTGTTCGCGTGGGGGGTGGGGAGTGCTGCCATGCACTCTCCCTCTTTTAAAAAGAGAAAGAACCACTTTGTGCCGTGCACTTCGCCCTTCTTTCACGTGCGCGATCATCTGCCCTCCCTTCTCCCTTCTCTGCTGCGCCTCGCTGTGCCACGCACACACACATACACACGGAAGTGTCAAAGATTCCAGCTGTCCGCCACATCGCGCCCGTTGTTCCCTTCGCCAAACGGTTCCCCCGTGCTGTTCGTGTGGGAAGCAACGTTTTTCTCTCTGCAAGTGTGAACGCAGCTTTCGGCAAGGAGTCCCCGCCATGCTGCCCACCACCAACAACCGCGGCTGCTGCGTCCGCAGTCGCTTTCTCCCCAAGGCCGCCCGCCCCCCGACGGACGCCGCCGCCTTTGCGGCGGGCCCTCCGCAGCTGGCGCAGCGCGGTGTGGAAGTGCTGCGGGCGTCGATGTGCCTGACGTTAGACGAACTCTACTCGGAGATGGAGTTCGCGCTGCAGGAGGACGGAGGGCGGTGCCCGTGGCCGCTGATCCGCCTGCTGGCTGCCAACGCGCCCTTCCTGGCGGTGTCGCAGCGTGGCTGCCCCGTATTCATACGCGTTTACAAACGCGTAGATGCGGAGCGGAAGGAAGTGCTGGTGAGCCACCTGCTGCCCCAGTTCGCCGCCCTCGCAAAAGACAGCTATGCAAACTACATGGTGCAGTGCGCCATCGAGCACACGGACCGCACCACCGCCGCTCAGTACGTTGTGCAGTTCTTCGCAGGGCACCTCCTGCAAATGAGCTGTGATAGATTCGCAAGCAACGTGGTGGAGAAGGTGGTGCGCGTCTGCGGCGGTGTGCCGGCGGTGCGGCGCCTGGTCCTGGACGAGCTGGTGTACAACCCAGCTGCGTTGAAGGAGTTGGTGTCGGACGGCTACGGCAACTTCGTCGTGCAGTCCGTCGTGTCCACGGTGGCCGGCCTCTCGGAGCTGGGCATCGTGGCGCGGGTCTTCGAGTTGCCCGGGGTAGACTTGTCTTTCGCCACCAACATCTTGGCGAAGGTGAACATGCGCCGGCGAGACGTGACGGCGTCGCTGATGCCCGCACGTCGACCATCATTGCGGCAGCCACCGCACCAGCCGCAGCCCGTCGCCTCCTCTCTGGCGGCCCGCACAGCCGCTCATCGGGACGCAGCGAGCCCATCTACCTCTGCAGCGATGTCGCAGCACGACGCGCCCGTCGTGTTTGTGGGGGTGCGACCCCTCGGTCGTGGTCGATATCGGTTCGACCCGTACCGCGTGGCGCTCTCGGAGGTGGATGTGGAGGACACCGCTCTGCTGTTCCGCCCGCAGCAGCTTTCCTCGGGGTCAAAGCATTCCGATTCTGATGGGCAGCGGTCGTTAGGGCAATGGGGCTAGCGCCCCCTTCTCTGACTGGGCAGCCCCCGCCCCCTCCCCTCTCCCCCCTCTCTCCACACACCCACACAGCAGTAGCACACGTCGGCTGCGGGGGGAGCGGTGCGACACAGCCTGAGCGATGTGGCGTGGACGCAAGAAGGACGGTCTGTGCTGCTTCGTGCGCTGTGTGGTGTGCGTGCGTTTGGGATCTGCACGTGCGCCGCGGTGACCTGCGTGGCGTGCGTGGGTGCGATTTCCCCCCGCACCGTCTTTTTTGTACGCTCCGGCGCTGCTTTTCTCTCTCCCCTTCAAACTACTCGTTTTTGTACGCGCAGACCGAGCCCGCTTGGGCGTCGCTCCGTCTGTCCTCGCTTTCTCTCTTTCGTTTTGCGTGGTGGCCCATCTGGCGAACCGTGTGTGTGTGTGCGGGACATCGGCGGCTTTTTCTTCGTTGTGTTTCCTCGCACCCAGCCCTTCACCTTGAGCTGCTCGAGGCCGTTGCCGCTGCGAAGCCCCCTCCCCTCCCCGTCCACACACCGGTTTGCACAGACTGACGCGCTGCGATAATCGATTTTTCACTAGAGTCAGATCAACCTCAAAACCGCAAAGAATACTCGGACGCTGCTCTTCCCCCCCCCCCCCCCGCCACCGCCTTCGCGGCCCCACCAGAGCGGAGCGCGCAACGAGCTGCTGTTTAACTCCCGTGCGCGGCGTGTTGTGAGCGATTGGGATTTCGCACAACAACGCACCTCTCTGCGGAGGCGGTGCACTCCGACAAGACCCAGGATGAACTGCGGGCTTTTCTGCTGTTGCAATGCCGCATCGGACGGTGACGTCGGCTCAAACGAGGACGAAAGCACCGAGCCACCTAACGTCCGCTGCGCTGCGAGCGGTGCGTGTGTGCACGTGCGACGCGTAACCGTTTCCTCTTCTGTACGATTCGTCGAAGCAGTTTTACTCCTGCCCTTTTCTTCTTTTCCTCTTTTCGCTTATGCGCTGCCACGACGACTGTGCCGCTGCGTGTTGGCTGCCTGCCGTCCCCGTCCAAGTTCTTTGCGTTGTGTTTCTGTGTGTCTGCCCGGATGACGAGGGACGCTCCTGCGGCGACGACAAGGAAAGAAGTGCATTCTCACACCCCTCGGAGCTGAACCGCCGAGGAGCGATCCCACTTTCGGCGCAGACAATTAAGACGTGTGATGTATCGCTGCTGGGAAAAGATACAACAGCAGCACCAACCACCAGAAATAGAGTTAGGCTTCATTCAGTCCAGAGCCCGACGCGAGCACCGCTCTTCGTGGCGTTCGCTTTGGGTGCGTCTGGGGCTCTCTGGGGTGTCGTACAGGGCAAGGAGGACACCTCCAGCACCAAGACAGCACCGTTGCTATGGAGCAGACGGGCGGCCGTGGCAGATCGTCTCCATCGGTGTCCCTCGGCCGGCCCTCGGCCTTTCTCGTGCACCACCCCTGCCACGCAAACGGCGCTGGCTACGGCGGCAGGGACCCGCCACTGCCGCGCGTTCTCCGTCCCTCCGTCCCGCACGCACAGTCGTGGACGGCGTCGTCTGCGATGGCAGCTGCGGGGCCGTCGCCGCGACTCGCTGAGGACGTCTCACGACTCCCGCTGGACTTGCTAGAGCCCGTTGCGGCACGCTGGGCCTCTACGGCGGGTCGTGGCAGCCGCACCGCCCCACGCGTGCGCAGCACCCTCGGCCCGCAGAGCGACGTTGTGGACACCGGCGTCTTCGTCTGCCCCGACACTGTCGTCGCCGCCCTCTGCCCCACCACCGGGTGTCGAGAGGGTTTAGTGGTGACGGCGGAATGTGGGGGATGGCTGCGAGTGCGGGAGCAACGGACGGGCGTGATTCGACATCAACAACAGCTGCGGGACGGCAATGAGACGTCGTGCCTCACTTGGGCCTCGCCGTTCGCCGCGGCTGCTGGTGCACTCGATGGAGAAGATGCGAGGGCGCTGCAGACGGTGGTTGTGGTGGGCCAGCTGAGCGGCCTCATCGGCTGTTACGCGTTGGTGGGCGAGTCGTTGGTGGAGCTGACGGCGGCTACGTGCGTGTTGCACGAGGCACCGATTATTGCCTGTGTGCCACTTCGCCCCTCCGCCACCGCTGCCGCTTCTTTCCATGCGGTCTCGGCGATCTTAGGGCCGGATCAAAACTGCCTGTTATCGTTGGACACGGACGGCGTGGTGGCACTGTGGTCGCTAGACGTGGGTGAGGCCCCAGGAGGTAGCGCGGTCGCACTCGCGGTGCAGCTGCTGCACTGCTGCGATGCGTCATCGTCGACGGAGTCGTGGTCGCGCCGAATGGCCAAAGGAGGAGAGGTGGAGGCGGAGGCGCACGCAGCGGCAGCTGCTCCGCCGGTGGTGGTGTCCGCTGCGTCACTCGGGCCGGCCTCGTTCGGTGCTGTATTCACCACCCATCTTTTCGTAGAGCCCTCGACGGCCCTTCCTGAAGAGGACGGCATTGCCGATGACAACGACGCTGCGGAGAGCGAGTATGATGGCGTGTCCGACGCGTTGGTGTACCTCACGGACTTTGTTTTGTGTGAGGAGGACGATGGGAGGGCCGCGCGGCACGATTTCGACGGCACCACCCTGGCGATGCCGCCCTATCACTCCGACACCACTGCGTCCGCGTCCACCGACGGCGCGGCTGCTTCTGATTCTGCTGCCCCTCAGCTGCCTCGTCCGAGTTCAGTGCTGCTACCACCACGGTATCGCTGGGAGGTGCTGTGTGCGTACCGCGTGCCCGAGGGGCTGCGCACCCGTCCAGAGCCCAGCGCGCCGTCCATCGTCTCTCTCTGTGTGGTCGGTGGTGGTGGTGGTGGTCGGGGCGGCAGCAGCGACCCCGCAGCCCAGCCTGACCAGCTCTGGGCCGGCACAACGGATGGACGTCTCCTCATCTGGCAGATCTACACAGGTCAGTTTGTGCGCTGCCTCCGCAGCCGCTCCATTTCTCCCATCCACAGTCTCACCTGTGTGCCGGCCAGCGGCTTTTGTGGAGCGAGTACCCGCAGTAGTGGCGAACCTCTAATCTGGGCAAGTCAGGCAGATGGCAGCGTGGTGGCTTGGAGTGCCGTCACCTACGCTGTTGTCGAGGTGCTGCCGGTCAGCTACCCGTCTCCACCACCACCGTCGTCGTCCTCCGTGGCCGAAAGCATCGAGGGTGTCGTGTCGGTGCGCGACGCCGTCGATCTCCTGCGTGCCACCCGCCATCAACTCCCAATGTCCTCTTCTCCTTCGCTTTCCGGTTCCTCGCCGTGGACGCAGAAGGGGAGCGGCTTCACGTTGTTTGTACAGCCAATGGAGGTGGTGTGCATGCAGCGGGCGTGGTCCGTGGCCACCGACGGCACGGTGCGCACCTGGCTCTTGCCGGCAGGCAACGCTGCTCCAGGCGGCGACGGGGAAGGCGGGAACTCTGGAGAGGCGGTGCTGGATGCGTACACGGTGCAGTGCTTTGTGCAGGAGAAGGCCGAGGCGTGCCTGCGGGAGCGTCAGGCCCAGCACCTGGAGCGGGCCGCACAGGAGGCGCAGCTGTCCGCCCTGCGTGAGCGCAATGAGGTCCTCGCTGCGGCGCTGCGGCAGGCGATCGGACGACTCGAGCGGGTCGGCGCGGAGGGGTTGGTCCGCTCCGCCTCTCCCCCCGGCACCCCGCCGCCTCCCTCGCGAGAGTCGCGGAAGGGGTCGGATGGGCGGGACACAGCGACGGAGAGGGAGGGGGATGGCCAGATGGACAAGAAGTCACGCCAAGACCCGGCCAAGACGGGGCAGCCACCACGTTCGTCGTCGCAGCGGTCTGCCGCCTCCTCGCGCAGCACTGCGTCCTCCGCGTCCCAGCCGTGTGGTCGTCTCGTGGCGGCCGCGACGGAGGCCGCTCCGTTAGATGCGCTGCGGTCATCTACACCCATCGACAACCGCAACAGCAGCAGCGGCAGCGGCACTGACACACAGATGCGCGTACAGGTGCTGCAGCAGCTGCTCGATGAGCTGCACAGCAAGTTGGAGGAGAGCTGGAGCCGCAACGATGCCCTGCGCGAGGAACTGTTGGTTTACCAGCTGCGGACACTGGAGCGGGAGGAGGATATGGCGCGGCGGGTGCGGGAGACGGTGAGGCGCGAGTCCGCTGTGGCTGCCGCCGAAGCAGAGGATGGTGGTGGCCGCGAAAGGGATGACCACAGCGTGACAGCAGCAGCTGCAGCGACAGCGTCGTCCTCATCATCGTCGTCGACCGCTGATGTTTCTACCGTTACTGCTTCGACGGCGGGACGCCGTGAGATTCGACACGGCACTCACAGCGATCCCCGTCGCGTGCCCGCGGGAGAGCCGGCAGCAGCGGTCACCGCCACCCCCACGACGCCCGCCACGGCAGACGCAGCACCACGCGATGCGGCACGTCGGCCGGTCAGCCCTTCCCACACCGTCGAGGCGCCCATCGTGGATGCGCTGGTGAGTCCGGCGACTTTGATCGCCGCTGGAACCGCACGTAGTGTGCCGGGTTCGAATTTTCCTGCCGCGCCTGGAGGCAGTGCGGAGGGATACCGAGAAAGGGAGGAGGAAGGGGAAGAGGGGGAGGGGACCCCCTTCCATGAGTCGTTCAACCCCGAGCCACGCACCACCAGCAGCGCAGCGGCCAATCGCTTCTTCACGGCGGCCTCCGCCGCCCTGCAGCGCCGCGGTGTCCCGGAGCCGTGGGAGGGCAGGGAGCGTGATGGGGCGGGCGGCACCCCTTGGGTGAGCAACAGACAAGGTGAGGCATCGCCGCCGCCGCCGCTGCGGCACATTCAAGCACCGCGTCCGCCTACGGAGGACTTGGAAAGCAGCGTCAGTGACATCGACGTGGACGTGTACACGGACGACGACGACGAGCAACCACCGGCGCTGGTCGCTGCCTGGAGCACGAGTGAGGGGACAGGCCTCAGCCCCATCTCGACCTCCCCCATCACCGCACCAACCGCCCTGCTGTCAGACGAAAGCGAAATGGAGGAGGCGCACGGCGGGCCACGCAGGCCAACGCACGCGTCCGCTCTCTTCTCCTATCCGTACTTGCCGAACACTTCGTCCTCTGCCCACTCCATAACGCACGATCGCGGCACGAGCGGCAGCCGTCTCGCGCCTTCTGCCACGCACCCGGTGCGGGTGTACGGCAACGCAAGGACTCCCCCAGCGAAGGCAACGCCGCGCATCGCTGCCGCCGAGAGAGGCCGTCCGGCTTCCTCCGCGGATCCGTTGCCGTCGACTACGCTTCCGTCTGGCACGTCATCCGGCCTCAGGCCTTTGCCCACGGCGCGGGTGATACCCGTCCGCCACGCGCTTCAACCAGCGGCGCCCTCATCACCGCGTGCGTTCCACTCTCCAATTATTTACCACTATTAACGACGCCTTCCTTGTCACCAGGGGAAACACACGCACACGCACTAGCGGATGCACAAGGAAGGGCGCCAACAAACGGAGGAGGTGCCGAAGGCAGTCGGGAGTGTCTGGCGGGGCGGGGCTTCGAGGCGCTGCATTCCGTTTCTGTGTGTTTTTGACGTGATCATGGAGGAACAATGACGCAGCGGATGAGACCCCTCCCCCTTCTCTCTCTCTGTCTCCTTTTTAGATGTCTTCTGACCGCGGAGTCGTCGTTGCGCTTCCCGCACGTTGCGGTTCTCCCATCGCGTGAACAACGGTAGAAAGCGGTGTACTCGAAAGAGGAAGAAGAGGAGGGGGGCACGCAAACAGAGGCACCCCGCCTCTCTGCGCGCTGAAATTCTAACTCGATCACTTTCGCGGGACTTTGGCTACGGGAGCCGTCGGTGCGCTGCAAGAAGGTCAGCTCATCCGCTGCTTTACTTGCGGCTAGTGCACGAAGGATCTTGATCTCTCTTTCACTGTGCTTTCCAGTCGCTTCTTCCGCCCGTTTGCGCCATTATGAATGACTTCTAGACTCCTTCTTTACAGCAAAACCAACCAAACAAACAACAAACAAAAAAAGGGCACTATTGGTTGCGTCTACGTTCTCGCCCTCCCTCTCTCCTCTCCCTCTCTCACTCTCCACCCTTTCCCCTCTCCCTTTGGGGTTTGACAAACCTACTTGAGAACTGTAAAAAGGAAAGCAGAGATGCAGCCGTACGCCGAACCACACGCGGTGCCCTCGCGAGGCGGCAGCGCGAGTGACACGGACATCTCGTGGCACTCCGCCAACACCGCCAAAGCCCACCAGGCTCTTTCGCTGTTTGCGAATTTAGAAGCGAGTCTGCGCACCGCACCCGCGGCGGGTCATCTAACACGCCGCGGCTCGGCGCCGGCTGCCCACGCGCACACGCCTCCTGCGACGTCTCGCTCCGCGGACCGCAGCCTCCCGCTGAGTAGCTCACCGCCGCAGAAGCAGCGGCACGGCGTCGGCAGCGGCACCGGCGCCCCCACCAGCCCCCACCACGGAGCATCAGCATCGACAACGGTGACGGCGCAGCTGGCGTACACCGAGGCGGAAATTTCGGCCATGTCGCCGGCTCAGCTGCGCCGTCAGCTGCGGGTGGCCTCCACCGTCACCCAACGACTCTATCGCCGTGCTCAGCAGCTGCAGAAGCAGGTCGAGGAGTGGGAAGGCAAGTGCTCAGCGCCGCCGCCGCAGCAGCAGACCACAAAGTCTGGCGTGAACAACGGTGGTGCAATGAAAGTGAGCGGAGCGCATAGTGAGACTGCCGCCCAGACTGTGAGAGATGCGGAGCAGCGGGCGGAGAGACTTCAACGAGAGGTGACGCAGCTCACGCTGGAAAAGGAGGCGTTGACACAGCAGCTGCACGAGAAGCGCCGCCCATCGCAAAACACGGGGCACGATGGGGGCACCGCCTCACCCGTGCATCCCATTTCCTCCCCCGCTGCCGCTACCGTGCGTGACGACAACAGCGAGGTCACACTGCTTCGTGACACTGTCCGTCAGCTGCAGCGCCGTCTGGCGTTGGCGGAGGAACACGCGCAGCGAGCGACGCAGATCCAACTCGACGCAGTGCTCCAACACCGCCAGGCGGGAGCTGCTCAGGGTCCACCCACCGTGGCCGTTGTGAATGCGGAGGTGCAGAAGCTGTTGGAGCTGCTGCAAGGGCAACTGTTGTCGAACGCTGCCCAGCAGCAGGCGGAGCGCGCACGTATGAACGAGCTGTTTTATCAGCTAGAGCGTCGGCGGGGTTTGATGTGACTCGTCACTGACCTCCCTCTCTGCTCTGTCAGGAGAACGAAGAAGAAAGAGGGTTCGGCAAAAGACGAAGCGCGGGCGGGAAGGGCAGACGCCCGCCGCGTGCTTTCTCTGCTGAACACACACACACACACGCACACAGACAATGACGGCGGTGGAGGTCGATCTATTGTTTCTTCTTCTTCCCTGAATGTTCTTCCGTGCCATACACGACCCGCATGTACATTATACGAAGCTGCTGAGGGTGTATCTGCCGTGGAGTACCCCACGCGTGACGCGCCTTGGTTCGATTAAAAACAGACGCCTAAACAACGACAAAAAGAAACTTCGAATTGAGCTCTGCACTTCTATGTATTGAGTGCCATGTGCACCAGAACGTGTTTAAGAGGGAGAGGGCGAGCAGCGTACATTGGATGTGTGTATGTGTCTGTGCCTGTTGGAGCAGTAGATGCTTCCTAGAGTAAAAAAACTGTCGCTGTTCTTGTGATGTGGGAGACCCGTTGCGCCTCCTACGCCCCCATCTTTCCCTCCCACTCTTCTCTTACTTCGTATTTTATCTGTCCACTTTGCGGCTTGCTTTAATCTCGAAGAGGAAAAACAGAGGAGACTTTTCTCACCCCCTCCCTCTCACTTTCACCACTGTTCAGCTGTCGCTGCGTTTGACTGCGTGCGCAAGTGTGTGCTTGCTTATTGTTCATCTTCCTATTGTCCGTGCTCTACCACCCGCATTAGCTACCCCTATCCAATGTCCAACCGCGTCATCCTGCAGACCTTCGATGAGTACCAGAAGGCGCGCGTGAAGTTCGTGCAGACGATCGCCGACCTGGCGTCGAAGCCGGCCAACATCGAGCCGCTGCAGCAGGCCGGCATCATGCAGCTGCTGCGCCCCCTCCTGCTGGACAGCGTCCCGTCTGTCCAGCAGTCCGCTGCACTCGCCATCGGTCGTCTCGCCAACTTCAGTGAGGAGATGGCCGAGAACGTCGTCTCGGGTGATGTCCTTACGCAGCTGGTGTACTCGCTGGGCGATCAAAATCGGTTTTACAAGAAGTCCGCCGCGTTCGTGCTGCGCAGCGTGGCCCGTCACTCCCCCCAGTTGGCGCAGGCGGTGGTGGACAGCCAGGCGGTGGAGGCGCTCGTGGGCTGCCTGGAGGAGTTCGATCCGACGGTGAAGGAGAGCGCGGCGTGGGCCCTCGGCTACGTCGCCCGCCACAACGCCGACCTCGCACAGGAGGTGGTGGACAAGGGGGCGGTGCCGCCGTTGGTGCTGTGCGTGCAGGAGCCGGAGCTGTCCTTGAAGCGTGTGGCGGCCTCGACGCTGGGCGACATCGCGAAGCACAGCCCCGAGCTGGCGCAGTCGGTTGTCGACCAGGACGCCATCACCCACCTCGCCCCTCTCATCACGAGCAGCGATGCGAAGCTGAAGCGGCAGGTGTGCCAGTGTCTCGCGCAGATCGCGAAGCACAGCGTGGAGCTGGCTGAGTTGGTTGTGGAGGGCGAGATCTTTCCCAAGATATTCCTCTTGCTGGCGGACAGCGACGAGGTGGTGCAGAAGAACGCGGCGACGTGCATCCGCGAGATCGCGAAGCACACGCCGGAGCTGGCGCAGCTGGTGGTGAACGCCGGCGGCGTGGGTGCCCTCGTCGAGTACGCGAGCACCACCAAGGGCAGCACGCGTCTGCCTGGTATTATGACCCTCGGCTACCTCGCCGCCTTCTCCGAGACGCTCGCGCTGGCCGTCATCGTGGCCCACGGCATTGCCCCCCTCGTGGATGCGCTGGAGAAGGAGAAGGAGGACCACATTCGTGCCGCGGCGGCGTGGTCGCTTGGCCAGCTGGGCCGCCACAGCGCTGACCACGCCAAGTCCGTCGCCGACTGCAACGTGCTGCCCCGCCTGCTCGACGCCTACCTCAACCCGAACAGCTCTGACGATCTGCAGACGAAGAGCAAGCGGGCGCTGAAGGCGATCATTCAGCACTGCGTCTACCTCCCCGCCTTAGAGCCACTGCTGCACCCCGACGCGCCGCAGGACGTGCTGAAGTACGTGTGTGCGCAGTACGCGAAGGTGCTGCCGACCGATGTCGCTGCAAAGCGGGAGTTTGTGGCGAACCGCGGCCTGGCCACGACTCAGCGCATCAAGACGGAGCCTGGTAGCACGCTGGCGGAGTCGATCCAGACTATCAACAGCTGCTTCCCGCCGGAGATTGTGGAGTACTACTCCCCTGAGTACGCGCAGACCTTTATAGAGAAGATTGAGAACTACCACGTCCAGCAGCATTGAGCAAAACAAATAAAAAGGTAGAGGTACCTATTTCCTCTTCGGGACATCTGTGTGTGCGTGTGTGTGTGTGTGTGCGTGTCTCAGGGGTGAGACAGCGGAAAGCAGAAGGGGGGCGTCTGCACTTCGTCGTATGTATGTATGTAGGGCGCCAAATCACCCTTCCTACCAGAGTCGTTTTCGGTTTGACTCCCCTCTCTCTCTCGCGCTGACAGGTGCGTAGGCGAGGCGGCGCAGGTGGAGAGGGAGCGACGATGGAAGAAATAGGGGGCGCGTGTCTTTGAGGTTTTATGTTTTATTTTTCTCTCTTTGTAAGGTTAACATGTAAACTAGGATTCTCCGGAACGAAAAGGCAGCAGCTGTAAATGGTGGAAAGGAGATAAGAAGAGGCCCTCGCCAACGTGTGGCTTCCTGTCCTTATATATATGAAGAGCATTCTCTCCTCTGATGTTTCGACTAGTTACGTGTGTTTACTGCCGCCGTCTTTTTGTCGTCTCCCGTTGTATGTGAGTGTAAACAAAGTCGTCTTAGAACACACAAAACTTCTGCGGTGCGGCGGGAAAGAGGAGAGGAAAGAAAGAAGCGTTTGCCCCCCTCCTTTTGTCTTTTCTTTATACGTGCTGTCTCTCCGTGATGCACGTCGTGTGGAGCGCATTTTTGCGGCTGGGGAAGGACGCGGATGTACCCAAGGTGGGGCACTGTCTCCATGCCGGTCAAGATGCCCTTCAATATGATCAAGACACAAACGTATGTGCGGTCGAATGGAGGGATCGAAGACACAAGTCGCGGCTTTGCTTTTGTCGCACGAGGCATTCTTTCCATGGCAAAAGCTTTGATAGCTTTAGGGAGCTCTTCTTTCGTTGTCTGGGCGAAATTGCTCCTCCTCTTCCCACTCCGAACACACGCAACTGCTGACGCCGCCCGTCGCTCTTCTCTCCTCTCACGTTTCTTCCGTTTCACTCCACGTGGGAACACCACTTTTCGCATTTAAAAAAATAATACTCGTTCTTGCCTTTTCCGGTGCTCTCTGCACGAAACCCATTCAAAAGTGATGCCCCAGCGCGAAGGGCAAACCGCACACACGCAGGTCTGCCGATGCGGGCCGAGAAATAAGACTGGCTCAATTCTCTATATTTTTGTCTGCTCCGTTTAAAACGGCGTGGGCCTCACACCGGGAAGAAACGGCGTTGACGCGCTGGAAGGGGACGGCGCGGAAAAGCAGCAGCGGCAGTGAGAGGCAAGTGAGAAGGAGCGGAGATCATCGTAGCCGCGTGGAGTATCCTCGTACGTGTCTCCCAAAGCACTCAGAGACATTTGACGGAGGAAACTCAAAGTCGTTTACATAAATATCTGCTATTTCTGGTATTTGTATATATATATTTTCCCTCCTCTCTCTTTTCGCCGTTTCACTCCCTCTACGCGACATCGACCCATCTGCTTGTATTGTATTGTATTTTCAGAATGACGTCTCCGCCCAGTTCAAAGCCTTTTAGCGCTCCGCAGCAGCTCGCCCGCAGCGCCGGCGGAGCGGCGTCATGCGGCGCATCTCGCAAAAGCACTCGCCGCGGAGATGGCGAGGAGCACCCGTCTAGCGCACCGCACCTCGCATCGACCACCGCCCTGCAGCCTCCACCGCCCTTCGGTGGACGGGTCGACGCCGACAACGTCGCTCCCACCTCTTCTGTGCAGACGGTCGCCGGTGGTGGGGGCGGTTGGGAGGCTTCCCTCTCCCCCAGTAGAGGGTACACGGCGACCTGTCGAGGTGCGGGGCAGGGGGCGCTGCAAAGAGAGGCCCCAACACATTCACACGGCAACGCTGCCCCGTCCACGGAGCCGCACCTCTCCCATTCTTCTTCTTCACTTCCACAACAGCAGTCGCCGCCGCCGCCGCCACGAGCGGACCTCCACCGCTTGAAGCGACGCCGCACGGAGCAGGCCAGCTTCACCTCGCTCTACAAGGAAATCTGCATGTACCTCGACGCAGTCGCCGCGACGCAACAAGCCCACCAAATGGAAGCGGCGCACGCGCAGGAAGGTGCAGAGGAGGACGCACCGGCAGAGAGGGAGCAGGTGCGTGACAGCAGCATCAGCAGCAGCAGCTACGGAGCTGCCGCTCACGGCTACTCCGCCTCCGCGCCGCCCCCTCCGTCGTCTTCAGCCTTTACGTTTGTGTCTGCGTCGGGACCCCTCAACACGGGTGCATCGTACACCACTGCTTTCGATGATATCGGCGGCGCCACTGCAACGTCACCCACCACCGCACCACCGATGACGGTGGATGCCGCCGTGGAAGACACGCTGCGGGTGCTGCGGACCTGCTGGGAGTACCGCGGAGCCCCACATGACGCCTTCGAGCCGGTGCGGCTGCTGTCGCCCATCACCGTCCACCTCCTCACCACCTACGGCCACCACACAGTTACCCGCAGCGGCGAGTACGTGGTGCTGCGTGGCGGAGCAGAACAGCTGCCCTGGGTAGGCTGCCTCTACGGGATTCTGCAGTCGTACGTGTATCGGGGGCGGCAGCAGCTACAGCAGCAGGGCCACCGTCTGCACAGCGGCGGTATCGGGGGGCCTGCGGAGACAACAACGTCAGGGATCACCACCACTGCTGATCCGGTGCTGACCGGCGAGCACAACACCTACAGTAGCAGCATCTCTCGCGTGCTCCTGCTGAACTGCCACAGCTTTGGGTGGCTCGACCACGTCGGGTCCGACGAGTACGAACGCAGTCACCGCCGCCTCTACCAAGCACGGGAGGCTCTCGTCAGTCTGCTGGAGGATGTGCGCTACGCCACACTGGGCTGGAGGGCGTCGTGTCCGCTGTGCTCGTCGTCGACAGTCGGCGGCGACGCGAGCACATCGGTGCTGCTGGGCGACACGATAGTCATGGAGGGCGGCGCGCCTTCGCTGGGACTGGCCTCATCGCGTAACACCTTCACAGCGCACTATCAGTACGGCCGGGGCATTGCCTGTTGTGTGCCGGAGCAGCGGCCACCTGCCCTACTGAAGACGCGGGGGCAAACATGCGATGTGGTGGGTGGCAACCACAGCAGCTCCAACAACAGCGTCGGCGGTGGCGGGCAGCGGGAGGGAGCCGCTCAGTTCGGGTTGTGTGCGATGCATCAGATGGCACTCGAGGAGGTGAGGCGGCACAGCAGTCCGCGCTGGCCCGCGCCGCCAGCTCCCAACACCTATCAGGCAGTGGAAGAAGCGGTGCCTCGCCGCAACGGCAGCAACGGCGGCGGCGGCGTTCACCGGTCGCACCCATCTCCTCCCACACCACTGTCCGCCTACGACCCCCTCTCGAGCCCCACACTCGACGTATCCCATCTGCCGGCGGTGAGCTGTGGGACGTGCAGGGCAGCGGGGGTGCTGGGTCAGGCCGTGCTGATGGGCCCCACCGGGCCGCTGGTGATCCACCTGCAGTTCGAGGAGCGGGAGTGGCTGGAGGCTGCGGCACCGTTGATGGGTCTGATGGGCGGCGAGGTGATGGCGCGTCCGGTGCCGCACGGGGGATGGACGCTGACCGAGACGACCGCCGTCTGCCCGGCACCGCTCGTCAACACCGCCGCCCTCCGCACCGACCCGGCCGGGGCTCTGGCGGCGGTGCTCTACGCGCAGATGCAGGGACACGGCACTGCAGGGCTTGCACGGACACCCCACTCCGCTTATGCTGCGGGAGGTGGTCGCAGCAGTGGGTCGGGCCTAAGCTCTTCCCCTCCCCCGTTGACGGCCATCCCTGGTGGTGGGGCCGTGTCGCTCCCGGAGTTCGTGGAGTGGCTCGTGGGGCTGCTGCACACCCCTCCCCCTGCCCTCGTGGTCGAGTGGCACTCCTCCTCCTCCATCTCCGTCTCTTCGTGCTGCTCTCCAACAACTGGGACGCAGCCACTCCAGATGCGGTATTCTTCCGCGGACTCTTCACTCTATCCGGAGTACGCGAATACCACCCAAATGGCCGCGCCGAATACACAGGCGTCCTCTGCCTCTTCTGCAGAGCTACCGCACCCGTGTCCGCCACCTCATCTTGTGCATTCTGACGGCAGCAGCAACAACCATAACAGTGGCAACTTCCCTCCTTCCCCGCCGTCGGTGCCTCTGGGCATGTCCGTACGGCCTCGACACCCCGCTGTCCCACAGCTGCTGGAGACGTACGCGGATGTGGTGCGGAGCCACCCACCGACTGACACGGCGGGTCTGAGTGCTGCCGCTGCTGCAGCGTCGTTTCCTCTTTCAACGGCTGCACCACACGCCACCACATCCACCTTCGGCACTCACTACAACTTGCAGTCGATGCTCACGAGCGCGTCGCTGCAGGCGGCGGAGAAGGATCAGGTTCTGCTGGAATGGGTGCAGGCGGCTCAAAACGCACTGCGGCCCTGCGAGGCCACCGCCTACTTCGACAGCGTGGATCGTCCGCTGGTGTTGGCGAAAGGGCTGGAGGTGGTGATGGAGGGAGAGCGCTACGTGAATGCGAACTCGGTGGCAACCTCCCTGCAGTTCCGCCCACGTCTCGCGGGTCTGCGGGACCACTACGCAGCGGCCGAGTGAGCGTGTGGCAGGTTCCTTTACGCGGTGTCGGAGCGGGAGGGCCAGGATCTGTTCCTGGCCATGCGGGTGCGCGTGGTGCAGCGTGTTGGCGAAGCGCATGAGCGCCACCTTCCCTTTTTTTTTCCGTACTCCGCTCTCTTTGACCGTGTCGTCGTCGCGCCCACGTCGCACAGAGTGTGGCGGTGGCGGAGCGGACGAACCAATGAAACGCCTTGCGAGGGTGAAAGGAACCGACAAAGCCAATAAAAGAAAACATGCAAAGGGAAACAGAATAGACCGTAGACAACCGTTGCTGGCCGAGCCGTCGTTTGGACGCCCCCACCATTTATCATTTATTTATTGTTCCGCCCTACAACTCCTTCGCCTCATCATGCACGGCAAAATAGTTCCTTCTTGTGTGTCTGTGTGTCGCACGCCTCGATCGCGACGCCGCAGTTCGTGTTGCCCACGAACACATCGGCCCTCTCCGTACGTGTTGCCAAGGGCAGAGTAGGGGATGACTCCTTCACTTAGACTCCTTTTTGCTGTTTCTGCCTTCTCGTCGTACTTCTTCTGTGCTGTCTGCGGCGCACTCCCCAGCGCACGGTACCCCCCAACAGCAAACGTATTAAACCATAAAGAAGAACATGACCTTTTTCCTTTTTCTCTCGCGAGCATCCGCACGATTAAACGCACCTCAAGCCTTTCGTTTTCTTCTACTTCGAATAGATTCATCGTTTTTCGTTTCCTGCCGTTTTAGAGTTCACCCAAATCTCGCGTGACCCTGTTTTCGTTGGCGTACTGCGCCATCCATCACATCACAGAGCCGCCTTTGGGGTTGTGTGAGCTACCGAGCACCGTCACTCCCACCACATAGAGACACACACTAGATATCTCACCTCCCTTCCATAGTAGTTCCTTTTTTGTTCTCTAACATAGATTTCATCGTTACATCTATTCTGCTTTCCAAAACAAGATTTTTTATTTGAAAGAGCCCCCTCTCTCTTCCTTCTCTTCGTCACGTCATCGCAGCGCCACGAAGTTGGAGTGGAAGATGGCGGCTCTCCTTCGGAAGCTGCACGGGTCCACCGCCCCGACGCGGAGCCCCATGCCGACCGCCACCTCTGCCTCTCCCACGAGTGTCCACACCTTCTTGATTGAGGTGATCGCGTTCGGCGAGGTGTACGCCGTGCCGGTCACCAAGGCCACTCCGGCCACCGTGGTGCTGCGCTACGTGATGGAGGCGGCGGTGTCGCCGGAGGACGCCGCACAGTTGGGCAACGTCGAGGCAACGCTCTACTACAAGGAGAAGCCGCTGCCGTTGGACACGGTGATAGGCACACTGCCGAAGCGAGCAGTTTTGCACCTGCACTCCAGTCTGTCAGCGACCTCTTCTGTGGTGCGGGACCGGAGCACGAGCGCCGTCTCGATGCTGCCGCTGGACCGCCAGCGGTATTCCCGCACTACGGTCACGATGCAGCCGGTGCTGAAGGAAGGCAGCAGGGCCCGAGAAGGGTCGGGCTCGACCACTGGTGGGCTGTCCTCCGAAGGCCGCAGCAGCCCCAGCGCGGAACGGCACGGTTCCTCCACGGAGCCCATTGCTGTGGACCCTTCCGTGCACGACGCAGGGATGGGTGGGATGATGCTGGCATCTCCTGGCTCCGCGCCGATGATGGTGCTTCCGCCCATGATGGTGCCGATGGTGTCCCCCACGGTGCACGCCGGCTACGCAGGTGCAGCATCCCCAGTAGCCATGATGCCCTACTACTACTGCATGCCGATGGGACCTGCGGGGAGTGGCCTTCGCGTGTTGGGTGCGCAAGGCCGCACGGTGTCCGCGACGTCGCTCTCCGCCAGCCGCCGCCGCGATAGTGCGGTGGAGTTCGCCAACAGCTACCACTTTCCCCCGCATGAGAACCCATTGAGTGCGACTGTGTCGGCGGCAGCGAATCATACTGGTGCGGACACGCCGTCGCCGCGGCCGTCTCCTGCCGGTACCCCCGCCGCGCGCCGCGTCAGCGCTCTCGGTAGCGAGAATTACTTGGTGGTCTATCTGCGACTCCCACGCAACCGGGCAGCCGCGTGTCTCTCTGCAGCGGCGTTGAGCGCGGACGGCAACATCGAGGTGGAGGAGGTGGCACCGGACGAGGTGCCGCTCGACGAGCTCCTCAACGCGACCTTCTCGACGGTGGCGACGAACAAGTCGCAGCTGCCGCGGGCGTACGCGTATCGCCGCCTGCGAGTGCGGAAGGACTTCCCAGTGGGCACGCTGCGGGAGCTCTGTGCGGTGTCCTCGCACCACCGTCTGCACCTGGCACACAAGGAGGTGGCGGACGAGGGATGGAGCTTCGCGGAGTTGGAGGTGCCCACCAACGCCGTCTTCTACTTCAAGGCCCCACTAGGGAAGGACAACAGCTCAACCCAGCAGGCATGCACGCTGACTCGGGAACGACTGAAGGAGCACCTCAACGCTGGCACCGCCGCTGCTGCCAAGTCGGATGAAAAGCCGTTGAACGCACCTGCCGGCAGACCTTTGCACGTTGACGCGGTGCGACCATCTCTCGACCGCTCGCCACCGACGCCGGCGATTCCAAGCGACGAGCCGCATTATCAACCGCAAAAGTATCGACGCCACCACGGCAGCGGCATCAGCGCCATCAGCAGCATCACGAGCAGCCAGTCCATCCATGAGCGCATCGAGGCCTTCAACGAGGGCGCCGTGCACAACACCGGCTACGCTGCAGGCGCAGACGAGGAGCCGATGCAGGCGTTCGAGGCGGCACAGCGGCAGCTGTCGCCACGCCGGTACGTGGTGGAAGGGAAGGAGGCGATCATCACGTCGGCCGTGGCGGCTGAGCAGGCCCGCTGCTCTATTGAACGCGTCGCGCGACTGGCCGAGGCGGCAGCGGAGGAAGCAGCAGCAGCAGCAGTGCCAACGACTCCGCAGCGGGCCGGCCACCGCCGATCATCGTCGTCGTCGTCGTCGCGCACCCGTCACGCCGCCGGTCATCCCGTCGTGTGGCCAGTGGAGAAGGAGGAGGACGTGGACGTCGACGTCGTGACCGAGACGCCCTCCGATGCCCCTGCCGCCGTCCTCCACACCGCCCGCGGCGCGACGGAAGTGGCAGAGTCGCGGCACCCGCTTTCCGCTTCCATCGTGGTGCTGCCAAGCGTCAAGAAGCCCAAAAAGGGGAAGGCGCCGGCGGGGGAAAAGGACGCGTCTCGCACATCGTCCGTCGCGTCGTTGCAGCAACGCGGGCCGCACCCAACACGCCTGTCGAGAGTGAAGAAGACCCACCGCGAGGGTGAACGGGATGCAGCGAGGAAGCCGGCGGCTGCTTTCTCTCCCACGTCAGAAGCCTCGAAGGAGCCCACCAGTGACCTCCCTTGCACTCCCTTCGTGCCGAAAGATGTTGATGGGACAGCCGCTCCTGCTGCGACCGTCCCCGCCAGCGACAAGCCCGCAAATGAGAAGTCCGAATCAAAGAAGCTGAAGCGATCCGGCACGCCGGCCTCCCTCTCGCCTGAGCTGCGCAGCCGCTCTGCTTCGGCTGCCTCGTCGCGTCACTCCAGTCGATCGACGAGCGTCGCTGCTTCGTTGAAGGCGTCCTTTCAGCGGCTGACAAAGCGCACGCCGAAGGACGGAGCTGCCAAGCCGAACGCGACGGCTTCCCCCACCTCCAAACCCATGGATGTGCAGCCGGCACCGACCACCACTGCGGATGAAGAGTCGCTCAGCGAAATGCAGGCAAAATCAGAGCGACAGAGCCGCAAGAAGGCAAAGCGAGCCGCAGCTGCTGCTGCTACCGCCGCCAATATCACTCCCGAAGACACCGTCACTGCGGCCGCCTCGGAGGGCGACATGAAGGAGCAGCTGGCTACAAAGGCGGACCACCCGAAAAGCACTCCCGTAGAAGCAACGCACACGGCGGCCGTCGTGCACACTAAAAAGAAGGTACGTAGGAGCAACGGCACCGCGTCCGGGTCCGCCGCTGCTTCCACGACGCCATCTCCGTCCTACAGCGAACGCCGTCGCCAGTCTGCGGATGCGGTGCCTCGCCAGCCCGTCGCCTTCCTCGGTGCCGATCCAGCGCAGCAACACCGGCAACAACCGCAGATAATCGCAGCGTCGACGACCGAACTCGGTGCGACGCCCACGGCGAGTACGCTGGAGGAGGTGAGCGCGACTCTCGGACCGGCAGCGCTGAGCACCACCCGCATCCCCTCTCCGCGCAGCTCCCCCGCACCGGTGTCCATACTCGTCTCTCCGTCGCTGGAGCAGCGCAGGCGGAGCGCATCGAGTGCAACGCCGGCCTCACGCGCCGTCTCGCCGGACTGCAGCGTGGAGAGCACCGGGAGTCTCCACCACCTGCGCATTACGATTAAAGACCCGGTGGACTCGACACGCTTCCACTACTGCGTTCCGGTGGAGCCAGAGTGCCCGGTGGCGGCGCTGCGGGAGTGGATTTCAGCGATGCAGCCGCCGAGCACGGTGACGGGCGTGACGCCGCCGAGTCTGCGCAATGTGGATCGCTACGGCGTGTTTGCGGGAGACACGTATCTTCATGATGAGGGCACCGTGACGTTCGGTGACGTGACACGCGGCCGCAACGACGTCATCTTCTCAATCCGCAGACGCTTTTAAGAGGGGTACGGTGCTCGCTTCCAGATGGCAAGTTGGACGAGATGAAGTGACTGCAGAGCCGCCTCTCTTTCGTTCTTCTGCTTTTGTCTTCGTCTTCTTGCCTCTCCACCGACAGGGTTTTTTTTTTGGTTTCCCTCTCTCTTAACACACCATCATCGTTCTTTATCCTTATTATTTTTTCGAAGTGATGCCTGTCGAGTAGGCAGCAGCTGTGCCGCCTATGCGCCTTTCTTTCTGTTTCTTTCCATTGCTGATGTTTTGTTCTGCATGACACACGTCGGTTTCTCACCTTGCTTGCGGATCCGTGTGCGTTCAATCGTGAATGCGAGTGTGATTGTATGTATGTGACAATGAATAGCCAACAACAACGACGACGCTTTCTTTTTTCTCTCTATATTACTCCTGTTAGATTATTCCTTATTTCCACGCACATTGTGCTGGTCGTCCGTGTGAGGGTCGGCGTCCTGGCACAAAGAAGAAGAGCCACGAACTACAGATTTCATTCGATTTCTTTTTTCCTTTCCTGTAAGCGTCTTGCAACGCGGTGCAGCAGGGGGTGGTCAGCGGGGGGTGAAGGGGCCGTTTTGGGGTCGTGACAGATGAAGGGGGAGAAGCACGGAGACCGTTCCAGTACGCCGGCGGCAGAAGTCCGGCGGCTTTCCTTTAACGGTTGATTCTTCTTCAGCTTCGTGACGCCTTTTTTCTCCCTTTTCTCCCTTTCGCATTGCTTTCGCTTCACCTCTCGTTCTCCACTACCACGATGAAGACCGCTGTTGAAGCATCCCTGACGTTTGCATTTCGACGCTTCTAACTATTCCTTCGATCAATTTGACCTCAAACTGTGAGTTTCTTTCCTTATTAGATATTCCGTGGCCTTCACGGGCGTGCACACCATGCAACAACAAGAATACACACGAAAGGGCAGAAGTGAGAGGACTGACTTACAATTGTGGTGTTCACGGCCGCAGATGTCTTGTGTGCGACTCGGCCTTCATCAACTGCACCGGCGCATGAATACGGTGTAGCGGTTCTTTCATGGGGCCATGAAGGCTATTTAAAAATAATTTGGTTGTCGCTGACGTCTAGGTAGTTAAGCCGACTTAATTTCTCTGTGCTTCTCTCGGCAGACGAGTACAACGTCTTGCGGTTGGGTGACGGGAGGGTCGCTCGTGCCTCTGTCTCACGTTGTGTTGCCGCTTCGCTCCTCCAACAGTGCTGTCACCCGACTCCTCATCTGCTCCCCTCTCCTCTTCATTTCTTATGCATGAGAACCTGCGCAAAACCCGCAGTCGAGCGAAATATCGGACCGAACGCGTTCTGCGCGAGTGTGGGGGCATAATACAAAGCAACAAAGGAAGGCGGAGTATTACGGTTGTTGAACCCAAGTGCTGCTGTAGGCCTTATCCTGACACTCATACACACACACGGACGCCGAAGTTTTAGTTATTTATTTCTGTCTGTATAAGGAAACATGTGGCGCTCGACCGTGGTGCTGCGACGGGCAGCGGCAGCCACCACCGCGGCCTCTCCCAGCGACGCGGCCCCCCTCGCCAGCTTCAGTTCCCGCGTGGAGGCCTTCTGCAGGCAAATGCAGTCCGGCGGCGCGGTGTTCGACTGCGTCGCCGTGCGGCCCAGCGAGGGGGACTGTCGCGGGCTAGTGGCGAAGTGCCCGGTGCGCGAAGGCACGACGGTGCTCTCGGTGCCCCTCCACCACTTCTCCATCTCGTCGGAGCAGATCTTGAAGGACAACGCCTTCGTGAGGGATCTGAAGCCCCCCGGCCCGGACGAGGTGCGTCTGCTGATGAGTTCGCGCAGTATCCAGGATCCGGTGATGTACGAGCAGGTCTACTTGGCCCTCCTGATCGCCGCCGATCACCTCAACCCTGCGAGCCCGAACAGCGACTACTACAATCTCCTCCCCCACCCGGCCATCAACGACGAGGAGGTGATCCGACGGCACAAGGATGTGCTGGACCCCCTTCTCCTCGTGGAGTGGGACGACTACCAGAAAGAGATGCTCTCCGTGCTGCATCAGCTGCTGCGTCGCTGGGGCACGCAGGCACCCCCGATCCAGGTAGCCTACTGGGCCCTGCGGACAGTGTTTAGTCGCATGCACATGCTGCCCAAGGCGGGCCAGGCCCCACAAGAAGTCGGCTCCACGCTGAGCTACGCGGCCCTCTCCACCGTGGATCGTGCGGAGCTGCAGACGCGGTGGTGGCGGCGCTTCCGCTCCACCCTGAGCTCCTTGATGGGCAACCCAGCGGCAGCGGAGAGGTATCACCTCGTCCCGACTCTGGTGCCGTTGCTCGACATGGCACCGCATGTCTCCTCGAGCAACGTGCAGGTCGAGGTCAACACGCGGGATGTGAAGGCCGGCAGCTGCGCCGAGCTGCGGGCGGTGCGCGACATCGACGCTGGTGAGTCGATTGGGCTGCGCTTCAACGCCTCTCAATCACCTGCCTTCCTTCTCTTTCGCTTTGGGTTTATTCCACAGTAGTCCCTTCTTTCCCTTCTCCTTTTGCTGTCGCCTCTCGCTTACGAGCGTCTTTGTTGTTGTACTTGTTGATGGCAGCGGTTGCTGCTCTGCACCGCTGCCGTGCGGAAATGAAGGAGAGGACGGAGGCGGCGGCGAATCGCAGCAAGCAAGAAAAGAAAAAGATCTGCAGGAGACGTCGAGCAGCTGACATCGCACGCCCCCGTGTCGCTTCGCCCTTCTTCTCCACTCCTTTTCTGTAGTGGTTTTTGTTTTCTCTTACAATTAGCGCTGAATTTTTACGCGTCACACCATCGTTTCACAGTTACCATCAAAAACGTCTCTAATAATAATAGCAAGGAAACACAACAGATCAGGAAGGAGCTGCACCGGTGAGCCGAAAGTTCGCTTTTCAATGCCAGCGTGCGAGTGTGTTTTGGCTGTCGTACAGCAGGACCATCTCGGCGGTGTGTGAATCCAAAGAAGGAAGAAGAAAACACCGTTTCTTTTTTAAAGTCTGTTGTTTTGTTCGAACGAAGGGGTGTTGGCTGAGTCGGACGTGAAGTACTCCATCTTTTCATTCTCTCCCTCTCCCTCTCTCTCCTTATCTTCTCGCTCAGCGTCGCGGCCGCTGACAAGGCCCTTTCTTCTTCTTTTAAACACGAAGTTCATACTACTTGATTCCCATTTTTTTTTTCACCCTCCTTTTTTGAACTCCCTTGTGCACATATTGGGTGAAACCTTCGGGGAACACCTCCGGCGTCAGTTTTTCTTCTTCTGCCATTTGCACTCCATCACGCCACCACCGTCGCGGCAGGAGACGGGTCTCGCGCTTTTCTTGCTCGGCGCGCCCCACGCTCTTCATCTCCTCTTCCTAAACGAAACGTGATTGTATATATTTTTTGTTTTTACTTACTGGGTTTGTTTGCGTCGTCCCTTTTCCTTTCTTCTTTTCAGTCTTGAGTTTACCTCCGTGTGATGCTGCGCATCTCCTTTCCGTGCCGCAGCCGGCGAGCGTGGCGGCTGACGCCGACTTGGGCGTGGCCGGTCCACCGAAGAGACCCCCTCACACGTTCTGCGAGTTCTTCTGCGAGTTCGTCCGCGCCATCGGTGCCTCACAGCGACCCTACCACGGCGTGGCACGGCAGCAGTTGCGGCCAGCCTACGACCCTATCAAACACTTCATCGGCACCGGCACAGCGACTATTTACTGTTTCCTGGCTGCTGTGGCCGCAGTGGGTGTCGCATCGTGTGGCGGCGCTGCGGAGGGCGGCTGCGCGTCGGGTGCCGCTGCCGCATTCCGTCGCCCACGCCGCCGTGCAATGCCACCACGCCGCGGAGCGGTTCCTCTCTGTCGTGGAGCGCCCGGCACGGGTGGGGACGGCAGGCGCGGTCATCGCCCTGCGCATCGCCGTGCAGCTCGCCGTGAGCGTTCTTCAGCTGGGCCACGAGGTGTACCTGTACGTCTTCGGCCCTCGGCTGCGCCGCCTCCTGCGGTTTGCGGTTGGGGTGCCGTTCTTGTTCGGCACGCTGTTTCTGCTGCAGATGCGGGAGTGGTACTTTCCAGAGGTGGGGGCGGGGCTGGACTCGTCCTGCGTCGCGTCCCTCCCGCTGTTCCACTCCGTGGATGAGGCGTTGGCTAACGCGGCCCTCCTCCAGCAGCGCTACCACAAACTGCTTGCGGCGCGGAGGGAGGCAAAGCGGCAGGCGTCCGCTGACACATCTTCACAGGTCGTGACAACGCCGCCGCAGTCCCTGGCGCCTTCCCTGATTCAGCCGCTGACACGCGCGGAGGAGAACGAGTTGCTGGGCGCTGTCTTTGTGCTCATTCGCTCCATCGAGACGCAAATCGTCGGCACCGCGGAGGAGCGGGAGCTCATCACGCCGCGCGCTGGCGTCGTCACGACGGCGTCGCCTGCTGCCCCGTTCTCGCCGCATCCTCGAGCCGCATCCTCTGCTCCACCTGCGACCACAGCGACGATCACCACGACTGTGATACCGGAGGACACCGTGACGGCAACGCCGCACCTCTCCGAATCCTCTGCTGTTGCCGCCGCTGCCCCCACCGCCCCCACCACGCCGCCCATCATGATCAGCCCCGCCGAGTACATTCTTCGTGTCATCATGGCCATCGCCATTGCGGAGGGCTGGGCCGACATTACCGAGCACACGCGCGTCCTCTTTCAGGAGCTGGTGCGCAACAAGACTCCCCCGGTGCAGTCGCGCATTGTGCAGGCGGTGGGAGAGCTGTGCTCGCTGTCCTACGAGCTCGAGTCGGGCAGGGTGGACGCCATCACGCTGAACCAGCGAAAGCGCATTGCGGCAGCCATCGACGCGTTCCGGCCGGAGAAGTCCGTCGAGGAGCGCTGCACCATCGCGCACGAAACGAGCATCCTACCCCTGCCCGACTTCGATCACACGACGCGGTGCCTCGGGGTGATCCGGAAGAGCCCGGGCCGCAAGCCGCAACTCATCCTCTGCTTCGTGGGCACCAACTCGAATCGGAATTGGCTGACAAACTTCAATTACTGGCCGGTGCCGCTGCCGGCACGTTACGGCGTCGTCGGGGCCGCACTGCCGCCCGACAGCAGCGATGCTCGCGTGGTGCACCCGATGGTGCATCGCGGCTTCCTCGGACTGGTGCAGACGGTCCCGTATAGAGAGGTGGCCGCGGACTTCGACCACATTCTTCTCGTGGGGCACAGCCTGGGCGGCGCCTTGGCGCAGCTGGCGGGTCTCGAGCTCGCGGCGGAGCGGCCCAGCCGCCGCATCACCGTCATTACTGTGGCCTCGCCGCGTGTGCTGGCCGTGGACTGGTGCTCGCGTCTGCGCATGATCCATCGGCACTGGTGGCAGCACCGACCTCATCACGTGGAGGGGCAACATGAAAACAGCAGCCAGCCGACGTTGCTGCCCGTCGCGCCCGCCGGGCTGCGCCACGGTGATGCGGTGGAGCGTGACGCCTTGGCGGAGATGCTGACGACGCCCGCGAACTACCGCCACTTCCGGGGGTATCTGCAGTCCGATGTGGTCCCCCACCTCCCACCGGAGTTCCTGCACTTCACACACAACGGACAGCACATTCCTCTCAACACGGGCTGCACCACCTCTTTGTCGTTCATGGCGTGGGGCATGTACTCGAAGCTGTACCACAGCGCTGACTTGTACAGGAGTGTGCTGAAGCAGCCCATCGTCTCGCAGACGCACTGGTACATGGGCGAGGAGGAAAACGACGAGCTCGTTGAGGACGAGGCGGACATGCGAATGCACGCTTAAATAATCTTTTCTATTGTTTCTTCACGTTGGTGTGCACCGTTGTTTTCATTCCCACTTATCAGCAGCCCTCCATCATCTCTATAATCCTCTTTTTTGTTTCTACGTATTATTGTATGAAGAAAGTATAGAAGCGATGCTCTTTCCCCTTCCTCTTGGCTTTTACTGCCATGATTCTCGTGGATTCCTGGTGCTCCTTTGTGCTGTGCAGTTGTACTGGCGTGTGCGTATATATACCCGGCTAAACTGCAGACGTGCAGCAGGTTGCGTCCATCTTCGCTGTTAGAAGTGCGTATTAACGGCAAGTACAACCGCCCAAGGGTGAAGATGTATGACCGTTATGTCGCACGCGGTTGTCAACGTCGAAGCCCACGCACACGCCCGTCTGCACGCTGCCTCCCATGTCTCGCATTGGGCCACGCCCAGCACTTGTTCTTTTCCTTTATTTCCCCCATTATTTTTAATGTGTCCCCGCTCGATTTGTCTAAGCGAGCGCGCACTCTGGTGACTACTATTCTTGTCACCAGCAGCGCAGAGGGAGCCTTGCAAAACGACGCTGTGCGTTTCTCGTTCTTTTCTCTCTTTGTTCCTGCTTACACTTTGTTGTTGTTGATGTGCTGTGGTTTCCTTGCGCTGCGCGACCTGCAAGCGACAACGATAATGGGAATAATGGCCGCGTCGTTTCCGTCTTTTACTTGATGTCGTTTACCACACTTCTTAGGGGGTTTCTATGTTACTTATACACGTCTTCATGTTTTCTCTTTTTTCTTCGCACATACATCTTCCTTCTCTCCTCCCTGCGTCGGAGGAGGGAACAAACAAACGTCTCCCTCAGCGGGTGCCGAGGCGATGCAGCCGTGCGGAGGTGCGGATGGCGCCCATCCGGTCATACGCACCCCCATGCTTTCCCTCTTCTCCTTTTCGCTGAACTCTCTCTTTCTCACGCACTCAGACGCACGCACCCGTCGTGGCACCGTTAATTCAATTCGAAGCGAGTGAGAACGTCGCTACAGCTCCGCTCTTTCTTTTTTTTTGTTTTTCTCCTTCTTTTTAAAGGCCTCTCCCTTTTGAATCGTGCCACTTGTTGCCCTGACCACGGTCAAGAGGTGTGTCATCGTGCTGATCTTTGCGTCTTCTTGATCCGAATAAAAAGTCAGCGGAATACAACGTTCAAGTAAACAGCTGTATCTGTCATGCTCGCGTTTTGCTTGCGAGAGGGAGAGAAGTACATACGCGCCTCGGCTACTGCCAGGTGACGCATGGAAGGAACAAATTTGCACTCGCTGATAGCAGTGCAATGCTTCTGCGCTGTCTTCAGAAAGAGGAGCGTGGTGCGTCGCGACTTCGTTTTCTGCTTTTCTCCTCTCTCACTCCTGATGTTTCTTCTCCTATTTGGCTCTCCACTTATACTACTCGACGGTTCAATTCGGGAAGGACGAAGAGAACCCTCTTGCAACGCTTGGACAGACTAAGAAAAGCACCCGCAAAAGCATAGAATCACGCAGAACCGCTGCTCTTACAAAGATAAAAGAAAATGTCCGCTGAGGCCCCGGCAACTTCGGCCCCTGTGGAGGCGGCCGTCGCCTCGGCAGCGGTGGAGCTGAAGCCGAAGAACACGCACCGCCTCAACCGCATTCTGCGCAAGCCGAAGGCGTCGCTGCCGCCGCGCAAGTGGCACGTGGAGGAAGATGGCGCGACTCGCACGGTGGGCGTTCCTGCCAGCGTCGTGCGCAAGCTGGTCGAGGGCCTGACGGAGGAGGAGCGGCAGCGCGCCGCGGCCGGCCTCGACCCTCTGTCAGCCACGCAGGAGGCGCTGGTTCGCCGTGCGGCCCGCTTCGGCTTGAACATCAACAGCAACGTCGCCGCAGCTCCTGCGCTGCCGGCCCCCACCTTTGTGGTGGATGCGGAGACGCTGCGCCGTCGCGAGGAGCGCTTCAAGCAGGCGGCCCCGGCACCGCAGTAGCGCGTGCGAGGCAGGGAGAGAGCAACCATGACGCCAGTCCACTTCCTCTCCCGGGGTTCCCCATGCCGATGTGCGGACGCCGCTGAGGAAGGCGTTTTTATTTATTTAATTGGATAGATGTTCAGCGTGCGCAGAAAGGGGGTGTCCTGCCTTACTCAGTTGTCGTCGTTGCTGTCTACGTATTTGTTTGTATTTGGTTGTCCGTCCGTCTCTTAATAAGAAAAGTACACACCAACACAGCCTCCCCCCCCCTCCCCCCAACCCACCCACTCGTACTCAGGCACGGACGCAGCACCAAGTCTAGAAGAGTACCTGCGCTGTGCTGTGTCGTGTCAGTGGAAACGTGAGCACGGCGCGTTCTCTCTTCCTCAGGCTCCATCGATCTTGCGCATTCTGTATCCCACTTTGTGCGCCTCGTGAAGGGTACACAAACGGGGAAATAATAATATGCACTTCAAAACTCTGTTTGGAGGGGGCATTGCGGTGCATCAACGCTAAAATGAAAGGACAAAATGGCCGATGTGTGGCGGGTGCAGAGCTTCCAGCGCAGCTGACGCCACGGCGTGCCTCACGCACAGGTTTCCGTAGCTAATCGTTCCTGGCACAGCGCTCTTCTTTCCTTCTCTCTCTCCCTCTGCCTACTCATCTCCCATTGATACTCGACACGCCAGGGACGTGCGCTCACGGAAACATATTCAAGCAGAAACCACCCGAACACGAACACACAGTTCCCTCCGCCTTTTTCATTTTGGCGTTTCATCTGCCCTCTCATTCGCACCGGAGGAGTGGCGTTGAAGGGAGAGAGAGGCGCTTGGCGCACACAACTCATAGATACACACGTACACCCCTGCGGTGAACGCGGGAGAGAGCGAAAAATATGGCTGCAGCCACCGCAGGTCAGGACGGGGCTCCTGTGGCGGTGCAGATCACCACCATCGTCCCCGTACGCGTCTTCAGCCCCCATGGGGAGTACTTCGACACCGAGGTGGATATCGACACCCCGCTTCGCGCCCTGCAGCTCGCCATCGAGGACTACTTCAAGGTGAAACCAGAAGTGCAGCTGCTCCTGCACAACCGTCAGCAAATCCGCACCGAGCGCTCCTTGCGGGACAACGGGTGTTTGCTGCTGAAGGGTGACCCCTACATCAAAATTGTCTGCGCCATCAAGCGCGGGCCGGTGCTGAACCTGCTGTGCGAGGTAGGGCAGCTCACATACGTTGTCGCCTGCCACGAGTCGTCCACTGTGTGGGAGGTGAAGAAGATGCTGTGTGAGGAGATGGCACGCCAGCAGCAGCCAGCGAGGGAGGACAGCGGCGCTGAGCGGCGGCCGACGTACGGGCCGGAGCGGCTGCGGCTGCTGTGGCGTTACATGGAGCTCAACGACAGGGCCACACTGCATTACTATCGAGTGCCGACCAACGCCGTGTTCCAGGTGATGCACCGCAAACGTGCCGTCGCGGCGCCGTCCGGGGCTGCAGTCAGCACAGCAGCTCCTCCTGCGACACCTTCGGCATCCGCGGCGAATAGCATGCCCACTTCGCAAGGTCGACCGTTAGCGCCGCCTACAGTGTGGTGGCAGCGGCCGCCTGCGCCACAGGGGCCGTCATACCCACCTCAGCCTTCGGCATCGCCGACGCACAGCCCGGCGGAGTACAACGCGGACTTTGAGTACCTGACACGTCGTGCTGCTCCACCGGAAGAAGTCGTGGCGCCTGCCATGGCGCCGAGCGTGTCGTTCCCCGCACCGCCGCCGCCGCCCGCAGCGTACGTCCCTGCGTACCCACCCGCTGTCCACACCGGTCTTGCACCGAGCGTAGCAGCAGGACCACCATCACCGCCGCAACATCAGCACTACGATCCTCTCACGAGCTCTGAAGCCGTCGGCCTCGCTCTGCGTGTTGGCGCGTTAGAAGAGCAGCTCCGTGCGCTGTGGCGTGCGCTGCAGGAGCAGCAGCAGGCGGGCGAGTACCAACGCGGCAGCCTCGCCGACACGCACCAACGAATTTTGGAGTTGCAGGAGCAGATGTCGCACGTGTTGTGGCTGCAGCAGGAAACGGCGCGGCTCATCGTCCCGTCGTGAGCCCCCGCGTCTTTCAAGGGGCGCAGTCGGCCATCGTTTTAGTCCTGTTTTCTCACTGTGGATTTGTACCTCCTAACCATGTGGGTCTGGCGAGCCACGATAGAAGGTGGCGCCGCCAAGCTCCCGTTTTCTCTTCCTACCGCTTAGAGCCAGCCAATGAAACGTCAACGACGCCTACACACAAAATGGAAAGAAACGAAGTTGTCGAGCGCCCGATAGAAGAACGCGGGTGTGTTTCGAAATGAAAAAGGCGGGCGCCCGCGGTGCTGGGTGCCGTCTCTGCTTCTCTTTCTCGCATTCCCACTTCTCTCCTCGTTGCTCCCGCCCTCTTCTGGTTCTTTTCTTCTTCTGTGTGCGGGTGTTCCCCTGCGGCCTCGGCGCGCCCGCCCAGGCCCCTTTCCGCCAGGGGCGAGGCGGGCCCTCGTCTGGGGCCCAGGGCTAGGGGGGGCCGCGCCCCCGAAAGCCAGCCCAGAAAGACAAAACCCTGAGAGGGGGGGGGGGGAGAAAGCGGCGAGAGGTGGTGTGTTCTTTGCCCTGTCTTGTTGGCGGGGCGCGGGGGGCGGTGACATCGCCTGTGTGGCCCGGCGTCGCCCGTGCCGGCGAAGCGTTGCGGTCTGCCGCCACAAGCGGCAAGCGTTCTTTGGCATTCATTTGCGCTGTTCTGTGGTGCCGGGGCGTTCGGCGGTGTCGGCGAGTGTTGCAGCCATCCGGCCCGATCACTTCTCATAGATACTTCCTTTTCTTTTGAAGGCGAAGATGAATACAGATATTTCAATAAAAAGCAAAGCAACAGCTTGGACATCGTTGCACAACTGTCTCCCAGAGCACACACAAGCATTAAGATTCACACGAACAAAAGGTAACGGATGCAATAACCGGAGGCATGGTGAATATACGTGTATATGTATATATAACACGAACACTTCTGCAGGTCAAGGGAGGAGGGAGAAAGAAAAACAGCAATTAAATTGACTACGCGGCTGGTGTCCGATACACGGCTTCGAGAGAAAGAATTAATTTATCGCAAGACAAAAGAAAGACAAACAAACAGGCGTGGCATGGGAGAAAAAAGGAGAAAAGAAAATAATGAAAAAAGCGAAGAGGGAACGTGCTGTTCACAACTCATCCGCCCTCTGCGCAGATCCTCACTTCGACGCAACGAAAGCACACTTACAAAATGAAAACAACAAAAGAATTGGGCAATTCGAATGGTGTAAGAGGCCCCTTGAGAACTTTTTCTTCTTAGAACTGCGTCGGCTTCTTCGGATAGTCGTCACCGTAGTCGGGCTTCGGGCTCTGGTCGGATACGGGCAGCGCCTCGGGGAAGAGCTGTTCCATGCCGGCCGATGCCCCCCCGCGCGTGAGGCCCGGGTAGAGAGGCGGGGGAAGCGCGGCGCCGACGTACGCGTCCGGCTGCGGCGGCAGCCGTGCGGCCTCGCACGCGTTACCGGCGTCCCGCACGACAGGCACGGCGTTGGGCATGTAGGTCGACGTCGAGTACGGGCTTTCCTGGGCCAGCGGCACCCCTTCCGCAGGGGGGTTGGCGTACATGCCCGGCTGTAACTGTGGCTGCCGCTGCATCTGGTAGGGCAGCTGCCCCGGTGCGTTGGGGTAACCAAGAGGTGGGGCATACTGCATCTGGCCAGGCATTCCCTGCTGCGACTGCGTCGGCGGTTGCGATATGCCAGGCACATTGCCGAAGTCGAGGGGTGTGACCGCCAGACTGATGACGGCGGACTTGTTCTCGAAGGTGCCACGGACGTTGATGCGGCTCTGCTGCCCGCGTTGGAAGTTCTGCTCGTCCATCTCGATCCACGCCACCGACACACACGCCTGCGAGAAGAGAGACTTCGTCCACAGCTCCACAAACATGCGGTTGCGTCCGGGGCGGCGCGCGTCGGGCTGGTACTGGAAGCGGAAGCGCTCCCCGAAATAGATTTCGCCATTCCGATCAACACCGGTGGGCTTCGTGCGGATCGCCTGGCCTTGCAGACGGACGTAGACGCAGAATCTCTTCTTCGGCGACACACCCATCACGTCCGTCGCGGAAAGCACGGAGACGTCTACGACGGGCATGGCGATGCGTGGATGAAGCAAAAATAGTATTAATAAAAAAGAGACAAACCGATCAGAAAGAACGCTTGCAGTCTTCAGTTATACAACTGCTCGATTGCGGAGTGCAGAGGCACAACGAAGTGAACCTGAGGAGGCCTACAAAACCCTTTAAACACGGCGAGGACAGCGCAAAGAAAGAGACGGAAAAGCGAAGCGAACCCACACAGAAGTAACTCGGTTCCGATGATGCCACGGAGGTATCTCAATGTATTAATGCCAGTTAGAAAGAGAAAAGACAAGAAAGAAAGAAAGAAACCGTGCGCTACAGGCTTACTACTACGTAGTAGTGGTAGTAGCAGGCAAAAGGACGATTGAAGAGGCGCAGAGCGTGGAGGTGACACAAGGAGTGTGGATGAGGAGGTCAGAGGGAGGAGAGTGCGAGGCTGTCACGGCATCAGCATGACCTGCCTTCAGGAAGGTAATAAACGTTTTATGCATATCCGCCGTTTTGATGGCAAGTTCGACGCCGATGAAGAAAAGGAAAAAAAGAAAAATAAAATAGTCGGCAACGTTTTAAAGTGCATGGATGAGGAGCCACTTTGTTCTTCACACCGTCTTGACAACGCGGAGGAGAGCAGTCCTGCGCTGTACATCACAAATACAGAAAAACGAGCAAAAACCGCTGATACATTGGAGCCAGACGAAAAGCTATGTACATGGAATTCCAGTGGCCGATGGCGTCTGTCGTCCGCGCCTCATTCCCTTTCCACTCGCGGAGGCGACACAGCGAGAAACAACAAGGAGAAGGCCTTTCGGCTCCCTGGGCTCTTCAATTTGATGCGAAGAAGCTGAAGTAGTAGGGCACCACGGGGAAGTCATCTTGCAGAAAGGAAAGCAGTTCCTGCACCTGCAGTGGCGCACCCGTCGCGGCCCCCACGTCAGCCCACTCGGAGATGTGCCGCACCGCCGCCTTCACGTTCTCTGGCGTAAAACAAAACACCGCCGCGGGTGTTTTCGTCGCGCAGCTCAGCGGAATGACGAAGCCGCCTTCGCGCTCCTGCGCCGCAAACCCGTCTTCGTCCATCTTCGCCACTCGGGCGATCCAGTCACGAATAAAGTACACCTCTGTGCAGCTCACAACATCGTCTGCGGAAGTACGCGCCGGCTGCGCGTTGGTGTCGGTGGTGGTGCTGCTGCCGCTGACGGCGGTCAACTTGGTGGCCGCGACGGGGGTACGCAGGCGGTAAAGGCGCAAGAAGGCTGCGGCCCACCACACCACCGCCGGCGTGGCGAGGAAGAAACGCGTCTGCGCACCACCGCGGGGAGGACTGCGATGGCTGCCGCCGCCACCACCACAACTTGCCGCCGCGGTAAAGGTGGAGTTTCCTTTCGCAGGTGTGCGCGCTTCGCCCTTAATGCTGTGCTGCACGGTCCGTAGCGTGTGACTCACGTAGGTGCGGCATCTTTCAGCGAGGTACGTCGCCTCCGCTTCGCACGCCCCGCAGATGTGCGGCCGCCGCCCGCTCGTGCCATCGTCCAGGCGCAGGCGGCGCACGGCCTCTTCGGCGAGCGCGTCCGGGGTATTGTGCAAATCCCACGCCCCCCGCTCCGCACAGGCCAGCAACACCGCCACGTAAAAGTTCATCGGATCGCGACATAACCCCTCGCGGGCCTTATCGAAGATGCTCTCAAAGAAGTGGGCCCAGTGGACGACTTCCGACATGAGCGCCTGGTGACTCTCCAGACCGGTCGCCATCGGTGCTGCGGCTGCGGCTGCTGAAGGCGACGCAGAAGGCGACGTCGCGGGAGGCCGCAAAACGTCCTCCACGACGTGAAGGCCGTAGACGAGGTGGAGGGAGGACAGCGGCGCGGCGGGTCGGGGACGTCCGCTGAGCAGCACCCCGTAGAACGAGGCGGCCCCCGTCGCAATCGGTGCGTCGCGCAGGAAGGTGCCGACGAAATCGGCGAAGGTGAGCGACAGCGGCGATGTTATGTACGGGTTCGCCGCTTGCTCTGCTGCGTCGAGGCTCTGCGCACTGCTCTCCTTCACGTCTTCCTTTTCTGCATTTGGATCGGCGCACAGCACCAGCAGCTCGCGCGCGGCCGCCGGCATGCCGACCAAGTTCGTGAACAACGTCTCTGTCGCGCACAACACGCGCTGCTGCAGCTGCCGCAGTGTGCTGCCCGGACACTCGCACAACCAAGCAACGGCGTCGTGCACTTGCTGTGCCTCGTTCAACGCGGTGCGCTCGCCGTGGACGGCAGACCCGCTAAAGGGGAGCTGCATGAGCTTCTGCGTTTGCTCCGTGCGAGTAGAAGGCACGCTGGCAGCGGCTGCCGCGCTCATCGGCGGCGGCGCCGCTGTGGTAGGGGGCGGGAACGACGGTACCGTGTCCGTGGAGTCGGACAGCACGCTGCGCGATGCGTTGCGCGCTTTCGGTGGCGGCGCGGCGGTGCTGAGGTGCCGCGCCTCGAAGCTGCGCAGCTCGTCCCTCACGACGTGCTGCTCGGCGGAGCGCAGCGATTTGGTGGCTGCGTTGGCAGAAGAGGCGAACATTGCAGTCACTGTCGAAGCGTCTTGACGACTCCTGCGTTTTGAATGGAATGGGATGAGGCGTGGCGCGGCGTGCGTGCAGGCGTGAAGCAGAGAACGACGACAATGGCGCCGCGAAGACAACGGCTGAGGTCAATACAAACTTCTCTTTACGGGTTTTCAAGAAGGCATCAACAAAAGTTGGCAAGCGGAGGGTGAGGAGGCTGGAGAAGATGGGTGCGACTGAAGCGCAGCGTCAAGCGGCGCAAAGAAGAAAAGGAAACAAAGCAGTTCTTCGCTATTCGACCACAACGCCCGACACGCAACGTGATGCGAAATCGAAGGGGCAGGAGGAAAAAAGGTTGGGTCCACAGACAATGCACAACGCAGGAGCAGCAATTCTATATCGACGAATGCGTTGCATCAAACCAGAGGGGGAAAACATGAAGGGTGACACTGGCTCTCCCCCCCTACCCCCCCCCCTCCTCGTGCTCACGGAAAGTACGCGTGACGAGAGAGCTTTCGTTTACACGACATGCCTTTTTGGTTGTTATGACGCGTAAACGGTGTGGCTTTGCGTCCTACCATGAGGCAAGCCGCAGTTATTTGTGCGGATCATGCGCAAGACACACCCACACCCACATACATACAGTGGAAGTGTGCGCTTGTGGGTGTGCGCCGCAACATGAGCCGTAGCCATTTGTCCATTTCAAAAAGGAAAGAAAGAAAGAAACACAGATAGATACTAATCAACACTGTCGCTGATATATAAAACTTCGAAAACAAAGTACATCAATGCGGTCCTTCGCTATGGAGTTCAGTCCGATGGCGGAAGAATCCTCGCAAGTAAATGCTCCAACACTATTATACGAACTATAAAAGAGGCTGAGCGAAGCGACATGAGGAGCTCTCATGAAAAAACCAGACCTGGCCGATACAAGAAGAAGTGGTCGGTGTGCGGGGGTGGGCAAAGCTTCACATCGACTTCCTCTCCTGCAGTGGAGGCGACGTGCCCAGCCGACACGGGTGTGTGTTGCTGCCTCGGCGCACATGATCGCTTCGCTTGCGAGCAGTGTTTCTCCAAAGAAAACCAAGAAGAGAACAAGTGGCGTAGAAGACGACGACTTTGTCGCGTTGAGGGAGAACGCCACGTACCCACGGCAACACTCAGCAAATCAATATATATAGATAATACCGTTAGAGGGTAGAAAAGAGAAACAGAAGAACAAGAAGAAAAAAGTGGGCTCCAAACACATAATAACCGAAAAGTAGCACGTTTGCCTCTCCGCCGTGCCTGGGTGGATCGTGCGCTCCGGTACGTTGTCGCCACCACCCCACAGAGGCACAACTTGCGTCGCATGAAAACGGTAGAGTCACGCAAGAAGGATCAGCTTACGTACACAGGCACACGACGAACGAGCGGACAAAGAAGAAAAAAAGAAAGGGTCGCACATACGCGAGGCTGTGGGCAACGCCACATCGTAGAAGAAGAAAAAGACGTCCGTACTCCGCACCGCCGCGGCACTGCCTCAACAACAGCGAAAGCTGCGTGTGGGAAATGAAAAGACACTTGCTGAAGAGAAGAGAACCAACGGCGCTGAAAGAGCGCATGAGACACAACAACACTAACAAAAGATACATATAAAAAGAAGAAGAGATCGTCGTGGTGTGATACGGAAAAAAAATGGTGTTGATAACGGTTAGCATAAGACGGTAGTTAAACAACAGCACCTGTCTTTCTTTCTCCCCTCCACTCCTGCCCGCTCTCGAGCACTGCAGCTGAACTCCTCCATAGGTAAGTGATTTTAGATATAACTACATGTTTTTGATTTCGGTTCCCCACCCCTGTTGCGCAGGTGGATCTGCAGGTACAAGCTAGTACCATGGTGTGTTCACCGACGCGACGCTGTTCTGCGCCACGCGCTCCCCGTTACCAGTGCAGTGATTCTCGGAGCAGCAGGTGTACCTCTCCGCACACGCCGCCTTGAAATCGGGGGGCACGCGGCGGTGTAGGTTCGGCATTCGCTTCGGCTCGTTGAACAGCATCCGCGCTTTCGGGTCCGACGGGGTGTGGCGCGCCAGGGACTCGGTCTTCGGGCTGCGCTTCGCGGGCGTGAGGAACTGCAGGGATGCCCGCTCCGTCGGCGACAGCTCACGCGACGCGAGGGGCGATGTACTCGCCTTGGTGAAGAGCGGTGCGTACCCGCTGCCCGTCGGTCCCCGGCGGCGGCTCTGGCTGCCATGCGTCCGCTCGATGTCTTGCTGCGCCGCAAAGGACAAGGGCAGCGGGGAGGACGGCACCTGAAAGAAGTGGCTCTCCGTCACGCTTGTCTTTCGCTGGCGGTGCAGGCGGCGGAGGTAGTTGCGATTGTGCGTCTCACGGTGGAAGCGGCGTAGGTGCTTCTTCGAGCGGCTGGTGGTGGCGGCAGTTGGGGTGGTGCTCACCATCGGAGTCTTCTCCATGAAGCGCTTGGGGATGTGGGTGATGTTCACGGAGGCTGAGAAGCGCTCCAGCACACGGTGCAAGTCGGCGCTGCCTTCGCCACTCTCGATGATGCGGCGGAGTGCGCGGGCCGCGGCGATGATCTCCTGCCGCTTCGCTGCCGCCGCGTGATGGATGAACACTACCTCTTGCGGTGTCAGCTCCGCCGCGGGGTTGTGGTACTCGAGCTGCATGTAGTCCATTGCCTGTTGCTTGCGAGGAAGGGGGTTGATGCGTGTTTTCTCTTTCTTTTTTAAGTGTTTATCTGTGAACGTGAAACGAACCCGATATGAATGCACGAGAAAATCCAGAGGCAGAGGAAGAGTTGAGGGCTTCTGTTTGGGGTTTGAGGTCGGCCGCCGTCCGCGGGGATGACCCAGGATTCGCAACGTGAGTGAAAGAAGGAAAGAAAAGGATCACTTGTGCTTGCATGTGTTGCCCCGATGGTACGAGCGCAGCAGCACACACGGTGCCGCCATTTCTCGAGAAGCGAGCAGCTCCCACCCTTGTTGCCCGAGCAGAGCGAATCCTTTTCAAGGTATACCGCACACATGACGGAGAAAGAATGTTTGAAAAAAAATTAATTAACGGGTACGTAGTGCATCTCGTGGAAGCTGCGCGCTTAAGTGGCAGAGAGGCGTGATTGTCGTCCCTACCGAAAGCAAGATCGAAAAGCACTGACGCAGAGCTTTTAGGAAGGCAATGCCACAACAAGAGCTGCTCCCATGACGTACCAACGCACACACCTCAGTACTGCTGTAGCATGCAGTCGTGAACCTGGCAATCCGTGCAGAAGTACTGCTTACACGCCGCGCACTGCGTCTTCGTGCTCCACATGCCGAAGGCCTTTAAGCAGTTAAAGCAGTTCACCGCGTCGTAGACGCACCACGCACTGCGAGCCCTACCCGCCGCGAGTGAGGCCACCGCCGCGTTGCCCGCCTCCTGCGTCATGAACGCCTCCAGTGCAGTCAGGGCGAACATCTCCTTTTCGCGATCCGCACACGCGGCGGCCATTTCGCTGTCCAGAAAGGCATCGAAGTCGGCGCCCCACGACACTTTCTGCTGCCGCTGCGGCAGACGCACATAGGGGTTGTAGCTGAGGTAGCGGTCGGCGTCCTCGCGCATGTAAAGCGACTCCCAGAAGACGAGTCGTTTACTACTGCAGTTGGGCAGCAGCACAAAGTCCGCGAGCGGGGCTGTGCAGCGCGGTGCTGCAGCAGACGGGTCATTCTCTGCCTGTGCTTTGCTGCTGCTACGGCTGCTGCCCCGGCGACGCTGTGCGATGAATTTCCAGGCAGTGGCGGCGTCGTACCCCACGTTCACAAACTTTAGAGGGACCTCACCCTTCTTCTCACGCTGCACCTGTCGCAGGACGTCGGTCCAGACGGACGCCGTCCGCAGCCGCACCCCCTCCAACCGCCGCTCCTGCTCTCCGTTGCACAGGAAAGTTCCGTACAGGCAGCCGTAGACCACCTCGGACAAGTAGGCGAGCAGGTCCGAGGTGAACTCAAAGCAGGTCGGGTACTGCCGGTGCACCTGGAAGACGGCGTCGAGGAAGTGCAGAAATACGGGCGACGTGTCCAGGCGTGGTGCCCCGCCGTGCTGCTGCTGCTGCGTCTCCGTGTCGGAGCTGGCAACGCCGGAGTGGGTGAAGAAGGAGGTGCGGCCCGGCAGCTGGTGCCCGGCGCGCTCCGCAAACTTGTGCCCGAAGGAGCAGAACTCCTTCTCCACCAGCGTGCAGAAGCCCACGACGGTGCGGTAGTACGGGTCGAGCATCAGCATCGCCAGCGCCGTGCACTGCGACGTCCGGTCCCACCCATCCGTGCAGTGCACGAGGCACGAGACGCCGCCCTGCAGCGACTGCGCCGCCGTCACCGCACAAACGAGAACGCGTTGGGTGATGGCCAGCCAGTCCGCATCGTACAGGCGGCGCAGGAACGTCTTCTCTGCCGTGTTGCCTTGGTATCGGGCAACGATGCTGCGCAGCTTCTCGAAGGCTTTCGTGACTCCGAAAATGTTGTCGATCTCGAAGAAGTTCGTCTGGCAGAAGGCGTAGAAGCTGCCGGATTCGTAGCCGCCGCCGAGCTGCGCATTGCCGGCTGCGGTGATCTGCGGTCTGCAGTCCGCGACAAACAGAATCCTCGGCCCTCCCGCGGATGCGGCCACGGCGGGACTTTGCGGGCCGTCGGCGGGCGCGGTGTCGGCCGGGCTCGCGTGCGACGGTGCAGGGGAGGTGTGCGAGGGGCCGCTGCTCGTGTGTGCTGTGCTGCGTGGGGAGCCGTGTTGCGACGCAGCGGCCGCCGATGCGCTCGTCCCGCCACCCCGCCCGCTGCCACTCGCTACGGCCGCTGTTGCCGTGCTGTTGGGTGCTGGTGTTCGTGCAGTGGGGACCGCACCTCCGCTGTCTGCATCGTCTTCGTCGAAGAGAGAAGGGGGGCGCGCCGGCCGCGGACCGGCTGAGGCGGCGGCACTGCTCGCTGTCAAGCCCCCGCTTGACGTGGTGGTGGCACGTGTAGTTGCTGGTGCTGGTCCGGCTAGCGGTGGCTTTGCCGCCGCTGCTGCTGCTACCGAGTTCGCTATCGTGGTGGGGGGTACGTGTGTGTGTCGCGGCTGAGTATGGTGGGGGACGTAGCCCATGTTGATCAGCGTGTAGCACACGTCGGAGTCGGCGCCTAACTGCGGCGAGCGCATCAGCGGCTGCGAGCTGCGCGCAAGGACGGCACCGGTGCGTAGGCAAACATAGGAAATCGCCGGCACCCGCGCCCGAGAGCGCGCGTTCATATCCTTGAGCAGCAGCTCGCGGTCCACCACCTTCGGCTGAAGAAACAGATCCGGGTAGGTGGGCGAACTGGTGTAGAAGAAGTCCGCCGACCGCCCCTCAGTGTCGCGGGTCCGTTCCTCATCGCGCAAGTCAACGAGCGCAAACCACGGCCGCAGATCGCGCTGCACGCCAATGCGGCCATCCTGCATGTCCGCCTCGGTGGCAATGGCGGGTGCCCTGCGGGAGGCATCGATGCACAGCTGACGTGTAAATTCCCGCTGAGGGGAGTAGAGGTTCCACCCAAACTCCGTGTTCCAAATGGACATACTGCTGCTGCTGTTGCTGCTAGACATGGCGGACCCTTCTCTCGGTTCACGGTGCCTTTCGCCGGCGCTGTGCAGGTGTCGGTGGCGCTCCTCGGCGTACGAAAAGGCCGGCAAATCGGTCACCCGTGCGAGGCAGTGCGCCATCGCCAGATGCGCCTTCAAGTTCTTCAATAACCGATCGGACTGCACGATCAGCCTGTGCTGCCACACGTGTTTTGTTTGGAGTGTGACTACATAAAGGGACGGCAGCGGATCTGCGTAGCGGGGACGGGTAGGTGGCTGCTGCGGCTGCTGCCCCGGCGGAGTCAGCATCGGCATGACCGCCGTATTCGGAGACGCGCTGCTGTTATCAGGAAGTGCAACGGAGGTGGCGCTGCTGCCGTTGCACGCGCCCGTGCCCCGCACGGCCTCCTCGGCGTGCTGCACCTGCACGAAGGCCTTCGCGACGGCGGACGGCGCACGGACGATGCCCCACGTGGCGATAGCGATGTATGGCAGCTGCACGCACTCGTCGCGTCCTAGCGGGCCGATGTGGAGCTGGTACTGGGAGAGGGCCAAACTGCAGGGCTGCACCACGCAGGCCTTCTCGTCGCCGCCACAGTAGAACAGCAGCGCCACCGCATCCTTTGCCTCGATGGTGGCGCAGATGCGCAAGTCAAGCAATTCCCCCTCCAGCGTGTGGAAGCTTGGGTAGCACGACATGGGAGACAGCACAACTCCCTCTCGAGAAAAACAAAACTGATAAGCAGGAAAGAGAAGACAACAACAACAACAACAAAATCAGTAGTGATCAGCGAACTACAGCAACGTAGCAACTGTGGTAAAAAGCACGAAGAGACGTGCGAGAGCACACACGCGCACAATAATTGAACCAGCGAGACGCTAGGGAGATCCGCAAGACGGTCAGCGGCAACCGTGTTAAAGGCGGGGCCTGTAGGTGTGTATGTGCGAGTTCCTCTCTGGAAGGGACGGGTGCGAGTTGCGGTAGCTCCCAGAAAGGAAGAAAAAAACGAAAAGGCCGTCGGCAGTAGAGGACTTGCGCGATCTACGACGAGATATGCGTGTGGTGTGAGGGGAGTGCTGCTGAGGGCCGACAAAGGCAGACATCGACGGAGGGGTACAGCGGACGAAGGTGAGGAGGCGACAAGAAGGTATATATGGAGGAGATACGTCGCGGACGGAACTCACTTTTGAAAGGCGGACGTGTGTCGCACCGTGCGTTCTTCGGTGCCTTTCTTTTCCACCCGAGAGTCTGGAAGATTCCGTCGTCGTGTTTGGCGGGCGGGTTGCGGCAACCCACCCGCCATGACGACGAGCACCACCCCGAAGGAAGAGCGACGGCGAACAGCCTTTTATTATTATCATTATTACTATTTTTCTTTCCCAAGTAAGTGTTCCGTGAAATCGATATATACTACGACGCGCAAATGGCGTTGGTACCGGGACAACAGACGACGACGGAGATGATGCACGACGCACAAACACCTTCACACACACACACACACACACAAGAAAATCACTCGAGCAACAGACATGAAAAGAAAAGAGAAACTAAAATACTTGATATGATGAAACGAAGTCGCACCAGCGAGCGCAAAAATGAGAAGTCGAATCGAAAGAATAGTATGCAGTGCCGTGTGCACATGGCGATCTCGTTGCAACGGCAGTTTTCTTTAGGAATAGTGTTTTACGTCAGCAATACATACCGCCCAGCCGGCAGGGTGCTCGCGGATAGCAGGTATTGCGACTTTCGGCTTGCACGGATGCCGCCATCGGCGTCGATCGGGTTCACGTGCGCTGGGCCTTCTAAGCTGTCGCCGTAGCCCGGCATGTTGTTCTTGTTGCCGAACCCGTTCCAACCTCCAGGGTACGCCTGCGAGGGGGTGAGCGGCCCACGCTTGTTGTTGTACATCGCCTCGCTGGACTCACCACTAACGCCCCCCGTCGTATCCTCGTCGGTGGAGGAGGGCAGCATCGGCAGCGGCGGCAGCACCGCGATCGTCTCCGGCGGCAGCACCTGCGTGAGCGCGTTGACGTTGTAGCGCTCTGCAATCTCCTGCACCTTCTTGTCGGTGGTCGTCGCCGCCTCGCTCAGCGCGAGGGCGCCGCGGCTGTCCTGCGTGCGGGGGATGCAGTTGTCGACCACAGAGATGCGAAGCGAGCGTAGGGCGCTGACTTTGGACACGTCATCGGCCGCCAACGAAAAATGAGACGACTTCGGCACCGCCGTCGCCACCGCCCCCGACGTGTCTCGTGCCGCCAGCGCGCTGCTCAAACTCACGTTGACTTCGCTGTCCGGTTGGAAGCAGACGTCCTCGATCACGGTGTGGAGTTCCTCCTGCTCTGTGGCACCGAAGACGGCCCCGACGTCGGGCAGGTCGGCGTCGACGATGATGTTTGCCACGTAGCTGAAGGAGGGAAGCTTGGACACCGGTGCCTCCGTCAGCTCCGCCGAGAGCGGTCGACTCTTTTCGGAGGCTATATAGCGCAGTCCGCTGACGGTGTACATGTCGATGGCACGCTCCGGTGCTCGCAGCGCCGGCTCAAAGCACGACGCTAACTGGCCTAACGCCGCCCGCCGGTTCAGCACCTCCATGCCGTAGGTGACCAAGTTCGCAACCCCGTAGACGTTGCCAGTCGTCACGAGGACGGCCGCCACCATGTGCAGCCACGCCCGTGTGAGCGGCGAGGTGGCGGAGCGAGACGCCAACATGGTGGTGGTCGTCGCAACGCTTGTGCCGACGCTAGCACTGTCGTCCTGCGCAGGCACTGCTTCCGCTGCTGGTCGGTTGATGGGCGACTTGCCGAGAGTGCCGCCGGTCTCGGCTCGCACACAGTGCTGCTGCAGCGTCCACAGAAACGTCAAGTTGAAGGGCATCCCACTTACACCGTAGCCCGCCATGAGCGCACACAGCACGTCTGCCACGGCCACCACGCAGCGTGGCGTGATGCCCACAGTCTTCCTCACCGTCTTCTTTATCCACTCCTGTGCGTAGGCGACATCTTGCTCGTCGGTGCATAAAGTCCCGTTTTTAAACGGCAGCTGAGGCGCGCGTGGTTGTGGCTGTGGTGTGGAGGCAGCGGCAGCAGTGGTCGTTACAATTTTATCTGATGCCTTGGCCGTTGACTCCGTCATTCGATAGGTCTCCTCTGGTATACCGGCCAATACCCCCGTCAGCACACGGGCTGCCAGGTGCCGCAAGCTGTCCTCGTCGCCCTCCAGGTAGAAGTCGATGGTTTCGGTGACCTGCATGTCCTTGCGATCTGCCAGCGGAACAGCGCGGATGTACGGGGCCGCCCCATTCAGCAGCCGCAGCAGCAGCGCGGGGCGCGACGACGTCTCCGACTGCGCGGCCCGCAGCAGACTCCAAAGCGAGACCAGAATGTTCTGCAGCTGCGGGGCGTTGCGCTGACGGTAGGTCGCTCGCAGTAACCGCGAGGTCAACCGCACGACCACGTCGTGTGTGTCCTTCGTAATGCGCGTCGTCTCTGCATCGGTGCCAGCGTCGACGTCGGTGGCCGTCGTGCTCGCCAGCGGCAGCTTCAACACACTCAACAGGTAGTCGAGCACCAGCGCGGGCCGGCCACCGGTCATAGGCAAGGCCTCCATGCACGCCTGCAGGGACCGCAGCACACCAATGCGCACGTTGGGGTCCGTGTTGCGCTCGCCGACCTCGCACAGGCACTGGTACACTGAGAAGCCCAGCTGCTGGGGCCGGCGCTGCATGGCGGACAGGATGTCGCTGAACACGAGGGAGGGCACGTAGGGCACCGCCCAGCCACTTTGCTTGTCCAGCAACGACGTCACACAATTCAGCAGATCCTCCACACTGGCCGTCGTCGTGCAGGCAGCTGTGGCACCAATGCCGTGACTGCACGCGAGGGCGTAGACAACGTCCTGATCCTCCGTCTTCGTCGGCAGCTCTAACGTCGGGCACTCCGCGGGCACCGCCGCTGCACCACCGTAGTGACGTTCCGCGAGCAGGCGCACACTGGCGTCGCTGAGCGGCTTCTGTGCCCGCTCACGCAGCACCACAATAAGGTTCACAATCATCGCCCGCATGATACCGTCGACGCCGCCGGCGAGTGCTGCATGAATGCAGTTGGCGATGTTGCCCAGCGCGAGAATGGCGGCGTAGCGGGTCTGCGTGCTCTTCACGTCCCTCCGCGAGGCAATGTTATCGGACGTCATCTTCAGCAGCTGCGGCACCAGCCGATCTTTATTGTCCGCGATGAGGCGCCGCGCAGAGTCGGTGTTGGGCAACGTGCTCAGTCGGTAGCACAATACACTCAACACGTCCGCTGCCCCGACGTGGTAGCGTGGCACGTTGGTCGAAAGCAGCACAGCACATATGTCGATGCTGTGTGGCACAAAGCCGTCCACAACCTTCGCATGCTCAATCAGGGAGCGCAGCATGAAGAGGGACACCATCACTCGGTCCTCCTTGCTGTCGCTGAGGTGCCGGCGGAGGATTTTTGTGATCTTGCGGCACACGCGTGGAACTCGCTCGGGGTTGCTGGCGACGTAGCTGTTGAGCTTCCCTAACGCATCTTCATTGGCGCCGCCGTGTTTGTTATCGGGATAGACGGAGACGATGAAGCCTTTGAAGCGGTACTTCTTGTCCGCGGAGCACGAACACGAGTTGCTGCCGCCCATGATGACGCCCGGGAGACAGAGTTCTATGAAAGTACCTGTGTGTATGTGTACTACGGCCCTTAGATATTTTTGCAATGGCAGGAGAATGAGTAAAAAGGAAAAAAAAATATAAAGTCAGCCGTGAAGTGCGGTTTCTTATCTTTCTTCACGGAAGAAGATGGAGCAGCGTGCGCCGCAGCGCATTAAGGGGCAGTACGCTACACTGCTTAAAGAGCGTCGCGTATTTGTATATGTATATATATGTGTGTGTGTGGCGGCGCTGACTACACCTACGTTTGTTTTTCTTCTACTAGCGCTCCGCTTTCGAGCATACCAAAACAGACAACAACAACCCAACCGAGGCGTATGAAAGAGGAGGTGAGAGCAGTGGAGAGGTCGGCAGGAAGACTCGCCGCCGTGCGAGAAGGGTGAAGTGCCCAAAAAAGCTCTCAAGCACAGCGACTTCGATGATCATCAAAGACCGGAGCTAAAAAAAAAGGCCTTCTACTTCTCCTTCTCGCGCGTGACCTCTTCAACGTGGTGCATTCATCAGCCGTGATGAGAAGGCAGACGACCAACACCGCCACACCGACGAGGTAGAACCTGCTCCTGTCTCCGTACGGCACGACGGTAAAAGAACACGAAATGGCGTGTGTGCTTGCGTGCTTTGGTGTTGTGCAGAGGCACCGTCAAGGACTCAAATGGGGAGCATTACGTTAAAAGGAAAGAAGAGCTCGATCAAGCCTCCACTTCTCTGTGGGGTGCAAAACAAAGGAGAAAGTGCGACGGCTCTGTCAGAGCTTTCGGCGCCCACCTCGACCCTTTGGGCCGCTGCGCTCATTCTTCGTCGCCTTTTTGGCGGTCACCGCCGGAGACGCGCCTTTGCGAGACCGTGGAGGTGACACCGGCTGCGCAGCATCCACCGCCGCGGCCCCTGAAGGCTCAGCTTGCCGCTTCGCTTTGTTCGCCTTCATGCGACTCAGCAGACTGCCACTCACCGCAGCTCGCGTTGCGCCATCCGCCGGCGTGGGCTCCACCTCCGCCGTGTCTTCGAGCTGGGAGGAGCTGACCGAGCCGAAGTCGCTCTCGTCCTCGATACTGCCATCCGCCGAGGAGGCAGAGGGGGAGGAGTCCTTTCGGCTTCGTTTACGGGAGGAGCTGGTCGGTTTGCTGGACGCCGATTTTGCCGCTGTCGCCGCCGTCACACCCGCGACGCGACGCTTGTTGGGTTTGGCGTTGCTCGCTGATGCCGCTTCACCATCACGTCGACCACCATCACCAGCGCTGACCGCGCTTCCCGCAACGACACCCGTCCCGCTGCGGTCGTCGGGGTGGGGATGAAACTGAACGCCACTCGCGCGGCCCAGCGGTCGCACGACGGCCCGCCGCTGCATCTCGGTCAGCTGCGCCGTGAAGTGCTCCATATCCGCGACGACCATCGGCGCCTCCTGCAGCACGTCCACCAAGGCCAGCACCGCCGCCTCCGCCCTCTCGTACTGCGGGGCCACGCGCAACAGTGCCTCCGCCTCGGCACCGTTCCCCCTTTCGACAGCCGCCGACGCCGACGGCCGACTCCGCGCTCTGCTCCCCTCCACCGCCGCCGCCGCCATCAACTCCGTTCCTCGCAGCTTCACCTTCTCCAGTGCCTCGACGGCGGACTGCACCTGCGCCTGCGTCACCACGCCCGGCTCCGCCGCGAGGACGTCGCGCACGTCCCGGCTCAGCCCTTCCACCTGCTCCAGAAAGGCCCACATCTCTGCGCTGCGCGGGACGAGTGCTTCCACAAAGGCCGTCCGTGAGTCGACGGTGGGGGGCAGGCGGAGGGAGGCCCACTGTGCCAGCGCCGACGTGGCACGCTCCGTCCACGCGACGACTTCCCGCTCGGCTTCCGCGGCGGAGGCGGGAGGGACACAGCGTTCGCCCACGTATACGTCGTGTGCCTCCTGCCACTCCGCCGCCACCTTCTTGAAGGTCTCGAAGGCCGCCTCCACTGCATCTACCGCGATAGCCACCACCGCCTTCGGGCTCGCCCAGCCGTCCGCCTTCGGCAGGAGCGCCTCTAACGCGTCTACGGCCTGCTCGAGGGCCGCGGTGGTCGTCACGTAGGCGGCGAGCTGCTGCCCATCCTTCTCCACCCGCTGCAGCGCCCGTGATAGCGCCTGCTGGGCCTGACCCACCTCTTCTTGCACGGCGAGGGCGGCCTGCAGGGAGGCGGGAGGAGGGAGGGAGGCGAAGAGGCGCGTGCGCGACTCGAAGACGGACTCCTCGGATGCCTGCGTCTCACCCGCGTTGGGACCGGTGCTCGCCACATCCGGCACATCGCGGCGCACCTCATCTGCCGAGGCGACCTTCGCAAAGTACACCACGCGGTTTTCCTTCTCGTACTGCTGCAACACCGCGCAGACGTCGCTCAGGAGAAGACGCACGTAGGGGTAGACCTGCACCACGTCCGCTGGCGCCACCGCACTCTCCCTCGTCTTCGTCTCAGCGTCTGCCTTTGCTGGCGTAGCCGTCTCGCCGAATAGTAAAGCGTGCAAATGTGGGTACTGAGTGGCGGGCTTGAGGGGGCTCGCAGCGCCGCTGTCGTCGTCACCAGCGTCCTCGGCACGTTCTAAATTGAGCTGCGGTCGTTGCGGCTGCGCTGTACGAAGATACCTCACTGCGTTGCCCGCTGACGCACCGGAGAACAGCGAGGCCAGCCGACGACCCCACCACTGACGGGACTCGTATTCCGCCTCCTTGTGCACCTCTTCCAGGCTCCACTGGCCATCGCACGTGCGGAGTAGCGTGTCGGCGTAGCGCACGTGCCCCAGCGCCTCTGCCATCTCCGGCCCCTTCGCGGACGCGTGCGCGTAGTACCACGTTGCCTCGTGATAGTGGTAGGCGGCCAACAAGAGCGAGGGCAGCAGCTGCAGAGAGCTGGTGGAGAGCACCGAGGTGGGCAGAGGTAGCTGGGCGGCCTCAAAGGCCAGCTTCGCCAGCACATCCGGCTTGTTCTTGGTGGAGGCGGAGGAGAGGGCGTACATGTACTTCGCCACGGCGACACAGAGAAGCGCCATTCCCTGCGTCACCTCCAGCGGCAGCTGAGTGCGCAGCTGCTGCAGGGTGACCGCAGAGGGCGAGGCCGGCGCGGCGTGGAGAGCCTCCGACCAGCGCAGCACCTCCACCGCTTGCCGGAAGTGTTGGGCGGCAATTTTGGCATTTTGATTCGGCGCCGCCACCGAGCCGCCCTGCGGGGTGCTGACAGACGTCGCCGCGGCGGTGTCGGCCCGCACACGCGCCAAGTAATCGAGGCCGCTCTCCAAGTGACCGACAGCCACGTTCAGCAGAAACACGAGGGCCTCCCCGCGTGGAGTGCTCACCGGGACCGTCACGAGACTGCCGTTGACACCGCCACCGGCGGACACCAATGCGACGGGGGGAAGGGCAAACAGCTGCCGCAGGCGCAGCGGCCACTGACTCAGCACGTCGTCGAGAGCAGTCAGTAGGGCCACGTACTCCTTCACGTCTCGCGCACCGCGGGTGAGGCTGGTGAAGACGGTAGGCGAGGCCGTCGCGTAGGAGTACATCATGGCGACCGCGTTGGACACCTGCTCGGTGGGCACGGCCTTGACAACGGCAAGTGTGCAGGAGAGCAGCCGTGTCCAGTCCAGCGGCTCCGCACGCGTGGCGGAGGAGGGCAGGAAGCTGTACATCGCAACACCGCGAGCTTCGCAAGTTGAGCAGCCTACCTCTCTATATCTATGTAAGTAGGTTTGATGACAGATTTGCGTAGAACAGGGTAGAAGAAACCGATCCGCGATGAGACGCTATGGAATAACTGCACGACGCTGTGACGTTACTGAATCACCGCTACGATACAAACAATAACAGTAAAAAACAATAGAGAAGATATTTTTGCTTTCAGCTCTTTATTGAAAGGCAAGGAAGGTAAGCAGGCAGGTGGTGGGAGATGCTCAACGCCCGTTGGGAGATGAAATGGAGTGTGTGTGGGCGGCGTGACCCTGCGGCATCAGAGCGACCGTCTCGCTGGTAGAGAACATCAAACCACACCACCCATCCCCATGAGACCATGGCCTTTCAAGAATACAAAAAGGAATAGAGATACCAGCTTCTTCCCTTTGGGGCTCTCGCCCAGCAGAACGTTCCCTTCACTCTTCTTGTTAGATATGAATGAATATCCTTCGACGGAAGCCTTCACAAGACGACGATCCCCGCACTAACAATGAGTTGTTTAAACAGAGCTATTTGGATTCGACTCATCAAAGGAAATACATAAAAAAATGTCAACGATAACAATACGAAGCGGAACACAGCAGGGCCGTGTCAGAACATGCCTGCAAACGACAACAACGCAGGGGGGGGTGCTCGCCTATCTCAATCTACGAAAGTACTTGCGCACCACCGATGCGCTGCACACCCACACAGTTGAATTTCGACTTTTGACTTTTCCAAACGCCCAGCCTTTGCTGGGCCGCTCTCTGACAAATGGGTGTACACGCCTGATCAAGGCAAAGTGGTCTGCGCGTCACGCCGCCACCTTTTCAATGCGCATGAGGCTGCAGGTGGACGACGTCAACCCCGACGGCATCTCCAGCTGCGACAGCACCGTCCGCACGTCCAGCAATTCCTGCGTTACGCGCAGGTGCAACGCGTTGGGGTGACCGAGGCGGATTCGCTGAGTGAAGTGCGCCATGCCGTCGCGGTGCGCCTCGCAGCAGAGGAGGGCGACGCCGCCGGGCTTCAAGAGGGCCTCGAGGGCGCCCGCCACGTGGGCGGCGATGGCGTAGTCATAGACCACGTCACTTGCCACCACCACGTCGTAAACGCCGCACAGCTCCGGCGGGATGTCACCGAAGTCCAAGATGAAAGGGCGAACCTGAAAGCTGGCAGGAGAAGTGGCCGTCCGTTGTTCGTCATTTGCACTTCCGCCGTGTCCGCTGTGCAGGTCAAGCATGCTGGACAGCGCGGGCCCGTTGCGGTGCTGAAAGGAGCGCCGGGCTTCCTCTACCACGGAGGCCGACACGTCCGTCACATCGAGACAGCACGGCACCGTCGTCGGCGTGTCCCACGCCGCCATCGCCGCCAAGACGAGGGAGACCAACGCGGGCCCGCAACCCAACTCTATCACACGCAGCGGCGCCTCGGTGCTGGCACGTGCTTCGCAGGCCTTCTTCACAATAATGGCTTGATAGTTCTCGATGAGGTACAGGGAGAGGCCCACCGCACCGGCCCAGAGCATCGCGCCGGTTTCCCCGCTGGTGTAATCCGCGAAGCCGAAACACACACGTAGCACTGCCGCGTCATTCGGTGCGGTTCCGATGAGCGAGGACGACCGCCTTGAGTTGCCGAGTTCGTGACCGTGAATGGATGTGTCGGACTTCGCGTCCAGTTGGACTTCAAGAGTGGTGTCGGCACATCGGCGCGTCACGCCCTCGCAGCAATTCGCAAGGGCTTTGCTGGTGGCCTCCAGCAGCTCTTCCAGATCATACGAACTTTCTTTTGCTCTGTCGCGACGCGCCACTTCAAAACCGCCCTTGAGCACGCACTTCAGCAGCCGTGCCAGCAGCGGCTGCAGTCGCCGACAGAAGCGCTCATCGACACCGCCCATCTTCCCCAGTGCGCCATAGTCACTCAGGTCGGAGAGGAGAACGACGAGCGCACCCCACATGTGCTGCGTATCTTCTGAGTCGGTAAGGGAGGCGTCGCGGCTCTTGACCCGACCTTCACCGGCGAGTACACACTGCTCCAGCAGCGTTTCGGCGTTGTCTGCTGAGCCGTAGGCGTCACGGATACGACGCAGCGGGGCATCGCTCGTGCGACGAAGGGTGACGTTCGTAGACTGCAGCATCGCCCTATGAAGGTGGGCTCTGCGTGCTGGTACGGAGTAGGTGGGTGGGACGATAGAGTAAGTGCTGAACAAGTTCCACCCCCTAGTTGGGGAATAGTTGAGGAGTTCGAAGAGTACTCCCGCAGCACACTCACGCAAAGAGAAGCGGTGGTGTGGGGTGACTCTGCGGCTTTATCGACTCGCACGCGCACGCACGGACGCGCATCCCTGGCGGGGAAGGCCCTACTTGCGGTGAATACGGCGAGAGTGCCGGCGGAAACTTGGACAACACCAACGCGTCTTTATGAATGCAGGCGAGGAGGGACGGCAACGAGAAGATGAGGAAAGGGGGCAGTGTCGACGGTGCAGAGGACTCCAACAGAGGAGCCGCAGAACCGCGATTAGACGGCAGAGCGGCGGGTATGTCAAACAACAGGCCACGACAACGCTTTCAGAGTCCCAAAGACAAGCATCATCGATAGCTTCGAGAGAGGAAATGACTGAAGTGACACTAATACGTTTGCAGTGATCCACCGCTACACCGGCGCGTACAACACCCACCATGCGTGAAGACGTCTTCTAGTCCACTTCTGCTGCGGCGAAACCTGCTAATATAATAAGAAGCTAAACTATCCTCCCTCGCTCCTGTCCTCCCTCTTCATTTACACGACTCTTCCATGAATACACGCAGCTGGGACGCCTTGCCAGCTCCCAGTCGGCGAATGGCCTCCCGCAGTGCCGCGCTATGAGCAGGCGCCACCGTGCGTACCAGGTACCGGCCCACCTCGTTTAATGCGACGGCGTACGCAGGTGCCAGTTTCGTGGACAGCAACGTCACCACGTACAGCAGAACCTCGTGTAGGCTATCTGCTGCTGGCACAGCGGGGTCTGCGCTCTTCATCGTGGCCAGGAGAAGGCCACACAAGAGCGGGCCGCAATGAAGCACAAAGGTGGCAAGTTCTTTTAAAGGGAGCAGAGACGTGGCGGCTGTCGTGGGAGGAGAGGGGCTTTCCAGGGAGGCGAAGAGGGCGAGTAGAACAGCCGCTTCCGACTTGTGATGCTCCAAACACTCGCGGAGAGAGACATGATGCGGAGACTCCGCCGCTGCCAAGGCCGCTGGCGGCGACCACAGGTACTCGATGGTCCTCACCGGACAGGCAGCATTCCGCAGCAGCTTTAGAACAGCGGGCCAGAGCTGCCTATCCATGAAAGGCGAACGGGTGAGCGGAAGAGCATCCGTGGAGACACACCGGCCCACCAAGATCAACGCAAGCGGCCCCGTCAGCGCCAACGCACGCATGCTGTCCTCCTCTTCCGCCGCCGCACTCCGCACGTACACCGCCGTGAGGTGCTCCAGGCGTACCACCATCGCTGGGGGCAGTACATCTGAGAGCGCATCCGCAGGCAAGGCCTCCAAAAGCGGGAGGAGCCGCTTCAGTTCCAACTCCGCAGCCATCCCTACGCACAGCAGCGAAGCGGCTACCTCGGCCCAGTTGTCCGCATGATGACTCGCGTCGACCTTCACCACGAGTGGAGCAAAGGCGCCCAGAAGGTCCTCGGCCTGCGCACGCGGCATCGACGCTACAGCTGCGATCCGCAGCAACGCGGTGCTCTCCCTCCCCATCGCAGTGCTGCTGTCGCTTGCGATGTGCTGCTCTCCCCACGAAGAGGCGATGCTCAGCAGGCGCTGCTGGGCGAGCTGAGCGAGGATGCGCTGGTGCTGCGACGTCAACTTGCCGCTGAGGGCCACCACATACCGCAATGCATCTCCCGACGCTACGGCGCTGCTGCTCATCCGCTTCTCCATCGGTGCCGGGTGGATCAGCGTGGAAAGAACGAGGCAGGCCAGGCAGCCCGTTGCGTAGCGCAGCGCCGGCCCCAGCGTGGCGCTCAGCGGCCGCTCCGTCATAAACGCCACCGCCTGCAGAACGTCACCAGCCGTCATCGACATGCGAGAGCCGTAGACGGAGGAGGTTGCGGAGGCGCCACCACCACCACCGCCGTCCTCTTCGTCGTCGTCGTCATCGCCGCGCCAGTTTCCACCACCGAAGACGGAGGTGGGCGGCACGTAGCCGTTCGCTAAGGACACGGCCGCCACAAAGCGCTCACACAACAGCGTCAGCGCGGCCTGGCAGGGCGGGGAGATGAGAGTGCGTGCAAACGCCCCCTGCGCCGCCTCCAGCGTCTCCGCTGCCATGGCCGGCGATTGGGCCACCTTGGCCAGCGCTACAATGATGTGGCCCGCCCCGCTGCTGCCGCCGAGCAAAAACCCACGCCGACGCTCTTGCAGACGGTGGCAGGCGTGCAGGAGAAGCAGCAGCGAGCGCAGCACACGGCGGCACGAGCTCGTGTCGGCGAGGTTGCAGCGGCTGTACTGCACTGCCAAGGCGGTGCACCCCTCCAGCGAGAGCAGACCGTGCTGCAGCACCGTTGTGAGGCTCACCACCAACTGCGTCTTCCACGGCATCAGCACCGCCAACGGACGAGCCAGCTCCTGCACCTGCGTCACGTGGCCCCACAGGGCGAAGACTTCGTGCAGCACGGCGATGGTGGCGATGTGCACTTCGGGGTGCACCTCCACAAGCTGGGCGGCGGCCACTACCATGGGCAGCACGGCCCGCCGCACGTCGTGTGTGCGTTGCGTTGATTGATCCGTCTGCACTGTGTCGCCTCCGACACCCCGCAGCACGCTGTACAGCACCCACATCGCCGCCTCCTTCGCCGCCACGTCAAAAGTTAGGGAGGCGTTGTTGTCTACTGCGGATGCCGCCGTGCCGCCGCCTCTGCCCTCTCCTCGCTCCCCACCTCCGCCCGCTTCACTCAAGATGCCGCCGATGCCCTCGCTTTCAAACTCCGCCGCGTAGTCCTCCATGTCGTCGCTGTCGCTGCCACCTCCGCCGCGTGCGCCGTCTGTTGCCTCGTCCGTGCCCGCCTCGCTGCCCTCGCCGACCGCGGCGAACATGTCGGTGTCCCGCTTCGCAATGTCGACCTGCACATCGGGGGAGCGGGACTGCAAGACGGTGTTCACGGCGTCGAGAAAGCCCTTAAAAGCCAGTGTCAATGTGGGAGGGCTGCTGACAGCGGTGCTGGCGCCGTCGCTGTGGTGGCTGACCTCGACGTGATCAGGGCTGCTGCTGCGTGGGAGAAGAGAGGAGCACATCGCCTGCGCCACCTTCAGCCACCCTCGCCGAACGGGTGCGGCGGCGGCGAGGTCGATTTGTACAGCCACCTCCACCACCGTCAGCTGCCGCGTGCAGCCGGCGTCGGCCACGGCAGCGGTGACGAGCGGGGTCGAGCCGTCGCCAAGCAGCACACAGCACCACAGGCTGGCAAGCCGTTTGGACACCTCACCCGGCACGGCAACACGCCGTTGAGAACGGCGGCCTCTGTTCTGCGCCAATGGGCCCGGTACGCCTTCCTCTTCGTGCTGGGCGTGCGTTGTGTGCGTCAGACACAGGTGCAGCAGTCTGCGCCACGCCACGCACCGGTCCGCGTTGCGGGCCTGATTGCGACTGAACACTTCCACGGCGTCCAGCGCGGCCTTTACGGCGGACACGGGCATCTGATGTGACCGCGTGGTGACACGGAGGCTCTCCTGCACCAGCAGCAGCGCCGAGGTCTGCGGCACCGACCCCACCGCGCTGTTCGAACCCACAAAATTGCTCCAGAGCTGCACAACTGCAGTGAGCATCCCCACCGCGGTCGTGCTGGACCACCACTGATAGTTGGAGGCGGCCATGGGGGTTAGCAGCACGCCCACGACGCTGTCCGAGAGAGCCGCCTCCACCTCCATCGGGTACACCTGTGCGAGGCGCAACGAGAGCAGCGTGAGGACAGGAGCAGAGAAGATGTTGGCTGCACCAGTGGCGGGGGCGGCGCTGACGAGTCGCCTCCACACTTCGGAGAGCAGCGAGGTGGCGAGGGGCAGCGTCGGGCTTGACTCCACCGGAGTGTCGCCTGCTGCCTCGCCCGGGTGGCTGTGGGCCTCGCACAGCACCATCAGTGCCCCTAAGGAGTCCATCTGGAGGGACTGGCTGGGCGAGCCTTGGGCGACGGCGGCGACCGTCTGGCTGGTGAACACGTCCACCTGCCCGGTGGAGACCAAGCACAGGGCTAACACCTTGGCGGCGAGCAGGCGCACCTCCACCGACTCCTCCGCAGAGGCGGGGATCAGCTGCGCGGCCACGGCGTGCCACCGCTGCACCTCCGCCTTCCACTTTGCGTTGGCCCACAACGCCGCGGCGGTGTGCGGCGACGCCTCCAACAACAACTCATGCACCGTACACAGCGTGTTCCACAGTCCTACCTCTCGCCTCGCGGTCTGGCGAGCTTGCTCCTCCACCGTCGCGGCGGCGTTCACGGGCGTGGCGTACAGCTTGAAGAGATCCGTGTCGAGCGACGCGAGCAGCGCGACGCACACGGGCACCGCACCGCGTGCTACGAAGTGACGCAGCGTCCAGCGCAGCAGCCGCACCGCGCTTCCGCCGCACTCCTCGAGGGGGTGGGCCGGCGTCTCGGCGGAGGCAGAAATGGTGCTGGAGGACACACAGCGATGGAGCAGCGTACTTCGCACAAGCTTCATCGACTGTGCCGCTGCGGCCACCGCCGGGCCGTGCGTTTCCTCAAACGAAAACACCGGTGCGGAGTGCGCGCACGCCCTCGCAATGTCCTTCAGCGCCTGCGCCGCCAGCCAGCGCAGACTGCCGTCGTCCTTGCAGGTGGGCCACGGCGCGCAGGAGACTAGGCTGTACAAGGCGCCTTTGCTGACCGCGAAGTACGCGGTGGCGGCGGAGGAGCCGGTCGCGTCCACGTTGTGCCGCGCCACACCGTCTTGGGAGGCGAGGCGGGACTCTAGGAAGCCCACGGCGAGCATCCGCTCTGTGTCACTCACCACCGGCGCCCGCCGCAGCATCGCGCACGCCGCCGTGACCGCCTTGTAAAACGCAATGCTCGGTGCGGGGCTGCTGACGAGCAGGTTCATGAAGCCCAGCGTGCAGGGCTGCAGCTCGTCGCGTGCAGCGCAAACAACGGCGGAGGGGCTGGCGCGCAGGAGGTCGTAGATGAGCTGCGTCAGACGGAAGATGAGCTCGGCCTGTCGGTAGTGGATGTCCTGCACGGCTCGGGGTGGGTCGCCGCGGCTGAGGCGCAGGAGAAGTCGAATGCAGACGTGCACGAGGGACACGCGGTCCTCCTCACCAAAGGCGTCGTCTGCTTCGGCTGCTCTTCTTGATGGAGGATCACCATGGCCGTTTCGTTCCACAGCTTCCGTCGCACTTATGGAGGCGTCCAGCAGGGCCCGGATGTGCAGTTGAAACGTCAGTGTGTTGGCCACCTCGGCACTGTCGGCACGTGCGCATTGATGCTGCAGCTGACGTGCGTAGAGGGTGTTGGTGCGCGCCACGGCCCCCAGCACCTCCACGCCGGTGTGCAAGAGGCTCGGCGTAGCGTTCACTGCCGCCAGGACGTCCTCGGCAACGTTGAAGCCGATCTCAAGCGACGAGGAGAGAGTTCGCACGACGCCCTGCAGCGCCACCATCGCTGTGCGCACCACGGCCTTGTCCTCGCCAGACTGCTGCACGTAGCCACGCAGCACGTCCGCCAGCACCACACGGTACCCGTTGGACGGAAGCTGCCGCGCCCACTCCTGAATGGCGTCCGCCAGCAGCCGTGGCATGTAGGCCCGCGCATCTCCCTCAATTGGCACGAGCAGCACAAAGCAGCACTGAATGACACTGGAAGTCGTGGCGGGGGTCGAGCAGGCGCTGCAGAGCGTCGCGAGCGCCGTGGCGAGGGCGCGCTGGGCGGTGCGAGTCATGCGCTCGTTAAAGCACCGCTGCACCACCCGGCTGCCCTCAACAGCGTCGGCGCCGCCAAAGTACCGCCAGCGGAGGTGGCCGGCGTTCGCGCCGGCTGCGGTCCCTGCCCCGCCCGCTGCGGGACCCGATCCCCCTCCCCCACCACCGCCCCCTCTGCGATGTGCGTCGATTCGCTCCTCGGCTGCTGCTGCTGCTTTTGACGGTGGTGCCGCTGCCTGCAAGATGTCGCTCAACGAGTCCAAGGTGAAGTCGCTCTGATAAAACGCGAGGAGGTAGCCCATGGCGACACCCACATCGTAGAGCACTTCGTCCGAAATATCGTAGGGTGCGACGTCGTCGCACAGGCAGAGCAGCATGTCCATCAGAGCGTAGGCGACGTCTGGGGACAACACGCGAAGACCGTTCTCCAGCACCCCGCGCACCGAGGAGCCGGCGGCGATGCGGACAAAGATGTCGCTGCTCTTCACGCAGCCGCGTTTCACGTAGTCGATGATCTCGTGCGCGTAGCTTTGAGGGATCGCTGTGGTCGGTTGGTGCCGAACGATGGCTGGTAAGCTGCGGAAGGCGAGCAGGCGAACCTCTTCCGATTGCATGTTCACAGGGTGCGGCAGCTGACCTCTGCGGAAGACCGGCAGCGGGGAATGGCCAACGTTCCACCGCAGCAGCACCGGCAGCAGCTGCAGTGCGCCGCAGAGCCCCGCCGTGGCCGTGGGCGTGGAGGTGCCAGCGTTGTCGCGCGATAGACTTTGCACAGCGCTCCACGTCTGCTCTACCCACTTCACCACCGCGCTGCTCGGCACGAGCACCGGGCAGCTCGGACCGCCCGTCGCTCCAACACCGTCGGTACTCCCGTCGCAGCCCGCGTTGACCCGCGTGGTCCAGCTCAAAAACTCATCGACGAGCCGCAAGCAGCGCGTCAGGGCGAGATAAGACAGGCTTCCTTGGAGGGTCAGAGCCACCAGTAACCCCACAAAGTGGGAGGCGACCCCGCTATCCTGCAGGGAAGCACACCAGGCAATGAGGACGGAGTTGGGTGACAGGCGGTAAATGGAAAAGAGCTCTTCGATCTCCTGCAGCACCTGCATGAAGCGTAGATACTTGTTGTGCAGACTCGCCCCGTTAAAGACGCCGGAGCCAGTGAGGCGGGAGGGGGCGCCGAGCAGGTTCCACTCTACCGTAGAGGCCTGCAAGGAGCTCACCAGCGTGGGGAAGTCATCGGAGCTGGACATCTGCTGGGGATCTACGTTTAGGCCTTCTATTATATCTACAACACGCAGTGAAGTTTGTTTATATTGTGCGAGGACGTCGTGCCCGTCGCAACGGCAGCGGCGAACGGTGCAGCTACAAGTGGCCTCAGCGATCTCAGTACAAAGAAAAACGGGGCAGCTGCGAAAATACACACACGCACGCGGCAAAAAGTGCGTGCTCGCCCTTCGCAGCAGTTAAAAACCGGCTTGTGTGTGTTTGAAGTATCCCCGTTCGCGGGAGGTGAAAAGAGGCAAAAGAAACGAAGTCGGTGCGGCGCAAGAGTACTGGACTCTGGGGGGGGGGGGGGAGGAGGACTGGAGGAAGGCACATCAGCGCAACAGCTGCCCTTCCGAAAGCACTTCTCAAGTGAGCAAATCAGGCCCTTTGCGAAGAGGCGCCGAAACGACCTGAATGAGTTGGAGGGAAGAGAGCCAATCACAGCACGGAGAGACGCACGGACCCGGTCGCTTTTCATCGCCGTTCTCTTTTCTTAGTATGGAGGGTTTGGGTGTCATTCCTTGAGGCAAGGGGAGGGCGGAGGAGGTGTCTAACCGGTCCCCCCTCCCCCGCACACATGCAGATAAGTATATACGGCTGTACATCGAAGATGAAAGAAAAGGCAGCAGACCACGTCGCACAGCGCGCAGGCAACGCAGTGAAACGCACGCCGTACATGCCACCGTCAATCAGAACACATCAATGAGGGGAATATACATAACCAATTTCACCGTGATGCCCTCAGGCGAGAGGAGGAGGGAAAGCAAAAACTGTACGCAGCACTGCGAAAAACAAACAAACGCGAACTCAGAGTTCTCGCAAGAGAGCCGATCGGAGGCCTCCGTGCCTACGGATGGTCCGAGGCGAGCTCGGCGAGGGTCAGCGCCCATGTCTGCCGCAGCTGCGCCTCGTGCCGCTCCCACGAGGTGAAGGCCTCCGTGACGACCTGTGCCGCCTCGTTGTCGTCCTCGGCGACGCTGCGGACGACGGAGCGCAGCAGCTGCACGCATTCCAGTGAAAGCGGGAAGCGCGGCACCACCAGCGGAATAGAAAGCTCCACTGTGTTGACGGGCGCCGCCACCACTGCCGCCGCCGCCGCCGCCGCGCGGGTTGCGGCCGGGTCCGGCGAGTTGGAAGGGTGACCTTTGCGCCCGCTGCTTCCAGAGGCGGCGGCGTTTGCATTTTGCCGCCGAGTGCTCTGCGGAGCCGCCTTGCCGCTTTGCACAGCCCCGGCAGCGGCCGAGGGCACGTAGAGGGTGGCCGCGGCAGGCGCCGGCACCACCGCCTGCGGGTGGCTCGCATTGTACTGCGTCAGCGGAGCGCACGCGTTCAGCGGCAGTCCGGGCAGCTCCACCTCTCCCCACGGCAGCGGTGTCAACCCCGAGGCACCGTTGGTGTCCTTTGCACTCGCGTTGGACTTGTCCGCAGCTTTGCTGGCGTGACGCCTGCTGCCACTGGCGGTGCCTGCCTGATCGGCGCGGTGCAGCGGCATCGTCTCCTGCAGGCGCGGGTCTCGCTTCACCACCGCGGAGGAGTCCATAACGGCGGCGGCCCGCTCACGCTGGGCGCGGAGCTCCAAGAGGTGCCGCAGTCCGCGGTGCTGACCGCTCTCCACCACCTGCGCCGTGGAGACGAGGTGCTGCGGCGTGACGAGGCCGCTGAGGAGGTGCAGGTAAGTGTACAGCGCCGTCCAGCAGCGGGCGACGTGCAGACCGGCCTCGTCCTGCAGCTCCCGCAGCGCCGACGACCAAGACTGCTGCAGTACTCGATCAGTGACAGCAGAGCGTTCCGCCTCCGCCTGCGTCAGCGTCGTGAGCACCGTAGAGTTGAGCTGGCTGGCCAGGGACAGCTTCGCCGAACCGCGGTGCCGCTGCCACTGCTGCGCGCTCTGCGCGTAAAAGCGCAGCCACGGACGCACGACGCTCTCCACGCGCGTGAAGGCGGCCACCGCCGCCTCGGTCTCCAGCGTCGCCGCCAGCAGCACCGGCGTGTCCTGCAGCGTGTTCCACAGCTCCTGGACGTGCTGACGGTAGGTCGGGCCTGCCCTGTCGACGTGGGCGCGCACGCGGTCTTCCTGCGCCTGACAGAGCGTGCACACCGATGACAACAAACTCGCTTCGGTACCGTCCGCCATGCCTGGGAGACGGCGGTGCAAAGAGCCCGGGTGCGCCTCCATGTGCTGTCGGACAACGATCTCGACGTTGCTTTTCAGCTCCGCTGTCCACTGCGCCACTTGCGCCATCAGCGTGGGTGCGGTGGGCAGGGGCATCAGCGTGTGACCCATAGATGCGGTGACCGCAGCACTCTGCGCACTCACGGCGGCCTTCGCGCGTCGGTTGCCACGCGCACTGCCCGGTCCGCTGGCGCTGTTGGCACGGCTGGGGCCGTCGCTGACGCTCTCGCCGCTCAGCACCTGCGGCAGCAAATAATGCGCTGGCGACATGCGCCACATCTCCACTGCGTAGGCCAGCACGCCGAGCCGGCACCCGCGATTGTACAGCGGCAGGCGGAGATCGTCCAGCGCAGCCAACACACCGCAGACCGGCGCGCTACGGACGCGTTCGCGCTGTTCCGCCTGCGCCACCTCGAGCGCGCGCACCGCACCCCTCTCCACCTCCTCTGCACAGAGCACGTCCTCCACGCCGGCGGTGCGGCTTGTGGACGCACTTGCCGCCGCGTCAGGCCGCAGCAGTGCCTGCAGGGAGGCGGCGAGGTCGTAGGTGCTCGTCGATTGCACCTTTGCCGATTCCTCCGCTGCCTTGGCCACTCCAGCCGCCAACGCCGCTTCCTCCGTGGCGGAGGCCGACAGCAGCGTCTGCACGCTCGCGCGCAGCCGAGATAGAGTTTCCTGCACACCCTGAAAGAGTTCCTGCTCCGCGGTGCTCTGCTCGACCACGGTGGCCCACTCATCTTTCCATGTCTGCACCTCACTGGTGCGACTGCTGCGCTGCGCCTCCATCGCTGTTGTCGACTCCGTCAGGGTATCTTGCATCTGCGACCGCAGGTGCACCACACGCAGCTGAATTGGGTCGTCGTCGGGCAGTTGAGTGGCCGCATCGCCGCCGCTCAGTTCCACGGCGCGGTCGCGTAGGATCTGCGCGCACTCCGCCTCAATTGCGTCCCGCGCTCGCTCCAGTTGTTGGGTGGCCTCGGCGCAGCGGTCGGCGAGGGCGGCGCTGTACTGTGCACAGAGCGTGTCGTGGCGGTGGATGGCGGCCTTCATGGCGTTGGAGGAACTGACCACACGCACCGTCTCCAGCAGCGTCCCGCGCTCCTCCGAAAGGGCGCGGTCGGAGGCGCTGCGTGCGGGTTGGGAAAGGAAGGCCTGCTGCAGCGTGTGCACGCGCGATACCCGCTCCGCAATACGCGCCAGCAACTTCTCGCCTTTGTTCTTGAGGTCTGCCAACTCGCGCACGCGGGCCTCGTAGATGTCGGCCTGCAGCGTGGCAGGGCGGCGCCGGTGGTGGCGAAGGACGTCCGTCACGCGGCGCTGCACATCCGCGAGCAGCGCCGCCGTGTACAGCCGCCAGTTCTCCCCTGCCTGTCGCTGCAGCTGAAGACTCCACTCTAGCAGCACCTGCCGAAGAAGTTTGTTCCAGCCCTGCACCTCCGTCTGCGTGAGAAACAGAGGCCCTTGGCCAGGCTGCAGCTCCGGCAGCAGACCCATGTAGAACTCCTGAAACGGCGCCCCGGGCTGTGGATCAGGCACCGTGGCCACCGCCTCTCCTGCGTCCTGCCCTTCACTCTTCTCGTCTTGTGTGGGCAAATCCGCTTCATTGGCGTCCCCACCTTGGCCACGCTGCACCATGCAGGCGAAGCGGAAGTGGGGGGTCTCCACAATAAATTCTTCGCCGCCGCCGGCCGACATCCGTGGCTGCGTGTCCTTCTCTTCCACCGCCGCCGACGCACTCCCACGACGCGGTGCGGTGGCAGCGGCGGCGCCGGTGAGGAAGCTGTTGCGGGTGCTCATGCGACGCAGGGAGTCCGCGAGACCGCGCTGTTTTGCTGGGGCGTGTGCGGCCATTGCAGGGACGCTCTCCTCCTCCTCTTCCTCCTCCCTCTCCACCGCCGCTTCCTCTTCTTCTGCTAGGAGAGGAGCCAGAGCAAGCCCCAGCTGTGCGCTGAACTCCCGCACACAGCCTTGGCCAACCTGCAGCACGGCGGATGTCGCCGTCGCGATGCGGTCTCGCACATCTTCGTAGTAGCGCGTGTGTGCGTCTGCGATGGACTGCAGAGCGGCGATGCCGGCTGCATATCGGGCCGCCGCCGCTGCGGGCGTCTCATCCTGCCGCAGCTGCTCCTCTAAGGTATGCAGCTGCTGCTCCAGCGCTGCGATGGAGTCCTGGTAGTCCATTTCGTTTTCATGCCACTGCACGTAGGAGGCGCGTATGGCACCAAGCAGTGTGGTGGCCGAGGTGCAGACGAGGTCGGTGGCACCTTCTAGGTGCACCAGCATGCTGCTGTTTGAGGTCGTTGTGTAGGCAAAGAAGAGCTGGCAGCCGTTCAGTAGCCCACGCGAGACCACCCGCGCAAACCAATGCCCTTCGTGGACAATAGCGGGCACACACTGCGACCACGTCGGGGTGTCTGACGTCGTCTCCTTTATGCGGAGCACATCGGAATGCGGCTGCGTAAGGGAACGCAGGGGGGCATCAACAGCCGCTACGCCGTCCGCATCGCTGCCGTCAGCGGCGACGCCCTCCTGCGCAAACGATGCTCTACGCAGCAACGCGATCTCCTCGTTGAGCGGCGCGGCGATGACGGCGATGTCATCGCAGGCATGAGCGGCCAACGTGGCGGCCGCCTGTGCCCGTGCGTCCTCCTCGGCGCGCAGACGCACGTTGAAGTCGTCGCAGCGGGCACGGCAGTGGCGCAAGAGGACGCTCGCCCGCATCCGCGCCTCCTCCAACACCGCGCGGGGGTCCTCACCGGCAAAGACGTCCGGCTGATGCACGCTGGACTGGAAGCTGCGTAACCAGCCGTTGGGGCCGCTGCCGCCGCACACCTGCGAATCCGCCGTAACGGTGCTCGGCTGGGCGACACGGAGCGAGGTGACGACGTCGGTCAGACCGCGTACGAGCTCCTCCGCCTCTTTGCGGATGGAGGCGATGAGTTGCCCGGCGGCGTGCACCGACTGCATCCTCCCCTCCGGTCGACGGAACACCTTGGAGCGCAGCACCGTCACGGTCCACGTGATGTGTCGCTTCGCCATGTGCTGCTGCGTGCCGCGATACACGACGGCGAGGGCGTTCTGATATTGTTGGTGCTTCAATAACTCACGTTGGCGCAGCTGAGTGGCGAGCGTCTGCTTGGCGAGATGGTTTTGTCCAAGCTGCTCGTTTGTGTGGTGCAGGATGCGCTGCGCCAGCACCTGCGACTCTGTCGTGCTCGTCACCGCAATTCTCGTGAGGCTCGCCATGAGGTCCCGCACCGCGTTCTGGATGTGTGCCCGCCGCGCATCCTCGGCGTCCTCCATCGCACGAAAGAACTCCTCGATGGCGGCCATGCGCGCTTCATAATGGTCGTGTAAGTTGACGAAGTGAAGCACAATGCGCAGCCGGTCGTGCTTCATGAGGTGCAGCGCCTTCGCTCGCCCGTGCTCGTCCGGTGTGGGGTGGTAGAGATCGGTGTACAGGGGCAGGATGTCGTCCGGAGCGGCGCGCTGTACTGCATCTTCATGTACTTGCCATTCGCTGACGCACTCCGCGAGTTGCCGCTCCTCCGCCGCAAGCAGCGCCGCGGTTGCCCTGTGGCTCTCCGCTATCGTCCTGTGCAGCGCCTCAATTCGCTCTTGCTGAGCTCCATCAACTTCGTGGTTGTATTGCCGCGCTGCAGCCTTAAACTTCTCGATGGCCTCATGATGGTGGACCAGCAGTCGATCGTGCAGGGCACCTCCCTTGTGTCGGTGCGTCTCCTCATTATCGCCTGAAGCGGCCGCCGAGGGGAGATCCACGGCGTTGGACAGCTGCGTGAGGGGAGAGGCAGCGGCACCCACCAGTGACACCGCTGTCTCCATCGTAAAGAGCAGGTAAATACAAATCTAGAGAAAAAAAATGAGAAGAATCAAAAAAACAGGTCCGCCACAATTCTCTGGTGAGTCCAAACATCGTTGAGGGCGTTGAGAAGAAAATGGGAGGGACAAGAAGCAGGAGTGAAGGGGGAGGCGAAAAGGCCACTAGGTACAACAACGGAAACGTGCTGCACGACATACACAGACGCACACAACGTCCAGTGTTCCACACACGCCAACCGCGCATCCGAGCATTCAGACGGCGTTAAGTTAAAGAGACCCCCAACGAGCGGCAGATTCTCCTCACATCGATTCGTTGCTGCGCTACGCTCGTCGCAACAACGCAAAGCGCGACGACGAAAACAAATCCACAGCTTGGTATAAGTCACTCGTATTCGCTGGTGACTTTTAACTTCGCGCACACCCCTCGCGGTTCGCAAGTCCAGAGAAGAGCAACGGACTTAATCGGCTTAATTGAGAAGAAAAGACAAGGCGTAAATGGTCCGCCTGACGAGGAGCTTTCTGCAGCACTTACGTCGCGGTGCCACGCCGCGCAAAAGCGTCCGCCATGCATTGCTGTATTTCGCTCAGCGACGCTTTCCGCTTCTTGCGCTCGCCGTTGCAAGATGTGTCTTGGTCCAAGTGCTCGGCAACGTGAAGCACGACTTCTCGCACCACAGCCGACACCTCCGCAGGGGACATCGCTGCTACTGCGGCGTCGGCACGAGCCTCCTTGTCGTTTTCACTACGTCTGTGTGCTGCATCGGCGGTCACCGCTGCGAAGAACGAGTTGACCAACTCCCCAACGAACTCGGTGGCGACTCCGCCTTCTGTGCCGTCCTTCTCCAAGCTTCCAAACCGCGACTGGGCGTGTGCAAGGAACTGCTGCAGCCGCAGTTTCATAAAGGCTGCCGAGGCGTCAATCGCCGGTGGGCGTAGGTGTACGTGCACGTCCAGCCGCCCCGGCCGGCACACCGCCGGATCGAGCGCGCTGAGAGACGGCGCCGAGGCAACGACGACAACGACGCGATCGGCCTGGCCGCTGACGCCGTCCATCTGCGTGAGCAGTGTACTCAGCGTGCGATCACCGGTGGTGTTCGTCTCCGCGGTGGTGCGTCCACGCGGAGGAGCCAACGCGTCAAGGTTGTCGATGAAGAGCGCCGTCGGGGCCAGCGCCCGGGCAGCTTCGAAGAGCTGCGCAATGTTCTTCTCCGACCGGCCCACCTCCTTTTCAATCAGCGCGAGGCCATCGACCGAAGCGACGTGGATGCTGCGCGTCTCGGGCAGCTGCAGCCGCCGTGCGAGGCTGGAGAGGAGCGCCGTCTTGCCGGACCCGCTCGCGCCGCAGACGAGCACGCCTTTGGGGCACGGGATGGAGAGTGCACGCAGCAGTGACAGGTGGGTCAGCGGCCACACGACCAACTCCTCCACTTTGCGGATGTCGTCGTCTATGCCGTAGAGGTGGCTGTACACAGCGTGTAAAGGCTCTCTTCTCGGTGTGTCAGCATCATCTTTGTGCCAAGACGCTAGTGTGGGTGGTGCCTCCTGCGTGCTTGGTGGAGGGGGAGGGGAAGTGGCGGCGACGTGCGAGGCGCACAGCTTTAGGATCTCCGCGTCCCGCAGCTGCACGAGGCGGTCGACGGTCCAGTGCGCCGTCTCCTCCGTTAAGGCCGCTACGACGGCGTTTGTGATGGGCACAACAGGAGAAGCACTGGGAGAAGAAGTTGCAGCGTTGACATCCGCATGTTGATGGAGGACTTCCACACGTTTCTGCCAGTACGTGGCACGATCCTCGGCGGCAGTGGCGGAGAGCCGCACGTGTTGCGCCCCCACGCGTGACAGCAGGGCCGCTGGGATGGCACTCACATCCTCCGCAAAGGACCACACGAGGGCGGGCACGGGACCCTCGCGCAACGCCTCCAGACACAGACAGAGCTGATGGGTGACACCGGCTACGAGGGAGTTTGCGTGCGCTTCTAACAACTGCAGACTTTCCAAGGTGATGAGCAGGCAGGGGAGGAAGGACCTTATGGATGCGCTTGATGAAGCGGAGTGGAGAGGCGGGGGCCGCAGGGCGACCTCGATCGTCTCCAAAGCCTCGTGCTCGTTCAGCGTCAGGACCTCGGCAAAGTTAAGCCTTCGGACCTCCAGCGACACCGCAGCGACGTGTGCTTGGCCCAATGGAAGGAAGGAGGGTGTGCTCCACTGCAAAAGGTCGATGAGGTGCTTCTGGCTTGGTGTGTCGCAAGTGAAGAGAAGAGAGCCGGTGGCGACGGAGGACGAAGCTGGAGAAGAGGCGGCGGTGTGTAGGACTCGCCGCAAATGGTTCACAGTGGAGGTGTATACTCGTGTCAGCACGCGGTGCAGCAGCGGGTAGGCGAGATGCTGTTGAGCTCGTCGGTGCAGACGCTCGAAGAGTCGAGTAGCAGACGTGGAGCGACTCCAAAGGTCTGTCGGGAGGATCCGGTGGGTCAGCCGAATTCTGCCATCCCGAGCCAGCTGAGGCACGTCGAGCTTTAACAGCTCCTCAAACGTCGCCACGCTGCTACCACGTCCGACAGAAGTGCAGACAGGTAGGTGCAACACCTCCGCACTGATTGGACTCCACACCTTCACAAACGGCTGCGCATCACCGTCTTCCAGGGGACTCCACTCCGCCGTCGTCCAAACACTGCGACCAAGGCGGGAGAGGCCCACTGTGCGAATCAAGCGTGCATTATCGACTTCGCCGTACACAACACAGGCCCACGGCATCGCATCGTCTGTCACCGCAGCAAGGAAGGATCGATGGGGGTCAATGGGATACTTGGTAAGCTCCTCGAGCGAAGGCCACCAGAAGACAGGCGCTTCCAACACCACGGCATCGGTGTAGCCCGCCATATCGGCCGACCTATGAAAGAAGAAAAGAGCAGAAAAAAGAAGCCCTTTGTGCCCGCTGCTCAAAGCTCAAAGGCAGCCACCAAACGAGTCGTAGTTCGTGAGCGGCAGCGTGCAATACACCGCATGCCCGTGAAAGGTATATGAAGCAGCGAGATTGAATAGTAAAAGCACAGAAAGGGATGGGTGCAACAGACCATGAAGAGAAAAACCCATAAGGCGAGACCAACGTGCATTTAACGGTGCAGCGAGTCGAAGCGCATATGCGCAGAGGCCTCATGCGCTTCAAGAAAAAGATGACCGGCAACAGAGAGGGAGAGAGAGGGAGCACGCTTTCCGCTCTCCGACTGCCTTCCGCTTGCATCTCGGCGTCAGCTGAGAGAAGATGGACTCCGCCTCTTGTAGTGTAAGCAGTCTTCACAGGCGGCCACTTTAGCTTTTTCTTGTTATCTGTTCTATAACGATAATTGTAGCAAGTACATTGAATAACCCCCTCGAAACGGCGGTTTCCACCAACACCGACTGCCTTGAGTACATCCTCTTTTCTGCATAGAATACCGTAGTCGGACTTGATGCTGCTAACGCATGAGGGGGCGATTGACCAAACCACACAGCACCACTTCCCCGTACTTCTCTCATCGCGTCTCATGAAAGGATTATCTGCCGTCGTTGTCGATCGGTCTGGCAACGACCTGAAATACAGCCAAACGAAAAAGGAAAAGGGCGGAATCGAGCTGAGGCTTGTGAAGCACAAAACAGCTGGCCGAGCCAGAAAAGAAGCAGGGAAGACGAGAGTATGTGACGTGACTGCTCCGGCAAAAAACGGAATACGCTGGTGATGGTGAGGAGTGTCGACAGAGGAAAACTGTCTACATAACTTCACAGCAAGAGTTTCTGCAAAGGGTGAGGATGACAAGCGTTGAAAGAAGAAAGCTCTTCAAAAAGACCTCAGTGAAACAGGCTACGGACCCAGCCTCCTTGCTTCACGTCCACGGCGGCGGTCCCGACCACAATCGCGGTGGCGGCCACCATCACGCTCGTCCAAAACACAAAGCGCCGCACGCGCTCTACCTTGGCCGGGTTGCGCCACTCACGCGGCAGGAAGTGCCACAGCAGCCGCAGCGCCGCATTACGCGTCGCGGCGTTCGACAGCATGCCGAGTTTCTTGACGTCGCCGCGCAGAAAATCCTCCTCCTGCTCCGGCACCATCTGACAGTACAACTTGCTGAACTGCTCAGCTTGGCCGATCAGGTCCTCGAGGGCCGCCGTGTCCATCGACTGCAGCACGCTGCCAGGCAGACGGGAGAGCTGGGCATACACGCGGGCCATCAGCACAATGCCATCCTCCGTCGTCTCCGGTGCATCGGCGGGGACCCCGAATTCCTCCTTCGCTGCGTGAATCCACTCAAAGATGGTCCTGCGCTGACTCATGACGAAGGCGGCGGTGAAGTAGATCACTGCCCTTCCGGTGGGGTCTGCGATGAAGTAGTCGAAGAGTCGCGTCAAGACCGTCACGCTCTCCACGCTGTGCACGTACCACGTAATCACCCACGACACGGCGTAGTGTGACTCCGGGCCCACACCCGCCCACTCCAGCGCGGCCGCCAGCGGCGGGTCCTCCTGAGCCACAACGGCGTGAATGGCGTACAGCATTGCCTCGGAGTTGGTGAGCCGACGCGCACTGAACTTCTGCCATCGCGTGTTGAACAGGACCTCGCACACCGACACCACCTCCTCCGCGTCCAGGTAGGGGCTCAGCGTGTACATGACGAAGCCCACCAGCTCGTGCAGCCCTTGGTAGTAGAAACGGTCAGGGTTGTGCAGGAGAACGCGCAGAAGAATGTTTCGCAGACACCGCCGCCGCTCCGCACGCTCTTCGGGGTTAGTATGCAGCCTCCACAGGGAGCGCTCGATGTCCGCCTCCACGACGCGTGGCTGGCAGTTCTCGGGCAGGTGGTACCAGGCCATGGGCCGCAGAACGTTGCCGGGCAGCTCGTTGCTCGAGGAGCCGCTCCTGTCTTCCTCCCCGTCTCCCCAGAGATCTCTGCGCTGATTCACGTCGAACTTCACGCGACGCGAGAGCTGCGACACGGCGCGACGGCGCGCGGGTGTGTGCATCTTGGGCGAGCCGCGTCGCTCGTCCTCCGTGACGTCGTCCAGCAGCCCGGCGTGTGGCGGCTGCGCCGGCTCGAGGGAAGGGTGGCGGTGGCGGTGGAGGTGGTGGAGGGAGGCAGGCGAGGCGGGCGAGGCTGCCGGCGAGGTCCCTGCGCCGCTCTGTTGGGGCCGCAGTGTGACATCCCAGTCGGAGTCGCCGCCTTCGCTGCACGCCGGCTGCAGCGCGGCACTCGTGGTGGCGTCTCCGCCTTCGTGCGAGCGCACCAACTCGTCTTTGGACTTGGTCGGCTCGCCGCCTGCGCTTCTGCCGCCAGCGCCGCCGCTCTCGTCCGCCGTGCGCGGAGTTGGACGGCTCAGCGTCGAGTCAAAGGAGTCTTCCATGTTGGTGTTCTCTCTCGTGTGGGTCGCGGCGCTGGCGGTGGACTGCGAGCGCGTCTCCTGAAACTGTCGAATGATGCCGTCGCCCAGCAGCGGCACCGGCGTGGCCTTCTTTCGGCCAATGATGACGTCCCGCCAGACCATCGCCCGCAACTTGCCGGAGAGCACCCGACCGGTGCGGCACAGCAAGGCGCAGTAGCCCACATACTCCTCCTCGGTCTGCTGCAGGCGGTGCAGCTTCACTGTCTTGGCGAGGGCCTCATCTCCTGCGGCGTCCGAAGAGGCGCGGGCCGGGGCAGGTTCACTCGACATACCTCTCAAGGTGGACGAGGAAGCACCCTTTCAAAAATAGATAAATAATTAAGAAGTGCAGTGGCTCTTCGATTAGACAGCAGCAAACTACAACGGCCGTAAAGCACGTACCGCGGAGGCACACTGGAAAGAAGAAGCAGAATTTGGCCGCCGCGGCGCCGATTAACCGAGAGGACGGCGCTCTTCGAGGAAGGCGCAGTAAAGCCGACGTTGACGAGGACGACCGTCACACTCCCTAGCAGGTACACAAATCGCAATGGCCTCACCTTCTTATATATATACTGCTGTTCAGCTGTGGAATGCAGCGAAGCGATCATCCACTCGCCCAATTCGACGGTGTATTGAACACGACGAGGTATCCGTGCAGCGGTGTTTCGGGAAGGTGCAGTGAGAGAATGCGTGGCGCTGGCTGCACCACACGCTCCGTTGTCCAGAAAGGGAGAGCTTTTGTGAAAGCGATAAGGAAAATTGTGTTTTGTATTTCTTTCGTTTTGTTGTATTGGCAGGCTTCACAGTACTTCGCCCCTCGCATGCTTCTTTTCAAAGGACGGGGAGGCAGCGAAAGTGGGCAGAGGAGAAAACCAGAAGGAGACGAAGATGGCGTAGAAGGGCACAGAGATGATTCAACGTTGCTGACGGCGTTGAACGGCACCACCATCGTTGAAGAACAGGTATATAGAGCATCATTCAGACAGTGAAGTGCGCAGGACGTGTCTGGCACTCATTGCGTCTTATTCATTTCACGCATTGAATGGTATTGAGAGAAAACACTATACGCCTGCCAAATATCAAGAATCAAAAGAAAAAAAAAACAGAAGACATCTTAAGGGAAAAACACGGTGTAGCAAAGAAAAGCGGCTGAAAGCGCGAATGCTGCTGTGACGAGAGAACCGAGAAAGCAAAACACTCCAGCTAGACTTCTTCTCCTGCCGCCATGTGCTGCTGTCTGCGTCATCCTGGGCAGACGTGCGCATCACACACACACACTCACACACGCCGCCCTTTAAACTCCATTCACACGACCTGTTATAGCAACATCCGCCCGCACTTCATTTTTAAAGCACTTCATTCGTTGGCAGATTTCGCCTCCATCCCCGTCGGCGGTTGCGCGTCCACCTTCTTCTTCTTCACGTCTTCCCAGTTGGTGGACAGAACGGTGCCGCCGCTCTCGGTGAACGACTTAATCATTGCCCGCCGCTGCTCATCTGAGCCGTCGCCGTAGATCTGCTGGAACAGCTTATTGAGGGCCGCCTCGCCATCCGGCTTCGCCTCTTCCTCGTCCTCCAGCTTGATCGAGCTCCAGTCCTTTCCTTTGCTGTTCGGGTACTTCAGATCCTTCGCGGTGGTCGGCTGAGCGCTGACGGGGACGGAGGCTTCCATCGCTACCGCTGGAGCAGCCGCCACTCCACCGCTGCCTTGCCGCTCCAGCGTAGGCCACTGATAGGACTGCGCCTTCTTCACGCTGACTTCCACCTTCATCGGGCGGACCGACACGGTTGCGGCGTCGTCCCTCAGCTCTGCGAAGAGGGGGTCGTAGCTGCAGCTGTACTCGCGGCCGTTGTTGTCCAGGCGGATGGTGACCTCCAGCGTGGTGGCCGTTTTGTGCACCGCCACATCGTCCGTCTGGCGGTCCTTCACATAGAAGGTGAAGTTGAGCTGGTCCAAGGACTGGTACCACTCCATGCGGACCTGACCGGCGAAAGGGACGGTGGTGGCCGACATGCCTTGACGCTCGAGCGGAGAGAACAGGAGAAAAAGAATGGCGTTTGAGCGACACCACCAACAACAGGATAAACAGTACGAGTGTGAAGTCGAGGAAAGAGCGACTCCACCGCTGACCGTCGAACAGGGCGCCAAGGTTGCCCCGCAAACACAACAATTTCGTGTTTGGTGTTTACGTGTACACAGGCAATGAGGTGCGGTGCGCGCACAGACAGAAGCGCTTTCAAACACGCGTTGGGTATCCAGGAGAGCTTAAGTAACACCGGAATAAAAGAACTAGTAGGAGACCTTAAATAATAATAATAAAGCTCTTTACAGCTCTGGTGTGTGTGGCGAGAGAAGACGGAGAAGCTGCGATCGGTGTGATGCAAAGCACAGAAGCCCAGACGAAGAGCGAAGGGTGATGGGGAGAAAAAGAGAGGAAAAATTTGATGTTCACGTCATTGCAGAAAAGAGAAGAGATTTCGCCAACGAAAAGGTCTCCACTTTCAAACACACCAACATAACAAGAGCATATATGCATCTGAGAGATGGTGCAATAGTTTGGCTGTGGACGAACTTCGCTTCCTGCGTTGGCAGTCTCCCAGTCCGTACCCGCGGCTGTCGACAAGAACAGCGGGTACGCCGTGGCGCCGACGGGGTGCGCGTCTCCACCTCTCATGAAAACTCCTTTTTCTTTCTTTTAAAGATGATAACGAGAAATGATACGAATAAAAGCAAAAAAAAAGAAGAGAAAGTGAGGTTCTGCAGCGGCGGACTGACGCTACACGTGCGTGTGTTAGTTAGACTCGCCCGTTGCTGCACCATTCGTTCTGCTTCGCCGCGGTCGTTTAGTTCTTGGCGAACTTCTTGCCCATCTTGTCGGCGGACGTCTTCGAGACCACCTCCAGCACGTTGTAGCGCACCGTCTTGCTCAGCGGGCGGCACTGACCGATGACGACCTGGTCACCCTGCTTGGGGTCAAACGCCGGGCTGCAGTGCACCGCGAGCGACTTGTGGCGCTTCTGGTAACGCTGGTACTTCTTGATGAAGTGCAGGTAGTTGCGGCGGATGACGATGGTGCGGTGCATCTTGGTGGAGTGGACGATGCCGCGCAGGATGCGGCCACGGATGACGACGTTGCTCGTGAAGGGGCACTTGCGGTCGATGTACTTGCCGTTGAGGGCCGTCGCGGGGGTCTTGAAGCCGAGGCCGACCTTCTTGGAGTACCGGATGTGGCCGGACGAGTTCACGTGCTTGCGGCTCGGGCGGTGCATGTTCTCATTCACGGCCGTCTGGCGCTGGTACGCCTTCTGGTGCTGAATGGTGGCATCCACCTGATGCGCGTGGTAGTACTGCGGAACAGCGGACATTGCTCTACACAAAACGAAAAAGGAACCTTTCGATTTAAGGCGTGCGCGGGTGAGACACAGGAAGGCAGAAAGAGGGAGAAAGATGAAGTTCAAAGGGCAGAGACATGATGAAACACGCAAAACAGTCAAGCAACGACGTGGGCACCGCGCAGACGAGCCGAAGTCACAGCAAAGAAGACGCAGCGCGGAAGAAGGCAAATCAACCAGCGGCAGCCTCGCGCACGTGCGTATCCGAAACATCCTGCATCTCAGTGAATCGTTCACTTCTTCTTTTGCATACATAAGCGATACTTCCTTGTTGTTGCTGTCGAAGGGGTTATGAAACGAAAGGAAAGCATCAGCGTGAAAAGAAAAGTTGCGGGGAGTGAAGTACGCGTCAAGGCGCCGACACCGAAAGTGTCCCGATTCGTTGGCAGCTTGCCCTGAAGCAAGAAAGAGAGAAATACAGCGGCATCAACAGCAAGGATGTTATAAATCACACGAGGAGAGTAAAAAGAGGCGCTGCACCGACGAACACGGCCGCTTTTAAGCAAGTTCAGTCTTTAACCGGTAAGAGGCATCCCCCCTCCCTCCACGTTCTCTCAAGCGGTCTACTTCTAAAAGCGGGGGAGAAAACAAACACCTGCTCGACACTTTCACAGATATACACGGCCCAGTACAGCTTGCGCTGCGTCTATTGGTATGAGGGAGAGTTGCCACGGCTCGCACTCGGCACGATGCGCCGGCGGGGCATGTTGATGGGCGGCTGCGGAGCGTCGTTGGTAGGCAGCGGCGCTCCTGCGGAGTTCTCCGCTGCCGCGTTGTACGACATCGGGCCCTGCGGCGGCATCATCCCATACGGAGGTGCTCCTCCGCCCATCTCATTCATCATGGGCATCATCCCCGCCCCGAACATCTGCGGCGGGGGGAGGTGAGGGTCTCCACCCGGCATGCCACCCCCGGGCACTGGCAGCATCGGAGGTGCCATTCCCGGGTACACCCCATACGGGTACGGGTAGGGATAGGGGTAGGGATAGGGGTACGCCATCTGATTGGTTCCCGCTCCCGGCATCATGGGGTAAGGGTACGGGGGAATCGTGGTGGCAGGCGCGCCCGGCACCCCACCGCCGACGTGGAAGTCCGCGGAGTTCATCATGTGAATTCGGGCGTGAACCTTCCGCGCCTCCTCGATGAGCATGCGGGACTGCTCTTGTTCTGTGCGGCGGGCACGCAGCCACGCCTTGTACTCCTCGATCTCCTGCGACGTCATGATGCCGTACTTGGGCAGGCTGTTGTTCAGATAAATGGCGAGCGCGACAACGTAGGTGAAGTAGCCTGTCCCGACAAAAACCCAAAGATTGACGGTGCTGATAAAAGGGAGGTAGGCGTTGCCGTGGATGCCGCAGTGCCGCAGGTAATCGCGCAGCAGGTGCTTTGGTGGGTCGATGGCGGCGGCAATCTGAGCTACGTAGGCGAGTAACACGAGCTCCGTGGCAGAGATGATGTCCTTCCAGAAGTAGAAGTTGCGGTACTTGATCACGAAAAGGTTTATCTCGACCAGCATTCGATTCACGCCACCTACAAAAAAAGTGACGGCGCAAATGAAAATGGCGAGTCGCATTTGAATTGCCTGGTCCACAAAGACGTCGTTGATCGAGCTTGCGGTGAAGGTCATGTTCACGTCCGTGAAGGCGTAGATGGAGCGGATGGTGTGATAGGAGCAGTTTCGAGTCTTGTACGTGAGGGCAGGGGCCAGCGCGAAGCCGTTCTCGACGATGATGTAGTTTTTGAAGGTGCGTTTGGCGCCAATCATGGTGGTCACCGTGTGAATGAGAAAGACGGTGAGCTGGACGATCGAACACAGGTCATAAAAGAGGACGATGTGCTTCTCGATCTTTAAGCGCCCCTTCTTGGGTCGCTGCTGGAGGTCACTGACGAGCTGCATGACCTGAGAAAGTGGGGGAGGCAACTGCGGCTTTCGTGTCTCCGAGAAAAGAAAAATACGAAAAAGGGTGTAAAAGACGTCTACGAAATTTGAAGTTAGGGCTCCAATCATGTGACCGTGAACGTATAACGCGCACGCACACACACGTCTAGAAGGAATTCGCGAGTGCGCCTGCGCTGTCACGGCCGCGCGTTACTTCTTCGTCGTCTTCGCGACGTTGGTTGTCGTTTTACAGCAAGGCAGCGAATAGGTGTGTTCTACCACCTCTTCATGCCCATGCGTGTACCTCTGACTGTGAGAGGGCTGCGAGGAAGATCAAAAAAAGATGGTTACAAGAGGACAAAACAAGAAGGAAGAGATTTCTCGTACCAGCTTGCAAGAGAGAAGAAAAACAAAAAACGAACGTTGATGTTTTCAAGGGCACCACGCAGACGCCTTAGAAATAATCCGCTCTGGTCCCATGACATCAATATTGAGGCGGGCCCTGGAAAGCCTGACGTGCAGCGACGCTTTCTTCGCTCATGCCTCGAACGAAACGTGGTTGATGAGTTGTGATGCAGCCGTCACAAGTAACACCCTCTTGTATCAGAAAGACGGCCATCAACGAAAGAAAGAAATTGCGGCTGCATGTGATACAGATTCAGTCGGCATAATTCACTTTATTCCTTTTGTTTGTTTTAACGTTCTTTAGTTAAGCGTTCATCAGTTGACAAGAAAGATAGGGAGAGCGTCAGAGACAGCTTCATCGCAGTCATGCATTCGTTTTTTTAGAGTATATATGAAGCCCACACCAGCAACACCAAATACAAAACGAACATTAAGATTAAATCGACAGCCAGAGTTCACTTTGCGGGGGAAGTGAAGTGCGACAACGCGCATGTGTGACGGCGCTAATCGCGGAAGACGAGGTCGAGCGGATCGGCGCTCGGAGCAGGGTGGAGCGCCCTGTGCTTGTCAGACTTCTCTTTAATGACCTCGTTCGCCTCCTGCTTCTCCAAACGGCGCATTTTGCGGTCGCGGCGCTGCTCGGTCGGCGGCTTAGCTGTACTGCTCTTCCACAGCACACTCCCTTTACAGCAGCCGTTGAAGATGGCCACCGGCTCCAAGGTGAAACGCGGGCCGATCTCCATCAGCGACGGCGGGCTCGTCGGCACAATTTGGTAGTTTCGCACCCAGATGTGGTTGTCCAGCCAGAGAAAGGACACGATACGGTCGACAAAGGGCTTCGACTTGGGATGGTAGCGAGGCGTATTGAAGGCCATGTGCAGCAGCGACTTCGCCACGCGCAGGTGCGGCTGCAGCTCAAAGTCGCGGTCAAAATGAAGAAGAGGGCGGCTGTACTTGAGGCAATTGCCGGCCATGCGGATCTCGTCGGCGGTGTGCACGTTGTTTACCTGCAGCTTGATACTAGGGCCACTGGGAGCCTGTCCAATCCACATGTAGCTCACATCATTGCGGTGCGGCTCCATAAAGAGGACGCTGTTGCACTGGTGCAGGCTGCACAGCTCAATGAGGTCATCGCCCAACGTGTTGGAGCGGCCCATCTTCGCGTGCTCCCGCGAGTGCGGCATCAGCCCCCGCAGGTCCAGCAGCAGGTGGCGGTCCTTGCTGCTCATGTTGCGCGCACCTAGCACAAGCATCTTCTGCCGGTTCGTCATCTTCTTTGCGGTTTGCGCACGCACCACCCCGATGCTGCCCACCATCTCCTCCTCGCGGTTCTCCAGCACCTGCGCAGCGTCCTCGACGTCCGCGGCTTCTTCGGCTACAGGCTGCGGTGCCTCTGCGACGACCGCCTTCGTCTTGGCGCGGGCCTCTGCGGACTTCGCAGAACGAGAACGCTTCTTTCCTTTACCGCCTTTGAACGCCATTTTGGTCTTACGCAAACCGGGTGATGTACTTCGAAATAAGCTAAAGCTTGCACGACACACAGAAGAATACTAACGTGATTACAGTGCAACACGGAAGATGGTGCGTTACGGTGTTTAGAGAAAAGAAAGAGAGGGAGAAAACGTCCGAGAGTGGAGAGATGTGAAAAGAAAAATGGAAAGAAAAGAAAACGCAGATGTTGGACCCGAAAAAAGCGTCGTGGTTGCATCACGGCAGAGCTGCTCCGCCTGTCAGTGAGACAGCAGCCTTGGGGCTTTCCCTTGTTCGCCGTCTCATCATGGTGGCCCTTGTTGTAAAAGAAGAGAGGGAGACGTGTAGCGGAGAGTCTAGTGTGAAACAGCAAACAATACCAACAAAGAGAATCGTATAAAAATTGAAGACGCGCCGCTTTCCGTCCCCCCTCCCTGCGATGCCTCGCCCGCTTCTCACACCTTTTCAAAGGGGAGATTAAGTCCGTAAAAGACCGTGGACAGGCCGGTAAGGCAGCGCAGCTTGCATGCCCGCCGCGCTACCGCCAGCGACTCCCCCACCGTCGTCCGCGTTGAAGGAGCCGTCGCGGCGAAATTCAGCAGGCGGCAGGTGAGGCGGTCCACATCACCGTCCGTGACGTCCCACAGGCACCCCACCACGCACGAACAGCCGGCGCTGAGGTACGCGTAGGGGAGGCCGAAGTTGTCGTACTCAGCGTTGCCGAGCATACGGGCCGAGCTGCACCCCATCAACAGGACGAGAGACGATTGCGTGCACAGAGAACATGGAAGCCACTCGTACAGGGCGTCGCGTGAGATCAGCTGCTCCCCACCTCTGTGCCCGGCGTACACGTACGTGTCGAGGTGATCGGTGTCTGTCGGGGGGCCCACGACCCGGCGCAGCAGCGTGGATGCAGACGACGATGGCTGCCCTCGCGTGCGTTGTGCAGCAGCCGCGGAGCAAAGCGTGTCCCCGTAGTTCACCTCCCATGTTGGGCGTCGTGCGATGAGATCGGTCAATCCCGAGTTGCTCAGGTAGGCTTCGCAGTCACGGTAGAGGAGAGTGCGTCTGAGGGATACGGCGTCGCCACGGAGGGACTGGTAGGCACACCGTAGATAGTCGAGAGAGGGCACCCGCGACGTGCTCCGATCACGGCACACATCCAGCCCTTCCCACGGCAGCCCATGCAGCTCTCCGCCCAAGATAAGATACGTGTGCTCGCGTGGATGCAGCAGGAGGTCGAGGTGATGGCGCGGCGACGTCTCTGCGGAGTCCACCGTGTGCAGCACACATTCGTCGTAGTACGCGCTGAGGGCAGCGCTGGCCAACGCCTCCACCAAGGCGTTAAGAGAAGTGTCCACGAGAAGACTCACCCACGCGTCATCATCGTCGTCGCCCGCCTCGCTGCAGTCGGGGATGAGAGGCGCAGGTTGGCGCTCGTCGTACGTCACCATACTCTGTCCAGTTTCTATTATTGCTTCTAACAGGGAGGTGCGCGCCTTGCGCAATGTGGCCGCACACGCAGAGCACATGTGATGCTCAGGTGGGCCATAGAAGCACGAAGGCTGCGCGTCGTTGTCGTCGCGTGCGGTAGACCAGAGGAAAGGTCCGCCCAACAACACGAAGAGTGTCGCTCGATAAAGGGCGTCAAGCGAAGGACAAGACTGACTGCCTCGCAGTTGAACACACTGAGAGGCGAAGTTCATGGCAAGGGTGGCTAGGCGAGAGGTGAGCTCGTCGCCGGGTCGGCCGGCCAGCAACACGCGGAGACCGCCGAGTATCTTCTGCAGTGACAGGACGGCGGTATGGATTCGGGCGTCCAGCGCATACCTGGCTTGCCACCACTCCGTCTTACGTTGATGACGTACCTGCGCAGCAGCCTCTGCCACAAACGAGTAGGCGGCGGCCGTTGCAGCAGGCGGAGTGTCCGACCGACTGCTCGTCGTCTTCGCATTTTCTGTCCCCTCTGTCGACAAGGAGAACGATGAATCCTGCGTCCTTCCTCGGCTCTCTACCCAGGGGGCGTTCTCCCCCGCCGCCTCCGCCCCACCGCTGCCGCGCAGGAGTTGCTCACGATTGTGACGCAGTACGTCTGCCATCGCCGCCGCACAGGCGCGTAGTTCGTCGGCGACACCACGATGACCCGTCGTGTGACACGGCGCAAATCCACACGCTTCAAAGCCCAGATGCGAAGACCTACGCGCGTGTGTGCCCAATTGGCACCACTGCAGCCGCAGAGTGCCGCCATGGTCCGGGTTGAACTGTGCTTCAACGACGGTGCCACGTAGATCAAAGCGGCTGTCTGCTTGCGTTGTGGCTGGACTATCTGTCTCTCGTAGCAGAGGCGGTGAGTGCGTCGCGGCGCAATGCAGCTGAAACTCCCGTCGGGCTCGCCATGCCGCTCCCGTCACGTACGTTGAGAGCCCGGTGAGATTTGTGGAAGGAAGCTTTTCCGCATTAAAGTTCGGCAAGGCGGCGGCGTCGAGGTGCTCCCTCACACGACGCCACGCCAGCACAGACTGCTCGTACGCGGACGACGGCACTGCGTGCTCAACAGGAGTCAGGCAATATGAGGACAGTGCGCGTGCGAAGCGCTGGAACAGGGACAGAACCACACGAAGCAGAGAAGGACAGAGGTAGCGTGGGAGCAGGCGACACAGCAGTGCGAGGTAAAAGCGGGCCAGCGGCGGGTCGCCGATATCCAGAAAGTGAGTGGCGAGCTGTGCGAGACTACGCAGAACAAAGTAGGCGGCGTAGGGGTCCGTCAACACTTGCGTACTCCACGCCGCCGGACAGCGCAGCAGGGCATCACACACAAGCCGAAGTTGATTCACACACGTGCTGTTGCTGCCAACCAAAATGGTGAGGGCCTGTGATGCGGTTACCGGCCACTCTGGAGAGGACGACGACTGCTGCTCCATCCATTCGGAATAAAGATAACCGCCGAAGCTATCCCTCGTCTTCACTTCGTGCTGCGCTTCATCAGTTCTAATTAACAGCACTGCTGCACGCTTCTCCACCGCTAGATCAGCTTCACAGTTGAGTTGGCGCAGCCGCTGCAGCCACGCCTCGCCATGATCGTCCAGCCCATCAAAGGCCCACTCCAGCAAGGTCATCGCCACGTCCACCAGACCCCATCGCAAACACACCGCCACTCCGGGCCGCACGTAGGTCGCGTACGTTTGCGCAGACATGAACGGCGTGATGCGCAGGCACATCGCGTCCGCGTGTCGCTGCAGCGCCGCCAGCTGCAAAAGCGGTGAGAAGACTCGTGCGCCGGCCTCCAAAGAAAATGCCTCTGCAGAGGCATCGCCATGAAGGCAGCGCACCTCGTCCACCAACCCACTCAGCGAGTTCTCGAATGAGTCACCCAGGTGAAAGGCTTGCGAAAAAGTGCCGGAAAGCAGCGGCGGCTCATGCGCGAAGACACGCGCCAGCACAACTGCGACGACGTGGGACCAACGTTCTTTAAGAAGAGCTTGGCTCTTGTGCAGGCTCATGCACACGTGTTGGAGGACCCGCGTGTGCAGTCGAGCCCAACACTCATCGAGTGTGGCGCTGGCAGGAAAGTTAGCGGCGGTAGCCGGCGGAGTCAAGGAAGGCGTCGCCGACGTCAGAAAGCCTTCTAACCAATCAACCGTGCGCAGCAGAGGGGCTGCCGTGCCAGAGCGCAGCGCACGCCGCAGCACGGTGTTCATCCACGTTGTAAGGGCCATCACACGAACGCCTGCGTTTGCGTCAGACGAGGCCCACCCGTGCACGCAGCACCACACTGTTTCAGACGCGCTTTGAAAGCTGCCGTCCTCACCGTCTCGTTCGCCCGCGTCTGCGTCATCGTCTGCAGCGATGACATGAAAATAAGCAAGGAGAGCCATGAGGACCGACAGCGCGGTGCGGTAAACATCTGCGTTTCCTTTTGTGACCGAAAAGGTGGAAAGAGAGCAACAAGAGAAGGAGTTTGCCCCACTGAAGTCTCGCAAAGAGTCCAGTTCAGTGGCAACGCGTTCCACGTCTCTTTGCGACATCCTCAACGCGGAGTGAGCACTGCACCACTCCGACGATGACGACGACGACGATGAGGGCTTCGACGCACTCGCTGGCTGCGGTAGCGAGACCACTGGGCACATCTTCCAACACACTAGAAAGAGCTGTAGAAGGCACGACAGTGGTAGTGCCCGTGCGCCGTCCGTGTTTGTCATTCGTGCGTTCAGTTGCACCCGAAGAGTAGCGCAAAGCAGCTTGGGGATGTCCCACGACGAAGTAAAGCGTTTGTAATGGAGGGCAGCGAGCTGCTCTGCTGAGCTCACCACCATGTCCACCTCTGCTGCTGTGTGAAGAGCATTATGGGCACCGTGTTGTAGCGTCGCTAGATGCGTGCGGTACGAAGTTGTCATGTTCGGTCCTTGAGTTGCACCAACGCCTTCCTTGTGCTTCGAGGTCTGATATGGACTTAAAAAAGGAAATCAATGTAATAGACGCATCGGCAGGGGTGGCGTCCTCCAAACTTACGGAGAGCGACGCACACACCGATGTTCTCCTTGAAGAGCTGCAAAGGAAGAGAGAGGCCTTGTTCTTGTAAAACAGCAATAATAATAATAATACCGATTACCCCAAGACATCAAGAAGAGATTTGAAGAGGAGAACACGAGGGCGATTATGATGGGCGGTGGGAGAACGCCTTCGTTTCTTTACGTCTGATGCTTCAGTACACTTTTTGCGTCTGGAGGGACCTGTGCGCCGAAAAGCGTAAGTTGTGACGACGGTGCCATGATGCCGCTCAGACGGTTCCCAGCTGGCACCGTTGGCGCATTGAACAAAGAAAGAAAGAGAGCAGGAGCTCCACAGTTTGAGTCCCTGACGGATAGAGAAAAAAATAGTCGAACATTGAAAAATGGAGCACAGCAAGAACGACACACGCACACACAAGGAAAAGGGGCGTTAAAAGCGACGGTAGCAAATATCGGAGCAAAGAAACAACAACACCGGTTGAAGGCACGGAAACGCAAGAGAAGAAGTAATTGCAGCATGGAGAAACAAAAGGCTCGTAAAACGAAGCTGATCCTTCGTGTACCGTTGCAAGGAACCGAAACATGCGAAAAGGCCTGTCAGCGGAGAGAGGCAAAGCAGAAACAGTCTCTGGTGGCTCTCCACGCAGTTTTATGCCGGCGGAAGCACAGCTCAACAAGACATCGCCAAGCATGAAGTGTATAGCTCTCAACTGATTTCCCTGAAAGCGGGTGTGCACTGTGAAGGTTTACGAGCCCGTCGGTGATCGCGACCACGCACCGCTCGATGCCGTACACATTTGACGTGCTTTGCACTTCTCTACGCCAGGCTCTCCATGTTGTGCTTCACGACGAGCAGGACGTGCGTCTTCCAGTCGTCGAGCTTGCGAATATCCTGCAGAAGCGACACAGCCTGCTCAAACTTCTCGACGTCGTTGTCCGTGACGGCATCCAGAACCAGCTGCAGAAACTCCGACTCGCGCGTGTTCTTGAGGTAGATGTCCGCCGCCAGGTACTGCTGAAGGGCGTCGCGGCACTCCTCGCTGCCTTCGAAGCGGTTGTCGTTGGTAACCATCGCGAAGCGGCACAGCATCGCACGGAGGAAGTAATCCTGCGCCTGAAACTTCAGCGGACCGCCCAGCATGTTGTTTGCCACCCGCTCGTAGTACATGAGTGATTTGTCGAACGCATCGTTTTCGCCGTAAATTTTGGCCATCGCCAGCATGCACTTCTGTGACTGCGCCTTCTGATCCTCCGCGTCGAAGTACTTCATGGCCTGCTCATAATAGGGGAGGGCCTCCATAGGCGCGCCTTGCTCCTCGAGGGAGCCGGCGAACTCTAAGAGCAGGCGGGCCGCACCGCCAATGCGGTTGTTCTCGATCTGAAGGCGGACGGCCATGTCCAGCATGCTTTTCGCTTTGGCGGGGTCCACCTTCTTGTAGGCGTTGGCGGCGTCCGCAAAGGCCATGCCGGCGCTAGCGTTGTCCTTCATCCGCACGGAGCAATCGCCCGCACGCGCGTACGCGTCTCCGGCACGCATAAAGTCCTTGTCGAGCTTGTAGCGAGCCGCCGCCTTGAGGAAGAGATCTTGCGCGCCCTCAAAGTCTTTGAAGAACGTCTTCTTCGTCTTCTTGTCCGCCTCGCTGAACATCGCGTCTGCGGAGGACATTTTCGTGATTCGAAATGGAAGCGAGAGAGGTGGTGAAATGAACAGAAAACCCAACAGCAGTTGAGGAGTTGATGTGCTTGGAAGAAAGACACGGAGAGGGTATAAGCAGAACCGTTGATGTCAGACACAGAATTTCTTTGGCATCCTGTTTTGACGTGTGGGGCAGAGACAGCGATGTGAGGTGCCATCGTCGCATCGTTGCCGCCAAGCAGCAAAAAGAGCAGGCGAGTTGAAAGAAAACGGTCGGAGTAAGAGAGAACATGCAGCACGTGGTACCTGCATACTACCAACGACAATAGCTGCGGCCATGCCTTTAGTGACGCAAACGAGGTGGCGCGCGTGGACGAGAGCGGCTGCGCTGAGCCGAAAGCCAGATGAACAGAGAAGAACGTTTTCTCATTGCGAACCTTTCTCTACTCGGGCCAATGAAACGCGCCGCAACGGTCATGGGTGCGTCCGCCTTTCGGAAACAAAGTAATAAAGACGATGCCTCCACGGAGAACACCCAGCGGGTGCCTCGCACCGCCGCAACACCGGTTTGAACGCAATTTAAGTACGTTTCTTTTACAGCATGCGCTTCAAAGGCACTACGACACGTGTTAACATTAATCATTAAGAACACTCAGGAGAGGAAAGAACAAAGAGAATTGCGCCTTTTCTGTAGAGGTCGGCGCCAACGCATTTCTCTGCTGCGTATTTCGTTGATGGCGAAGCATGAAGTGGCTCAAGTAAGTAATTTCATGCATGTTGGCCCATTGGGCTCTGTAACGCATGATGAGATTACTGCTGCTGTTGCTGCTCCTGTGGGTAGTTGCGCTGTGGGTAGTAGGGCGGCTGAGCCTGCAGGCGACCACTCATGTAAGGCGCACCCTGACTCTGGTAGTAATGGGAGTACACGTTGTCGTACGGACTGAAGGACGCCCCATTGTAGCCACCGCGATAGTTGCCGTAAGAGGCCTGGTAGGTGGGGTGGTAGGGCTGCGCGCTGTGCTGCTGCTCGACGTTGAAGTGACGCTCCGCGTTGAAGTAGCGGGGCACGCTGCCGAGCTCGCCGCCGTAAGGACGCGCCGTGTTGTGCTGCGGCACGAAATAGTTGACTGGAGGGTTGTACACAGGCTGCGGCGCCGCCCGCTGCGTGTGCTCGCGGATCTCCGACGACGACGTGACCGCCGCGGCAGCGGCAATCTGCGCAGGCGACGTGGCGGGAGCCGGCTGAACGGCGACGGGCTGCGGAGCCGCAACGACCGGCGCGCGGGGCGCCACCGCACCGGCGAAGTGGAACTCGCTCGGCTGCACCAGCTTCGCCAGCGACTCCGGCACCGAGACGGGACCGAAAGAGGTGTAGGCGACGGCAGGGGCGGCCACCTCGACGGGTGTAGGGACGGAGGCGGGGGACTGCGCGTGCTCCTCAATCGACTGGGTCGGCGCTGCCTCTTCCTTCATTGCGGGTTCCACCGCTGCCGCCGCGGTCACAGCCGGCGCAGCAACAGCAGCGGGGGTCGGCACCTCCGTGGGCACCGCCACGGCTGTCTTGGGAACGACGACGGCCGTCTTCTTTTCCTTGAGCATCGATGCCCAGTTGCGCGAAGGAGCGGCGGACATTTTTACAAATTACTTTCCTTTAAAGAATATTAGCAAATTAGAGGTGGTAATGCGTGGCGCGGGAAGGAGCGAAGTGTTGGACCAGAAGCACGCGACTGAGGCACGACTTTGGCAGTATGGAAGGCAAACGGAAAGAGAGACAGAACACCAGATTATGGATGAGCGTATGAGAGTTAGGCTGCATTGTTGAATAGGACCTGTAGTAGCAGGCAATCGTTGTGCCCTTCACGCAGCCCGCATTAACAAACGAAATCACCTTCAAACACGCGAGTTGCAGTAAAGAGGCTTCGCGAAATCATCGTTTGCGTAGCGCGTCGTTGCCGTTACTTCCGCGAATACGATTGAATCTTCATGAAGGAAGAGGAAGAAGAGAGCTACATTAAAAATTGCTTGCTTTAAAATCAGTCACTGCAGCAGCTCTCAAACGAAAAGGGTAAAGCTGGAGTTATCCACTGCCCACTCCGTTGCCACTGCGTTTAATGTGGTTTTCTCCGCACGTTGTCCTCTCCCGTTACGACACGCAAAACTGCCCTTTTATTGTGCGAGCGACGCAGACGTGGCAGCGGCGGGAGTTGCCTCACGCTCCTCCTCCGCCTCAGCGCGGCGGTTCAGCACCGCCACCATCTCCACGTGGTGCGTGTGGGGGAAGAGGTCAACCGCGAAGCCTGCCGTCACGTCGAAGGGCGTGCCACGGTAGGCCTTGGTGCTAGGCTTAGTGAGACCAGGACAGTCGCGCTCCAGCGCCTTCTGCTCGCAGGAGATGTACACGACGCGGCGAATCGTCTCCGTCCCTCGAATCCACTTGAGCACCGTGCCGTTGACGCCTGCGCGGGGCGGGTCAAGGATGGCTACGATGTCCTTGCGATCCTCCGCCGACAGGGCATCGATGACGGACGGTAGGAGATGCTCGACGCGGCCGCAGCGAAACTGTGCGTTGGCGACACCGTTGCGCTCGGCATTGCGCTTCGCGTTTTCCACCGCCGCCTCCACCAGCTCAATTCCAATCACCTTCTTCACGTACTTGGCCAAAGTCAGGCCGATGGTGCCGGTGCCGCTGCACAGGTCCAGCAGCGTCGTGCCAGCGTTCAGCTCCGCCACCTCCGTCACCTTCTGCAGCATCACCTCCATGCCGGGCGTGTTGACCTGGAAGAAGGCAGTTGGACTCAGCTCGTACTGCAGACCGGCGAGCGTTTCTGTCAGCGTCAACGCACCGTAGAGGACGTCGCGCGGGGCGTCGAAAGGGAGGGAGCTGATGCCGGTGTGGGAGTGGCACTGCACACTCACCACGGCGGCCGTGGCTAGCCCCGTAGTGCTCATCAGCTTGGCGTGCACGGTCTCCGATGTGAGGATCTCCACCAGGCGATGACGCACCTGCGAGTAAATCTCCGGCGTCGCGGCCGCTGCGTCCATCTCGACGTCCACCATAACTTCGCCCTTCACGTTGTGTCGGACCTGCAGCTTGCGCCAGAAGCCACGGGCGTTGACCTTGTCGAAGACCTCCAAAGCACCCTTCGCAGGATCTTTGAATTCGCTGTAGACGTCCATCAGCGCCACCGCCACCACCTTCGCCGCTGCATTCATCGTGCTAATGTTCTTGTCCGGTAATGTGGCCGGCATGATGGCCGCCGTGCCGTCAACCAGCGAGCCTTCCTGGAACCCTAGCGCCGGTGTCCCGTCTGCGCTGAAGCCGAAGGAGAGATTCACGTGGTTGCGGTAGCCCTCTGTGACGGGGCACGCAAAGATGCCCACGAAGCGGTCATAGGCGGTGTCGTGGCCATAGACGCGCGAGGGCAGAAGAACGCGCATCACGTCCAGGCAATGACGCTTCTTGCGGTCTAGTTGCTCTTCCATGGCGAGGTGCTCGTACTGCGTCAGCTTGTTGCGCGACGCTGCCGGGCCGTCTGCGCCGTCGCCCTCACGTTTGCGCTTCGTTTGGCCTTTGTGTGTCAGCTCCAGGTCTCGTGTGGAGGCGGTCGCCTCCTCCCAGGCACGGCCCCTGTGGGAGAGCGTCTGCAGGAACGTCGAGGCCGCCGCGCGGTCTTCGGGGGTGTCGAAGGCCATAAAGAGAAACGCATTCTTGGGGTTCTTGTTGATGCGGATGAGACCCTTCAGTAGCGGCTGCGGTGGCGGGTCGCGCTGCTCTAACGGCAGGGCTTTGACAATGAGCTTCTTGATTGCCCTCACGGTGGAGTACTTGTCGTGCGTGTCCATCTTCAAGAGGTTGGCATTGCTGTGCTCGTGCAGCTGCACGGTGTCGGACCTGTGGACTGCCTGCTGCGGCTCGTCAGCCTCGGAGGATGGACCAGACATGGTTGCTCACAGAATAGAAACAATCGTTTAAAATCTAGCACACATGGAGAGATGAGAAGAGGGGGAGTCGAGAAGGCACAAAGTATTAAACAGAAGTGACGAGTATGCGGCGACAACGGTTCTCTCGGACAGGCAGTGAAAACCACCAGACAACGAGATGCCAGCGAACCGACAACGAGCAGACAGATCAAGTGCATGAACATCTTCGCTGGTCACGAAGAATCAATGGAGTCAACGTGACAGTGCTACTAAAAAGAGTCTAAAACCCACATTTTGTCAGGAAGAGCTTCACATGCTTCGTGAAAGAGCTTGCATGTTCATCCTTTTTTTCTTTTGCGCAACGCTGTAAACAACAAAGCCACGGCCGCATGTCGGCGAATGCGAAGTAAGCTCATTGATCCGCTACTCTTCAAATCGCCCCAGCATGGCGAACCTGCATGCAAACAAACTCCGCCTTCGCAGACCAAAGAGAATACTGCACAGCTGCCATTTAAGCCGTCCTCTTCACCAATACATGCACATTATTCTTAACGTGCAAGGACATCAAACAGAGATGAGCATCGGAAAAGAGAGCGTCTGACCACTGGCCAACGGCAAACGTAAATGCGGAGTGCCAAGCACCCGTTAATGCCTCCCCACCGATCTCCATACAAACACACAAACACAAACACACAAGGGAGAAAACGCGTACCTGACACGTATTAATCACTGTGAAGAACAAGCCAGAAGAGAGAGAAAGAAGTCCGATACAACGCGGCTCAGTCGCTTCTACGAAACCTGTGATGGGAGAAGCAGCAGCACCTACTCGTCACGTCCGCTTTGCGGCGGCCTCCACGCGGCTCTCCACGACAGACGCTAACGCATGCACAATCAGATCCAACGAGGCACCGTACTCCTCCTCCGGAACGGCCGCAACGATGACGTAGTGAAAACGACCGTTGGAATTATAAAACGCCCTGCACAGTCCGTGCGCGAGAGATTGCCCCGGTGCTGGTGTGAAGGAGATTTCTGCCACGGCGCTGTTGAGCTGCTTCGCGAGTGTCTGACACGTCCCGTCAGGATCTTCTGGCGCCGGCACGGCACCTTCCGCAGCCGCATCGCTGGCTTCCCTGCACGGAAGTTTAATCGCCGTGGCTGCGGCGGGAGGCTCCCCTTCTGCGACGAGCTCGAGCGAGTTGTTCACCGACGCATTAAACCGCTTCAGAAAGACGTGGAGAAGCTTGCTGCTGTCCGGCTGCTTTACGCGCTGTTTATAGGCAAAACAGTTGAGGGAGATACCGTGCACGGCGGAGTCACCGGCGGTGCTGCTAGAAGGCGGGGGTGGGCTACACTGAATGGCGATGCTATTGTCGCGCAGCAGCTCCGTCACGTGCCAGCTGGAGGGCACGTTGTACTGCACGTAGAAGTCCATCCGCTCACACAAGTCCCACGGGACGTCACCGACGGTGGTGTCGGCAGCTGCGTTGGACGAGGCTTTCCTTGTTGAGGGCGATGCATCGCGCAGAAGCCCTGAAGCGAAGGTCATGCCTTTTCCTAAGATTCCTTGCGGTTCAGAGGAGTTGCCTGCATCAGCTGCGGAGCTGCCGGCCCATCTCGCTATCACGGCGCTTCGTGACACTCGGTCACGAGACTCCTCCGCGATGCAGCGCACGGGCGCGGTGGATGCTCTTATCGCGGAGCCAACACAAAAACGCCGCAGTGCACGCATCTTATTAGTGTATCGTGTAGTGCTGCCAAGTTGCGCTTGCAGAGACAATTCAGCGAGAGGTGTAGGAAGCAAACTGAGGCGAGTTGAGTCTGAGAAGCGCTGAGACGCGTTGCTCTCGGGGCAGGTTCACTCGTACAGCAGATGTACAGGCAGCTGCGCCACAACAGAAGAAAACAATGAAAGAGTCTGTGATGGTAGAAGAAACTGTTGCTGTGATCATACGTAGAAATCTGAGAAATGGTGCACGCCGCGCGCGCGAGACGCTTGACCAGCGCAAACGGACCAACGCAAAAGAAAAGAAAGAGCGAGCTGCGACGCCCTTCTCAGCCGTACCACCGAGAAATGGATGTTATCGCGCTCAAGCCTGTGCGCTGCTGCTCGTGATTCTCGCGCAGGACACTCTAAGCTTTGGAGAGAGAAGAAGAACGACAAGAAGAACGATAGGAAGGAAGAGGTAAAGGAGATGAGAGACATCACAAAGAAAGAAAAGCAAAGGATGAAAGCCGCAGAACCATCTAATAACAAAGCAGTATAATCAGCTGTAACTGCATGTGTGGAGCCCGCAAGGCAAACACGAAACGCACAAATGAGCCTTTCAGTCGCGCTTCTTTTCGCATCTGCTCATTTTCAACTGGCGTCGCGCAACCGCCACCACCGTTGCACGTGCACGTCACAGAATGAAGGCCCTTTTCTCTCTTTGCTGAGATTTTGTAAGCTTGACAACAACAATAAATACTGCCTTGCAACGGCGTCACCACGCAGCAGATACCCAGCTTGTAGTCTTTCCGTATGTGACGACCCATTTCTCTGCATACAAGCAGCCAGCAACGACAGCAGCCTATCAGGTCAGCAGCGACGACGCTGCACCATCACCCACTGGCCTCCGTTTGCTGAGCCACGATCTGTTTCCACTTTCTCGCAATGTACTTGCGCGACTCAAACAAAACGTACCGAGTGATCTCACGTCGCAGCAGGAGAGGGGAGTTGACAATCTTCGGCTCTGCTTCCTTGAGAAAGTCCTTTAGCGCGTCCTTGGCCAGCAGCGTTGCCAGCTCATTCGGCGTCATCGTCTGCGTCTCAAAGGGATCTGTTCCGATTTTCGACAGCACACTCTTGAGTCGGTTGTCGCACACGTGATTCAGCAAATGCTGCGTTGCCGCACGTACTTCAGGGTCGCGAATGACGCTTTCGATATCCGGCAGCTGCACACCAGACACTTGAATGGACTCACGGCGCACCTCCTCCATCTCATCCACGCGCGGGCCCTGGAGGCGATCGTTCGATATTTCTTGGAAGGCGGTAGACTTGAACTTGAGAATGGTGAGCACCGCCGGGTCAAATCCGGGCTTGCCGCGCTTGTGGTGCTTCACTACGAGGCCTTCAGCCCAATTACCCTTGAGCGGATAGTCGCCCATGCCCACCAACGGCGGGATGGTCGTGGTGAACGTCTCCACGTCGAAGGCGGCCACCTTGCTGAGAGGCCCTCGAATGATCGCCTTGGCGTACAGCAGGCCCGGGATGGCCTCGAAGATCGCGGTGGCCTCATCGTAGGTCAGCGTAACGTAGTCCGTATCCTCTTCGTTTAATTTGTACTTGATGTCGAAGGCGTAGAAGTGGAGATCGGGGCAGTACTGCGGAAAGGGGTCGCTTTGCACGGCGGTGATGGAACGCGCTCTGCCGCCCACAAGGACGCTCTGACGTTTTTTGGGCACATTTGGGTGGTCGTACTTGCCGCCGAAAAGCTCGCCGTTTACGATGATGCTGCTCGCGGACACCTGCAGTTGCGTGGTGAGCAGCTCGCGGCATTTTTGCGCGTATAGCGTGAGGTCGGGAATGAGAATATGGTAGCCAAAGAAATGTTCATTGGGTGGCATAATACCGCTGCGCTTTGCGTATCGAATCGTCTTTCCGTGATTGATGGAGTAGATGCCAAAGTTGGCGCCGTGCACCTTCTCTGTCGCAATCCACTCGTCATTGAACAGTCCGGCCGCCTTCAGTCCGCTGATGCGCCGTGCGTTGGAGTTTTCAATCTCGGTGTACCGCTCAAACACCTGCTCTTTTTCATCGGCCCACAACAGAGGCGTCCGACGGAAAAAACGCGCGAGCTGGCAGCGGCGAAACATTTTAAAAGTACCGTGGAAGTTCTGCTTCTGTTGCTGCTGCGCCACACGCCGTTAGGAGAAAAGAGAAGATAGACGAAAGGGAGTGAGCACAGGCTGACGATCGCACACCGCCATCCCCTCATCGAAAGGCATTCCGCAGGGAAAATAATGGAAAACCCTCAAAAAGCGCAAACTGGCAACCAGCAATCGCCGAGTAACACCTTGAAACTATGAGAAGCCTAGAAGGGTTGATTTCTGTCCTATTAAAGCTTTTCCTCCTGCCTCTTGGAATCTACGCTGAGGAGGCGTTCTTGCGTGTGCCGCTTCTTCCCGACTATTAAGTTGAAACGAACGAGCAAGACATCCTTCATACACACATCAGCATACACCAAATCATTTGCACTTCTGAAAGAGAGAATTCATTTATTGCAATAAGTCACCCCCGCCACACACGCAAAGAGCTCTTAAACCAAGGGTATCACCTCCTTCGGCTGCACAAGGGCAATCTTGCTCGGACAGCAGACAAACACATCCGCGTCTGGAAAGGGGTTTAGCGGGGCAACGTGCGCCGCATAGATCGGGAATTGCGCCGCGCTGCACATATACACAACATCCTGACGCACGTCGGGTTTGCGCAGCCGCAGCTCGCGTGCGTGCTTCTCGATACACAGATAAGTGGGAATCACATCGGGGCTGATGAGGTCGACCTTCGACAGCGCATGTGAGCCGCTCTGCCGGACAATCATCACAGTGCTGGAATCCTTCAGCACGTTCATCTCGTTGCACATCTCATTTACCGCGACAGCTGGCAGCGAGTCACCGTCTACAAAGGCAACGATGCTACGCGGAATTCGTTTCGGCTTAATGCGAACGCCAGCCTGTACGTCAAGGTCGTGATTCGTGCGTCGCAGCAGTTCGTCTAAGATAGTGACGTCGTCTACATCTGCATGAGCCATAACGCGTTCCAACGTGGTGTAAGAGGTGCGACCTTGTCTCGCACGCCGGCTGCAAAACTGCTGAATCTTCTGAAGAGCTGCCTGGGTCTTTGAAGGATGGGATGGGAGCGTCGCAGCGCCGGGGAGGCTGTTGTTATGAACGGGCCGCACGTACCACTTGGACAGGAGATGATTGCCCTCCTCTACCTGAAACAGATCAGGGCGTTGCTGGACCGCCTCCTTCAGCGTCACTGCCCCTAGCAACATAGGAGAAAAGGCTGGAAATTCATCCTCCAACAACGCCTGCAGTTGGGAGCCGGAGACGCCGGTCGTGGGAATGCGTGCGGAGATGCGTGCCATCCACCAATAGCCAGCACTTTCCCCTCCGGTGCTCTTAAACAGCTTCCGCGTTGCTCCAATAAACATATTACCAGCAGTGGCCCTACACAGCGGATCAACACCAGATACAACGAGGCAAAAGCTCCACTCTGCTTTTCTTTGCACCGCTAAAAAAAAAAAACAGTACCTAAACTCTTTCCTCCACCACCAACAACGAAAACAGTAAGGAGATGAGAAAGGGCGTATGCGATGGGCGTGGGGAACGGGCAAGAAGTGCGACGAACGGAGAGAGCTGAGAATCCTTTCTCACCATCGTAGACGTCATGAATTTCACACCCTTGCTTTCTTCTCTTTTCGGCAGTGGTGTAAACATCGATTTGTACAATGGCAATCAGCAAGGGACACCCGCTGAGAGGCAGCACCAGCAGCGCTCGTTTTGGTCTTTGTTCAACAGTTTATTGATTATTGAGTTCATTTTACACGTGTTGTACAACATCGGGTGCAGGGTGGAAAGCATACGCGATTACGACAAAATACAAATAATACGCATCTGCCATGCGTTGATAAGCCACCTAAAGGGCGCGGGGCCCCGAGAAAAAAAAAAGAGAAACATATGTGAAGCCAGGCTGCGATCAACGAACAAACGACAGTCGTTGCGGGTACAAATACAAGAAGTGACGAGTGAATCTGACGCATTGCTGACGATATACGTATATGAAGGAGGGTCGTCGATGACGGTGACGGTGGAAAATGTGAGATGAAAAACTGCAAGACTCCATTCGATTCAACAACTGAAACGACCACTCTCACGCAACACCCAGTCCCCAATAGTAGCAATACGAGAGAATGCTTCAGGAAAGCAATTATTCTTTGTGTTACCTCGCTGAAGGCAGCTGCCTTGTCTCACGAAAGTCGGTCACGCTGAAAAAGGAAAGCAGTCGCGCACACTTGCATTAACAGTTCTGCGATTCTCGTACCACCAGGAGAGCATGACTTGCTGAATAGCGTTGTTCCCACACGTAACACAGCAGAAACAATTGAAGAAAAGAAAAAGCTCAAGTCAGCACGGCGTGACACGATCAAAGGAGAGAAAAAGCTCAATTAAGAAAACCATAATTGTTACTTTGATTTAAAAAGGAAAACCGGCAACGGCGACGCCGCACAGACAAAAACAAGGACGGTTCAGCAACACCAAAAATAACAGTCCGTATCATAACGGTGGAAAGCGACTGATCGTTACGCGCTAACAGAAATGCACTTTCTTAACAGTTCTTTGTTTCTATTCCTCTTTGGGTCCTTCAGAGCGCATCATCAGAGAGGCAATGATCAATACATGATGCTTCACGCCCACCTCCATACCTGCTTCATCTATGCGAAACTTGGAGCTATAGTTGTGATTGTTGGTGTCGCCAAGGCCACTTTTGCCAACGCCGAGCCAACACAAGCACCCAGGAACCACTGCCTGGTACTCCGAGAAGTCAGCCACACCCAGCAGAGGAGTCGGAAGCTCGTGATAATTGCCTTCACCTACAAGACGCACGGCTGCTGCTCGTGCCACTTCGTACGCCTTTGGGTCGTTGTAGGTCACGATGTTCGGCTCCAGCCAGCTCAGCTCGTACTCTGCACCGTGGGCCTTCGCGATGCCCGCAACAATCTCCTCCATCAAGCCGGGCACACGGGCCTGCACATCGCGGTCGAGGCACCGCAGCGTACCGCGCATATGCACCGTGTCAGGAATGACGTTGTAGCTCCCTCGCCCTGCCTCAAACGTGGTGATGCTCAGCACAGGAGCCGCTAATGCGCTCACGCGACGCGAGACAACAGATTGCAGATTAGCCACAACTTCACATGCCACAAACACAGGGTCGATGCACAGCTCCGGCTGCGAGGCGTGACCGCCGGCGCCGCGGATCACAATGTCGAAGTCATTGCACGCGCCCATCATCGTTCCAATACGACACCATATGGAGCCCGACGGGCGCATCACATCCACATGCAATCCGAAAATCATGGACACACCATCCAACACGCCAAGGCTCACCAGCTGCTTCGCACCGCTCGGAATCACCTCCTCCGCGTGCTGGAAGATGAAGCGCACCGTCCCGCGGATGCGGTCGTGCATCTGGCACAGCACCTTCACCGCGCCGAGCAGCATCGCCGTGTGCGTGTCGTGGCCGCACGCGTGCATCACGCCGGGCCGCTTGGAGCTGAAAGGCTCGCCGCTCTCCTCTTGCAGCGGCAGCGCGTCCATGTCCGCCCGGAGCGCGTACATCGGGCCCTCGCCAGCGCCACCCTTCAGGTCAGCCACCACGCTGTTTGGCGTCAGGCGGCGGATGTCCAGCGGCGCAGGCATCTTGCCGAGGATGTCCGCCACATAGTCGGCGGTGGGCTGCTCCTCGTATGCAACGTACGGGTTTTCGTGGATGTGGCGGCGCCACTGCACAACCTCCGGTTGGACCGCCGTAATCAACGTTTGGACAAAAGACATGACGCTGTACAACGCAAATGAGGGGAAAAACACCTGTGTGCGGTAATAAGTCGAGGAAAAGGGACACCAGGAAGAAGAAAGTGTTCAGTTTTGCATTGAGGCAGATACCCGTTTGGTGGTAACACGGATGCGGCCTTCGGCATCCTTTGTAAAAGCCATATCCACGCCATGGCGCACTTGCCAGTGAAACTTACTAAAGCTCGTTTAAGCGACCAAAAAAATGGGTGGTGAACCTCGCTTGCACATAGATTTGACTTTTTGCGTGGACGTTAGGAGAAGAAATAGAATACAACACGTCATCATGAACCGCGTAGTCAGCGGCATGCAGATCAAAAAAGAAGGTATAAGTTAGTGCTAAACGAGGCATCTCAGCTTCATAAAACCGCTGAGAAAGGAAAGGGGGGAGGGAGGCCGTTAAGAAAAGAAGAAACGAAAACACAAGAGTCTCTCACAAGCTGACAACACACGTAGAAAGAAGTAGAGAGAGTCAGCAATACTCATGTTAATGAAAGAAGTAAGAAACCACTCCACGGAAGAATGGAGAGAGCTGTTCCAGCTCTTGCAGTTGTGACCCCCTGCGGAGAAGGAGCCCACGACACCACAAAGTGTGGAACACGCCGATATGCTCATGAAAGTCCGATACGAAAGAAAAAATGAAAGAGACTTTGCGCTCACCGCGGAAGCACCAAAGGATTCAGTCGATCAAAAGACGCCTGATCACGTTCACATGGAAGCCGACGCCGTAAGGAAAAGCACCTTCGTTGACGCGAAACTTGCAGTTGTGTCCGGGAGCAACTGGACCGTCACCGTCGGGGCGGGTGCCAATATACACATAGCACCCAGGAACCACTGCCTGGTACTCCGAGAAGTCCTCCACACCAAAGCCCGGATGATCGAGGGCTTGATAGTTGTCGCCCACCACATCATGCGCGGCCTGTACAGCAATTTCGTACGCCTTTGGGTCGTTGTAGGTCACGATGTTCGGCTCCAGCCAGCTCAGCTCGTACTCTGCACCGTGGGCCTTCGCGATGCCCGCAACAATCTCCTCCATCAAGCCGGGCACACGGGCCTGCACATCGCGGTCGAGGCACCGCAGCGTACCGCGCATATGCACCGTGTCAGGAATGACGTTGTACGCACCACCACCACCGTTGATCTGCGTGACGCTCAGCACAGGTGCATGCAATGCGCACACGCGACGCGAGATGATGGTCTGCAGGTTGCAGATCACCTCCGCGGACACGACAACAGGGTCGATGCACAGCTCCGGCTGCGAGGCGTGACCACCGGCGCCGCGGATCACAATGTCGAAGTCGTTGCACGCGCCGTAGAGCGTTCCCGGGCGGGTCGAAATGATACCTGTGGGGTACTCAGCAGCAACGTGCAATCCGAAAATCATGGACACACCATCCAACACGCCAAGGCTCACCAGCTGCTTCGCACCGCTCGGAATCACCTCCTCCGCGTGCTGGAAGATGAAGCGCACCGTCCCGCGGATGCGGTCGTGCATCTGGCACAGCACCTTCACCGCGCCGAGCAGCATCGCCGTGTGCGTGTCGTGGCCGCACGCGTGCATCACGCCGGGCCGCTTGGAGCTGAAAGGCTCGCCGCTCTCCTCTTGCAGCGGCAGCGCGTCCATGTCCGCCCGGAGCGCGTACATCGGGCCCTCGCCAGCGCCACCCTTCAGGTCAGCCACCACGCTGTTTGGCGTCAGGCGGCGGATGTCCAGCGGCGCAGGCATCTTGCCGAGGATGTCCGCCACATAGTCGGCGGTGGGCTGCTCCTCGTATGCAACGTACGGGTTTTCGTGGATGTGGCGGCGCCACTGCACAACCTCGGGAATTACGGCGTGCACCAATTCAGCGGCAAGAGAGCCCATGTTGACGATAGAAGTGTATTGGTGGGGTTGAATTTCAAAAGGGTGTTTGCAGTGGTAAGAGGGATGATGCTCAATGTCGCAGAGCTGAGATGGCGAAAGCGAGAGAGAGCAAGAAAGAAAAAATGAAAGGAGGTAGAGGAAAAGAGAGAAGAACAGAGAAGGAAAAAAAATTAAGCGGAGGGAAATCGAAGCGACGGTATCATTGAGTGGCGAGTCCTGGGTGCTTGTAACGGACTGCGTCAACGAGTACGTTAACATCTGAGTTCTTCACTGCTCTCTCTAACAACCAGGACACGAAAAAACTCGTGTTTTCTATTTCAAGTCAGGTTTCCAGTACTCGACGCTTCCAGCATCATCGTTGCTCATTTTCCCGCCCTTCACATTGAAAAGAAGAAAATAAAAAGCCTCCTCAGTCTTTTGGAGTAGGAGAAGCACTATGAAGGCAGCTAGAAACGCAATGTCCCTTTTAGAGAATGCCGTGAGATCGGCCTTCGTTGCCGCCTTGCGGTTGTTAAGGGACCCAATTAAGTTATGAGCACTAAGGATTTAAAACAACAACGTATGCGACATCATAAGGCGCTTGCCACTAAGAAGAACGTGACGGTAAACGAGGAAAGCGCTAGTGAACGCTTCACAATGCTCTTGTGGCGGCTGTTGCTAACAGCCCCCGTTCGTCTTTCCATCTCCGTATCCGAGCCTGCTCCATGTTACGTGCTTTCTACAATAGAAGTACCTCGTCTGTAAAGCCATTAACAATAAAAAAGAATAAAGTGCCGTGCCACAGCTCGCAACACGACCTTTAGTTACTGAAAACGTGGTGAAACGGTTTCGTCAATCACGAGAACCGATTTATGTGTTTCCCGGCGCACGCTTTTCTTTCGGGAATTTAGTCCATCATAAGCTTCATAATAGTCCCCACGTGCATTTTGACGCCGTTCTGTAATGCGGACTCCTCAACTTTGAATTTGGAGCTGTGCTCCGCGTACGTGGAGCCGAACACCTCGTCGCGGATACCAATCAGCGAGAAGCAGCCTGGAATCACGGCAACGTACTCCGAGAAGTCCTCCACGCCAAACATGGGTTCGGACTTCACGACAAATTTGTCCACGCCAACTATTTCTTCTGCAACGCTCTTTGCCACTTTCGTACGCCTTTGGGTCGTTGTAGGTCACGATGTTCGGCTCCAGCCAGCTCAGCTCGTACTCTGCACCGTGGGCCTTCGCGATGCCCGCAACAATCTCCTCCATCAAGCCGGGCACACGGGCCTGCACATCGCGGTCGAGGCACCGCAGCGTACCGCGCATATGCACCGTGTCAGGAATGACGTTGTACGCACCACCACCACCGTTGATCTGCGTGACGCTCAGCACAGGTGCATGCAATGCGCACACGCGACGCGAGATGATGGTCTGCAGGTTGCAGATCACCTCCGCGGACACGACAACAGGGTCGATGCACAGCTCCGGCTGCGAGGCGTGACCACCGGCGCCGCGGATCACAATGTCGAAGTCGTTGCACGCGCCGTAGAGCGTTCCCGGGCGGGTCGAAATGATACCTGTGGGGTACTCAGCAGCAACGTGCAATCCGAAAATCATGGACACACCATCCAACACGCCAAGGCTCACCAGCTGCTTCGCACCGCTCGGAATCACCTCCTCCGCGTGCTGGAAGATGAAGCGCACCGTCCCGCGGATGCGGTCGTGCATCTGGCACAGCACCTTCACCGCGCCGAGCAGCATCGCCGTGTGCGTGTCGTGGCCGCACGCGTGCATCACGCCGGGCCGCTTGGAGCTGAAAGGCTCGCCGCTCTCCTCTTGCAGCGGCAGCGCGTCCATGTCCGCCCGGAGCGCGTACATCGGGCCCTCGCCAGCGCCACCCTTCAGGTCAGCCACCACGCTGTTTGGCGTCAGGCGGCGGATGTCCAGCGGCGCAGGCATCTTGCCGAGGATGTCCGCCACATAGTCGGCGGTGGGCTGCTCCTCGTATGCAACGTACGGGTTTTCGTGGATGTGGCGGCGCCACTGCACAACCTTCATTCCTCACTGCGTCGATAAGAGGGCGGGCTGATTGCATTGTGTTCAATCAAAAGATTCGATAATGTTGTAACTACACGCTGTAATCGAGAAAAAAATAACGGTGTCAAGATGGAAGTCTGAGAAGCTGATGAGTAAACAGAGCTGAGCAACGACAGTTGTGCTCACGTCAAAACCATATAGGAAGTAACAAAAAATAGAGAAATTTGATGGAATGATGAATAGTTGTCTGCAAACTCTAACGACAATAAAGAGAACCTTATGCCATTAGGGTCTTTTCGTTCCCGTTACGCGCGCTGTTGACAACAGTTGATCTGGCACAATATGAAGAATAATGATGATCCTAACAATAAACGCGTCGTCAGAGGGGAATTCTGCAGTTCAGATCATTCAATAACGCAGTCAGAAATCGAAGTATAGCCTGGCTGCGTCCCAACCTAAGACCTAACTCGACATAACACGTTACGCATCTTGAACTATGAATGCCTTATGGGATTTGTTAACACACTGGGAGAATAAAGGAAGTATCTGTAAAATTTAGTGAAACCAAAAAGAGAAGCTGTGGTGCAAACGTCCGATTGCCGGTTTACTTTCGGCGGCGAGCCCGACGGCGCTTATTCTGCTGCAACGCTTTCTTGGAGAAGCGCGCGTCCGCGTCGCGGATTTCCTCCGACCCCCAGCGTCGCAGCTGTGCCTCCGTGGCAGGCGTTTTGCGGTTGCGCTTGTACCAGTCACGAACGGTGGCAGCCAACGAGTCATGATGATCGTCTGGGGAGCGGCCAAAACGTAGCGGAGGCGTTTCTGGTGCTTCGAGCGTCCCGTGACGATACATCTCCCTCCACTTTTCAAGGTAGTCGTACTTTGACTTGCGTGTCGGTCCATGTCCGATAAGCTCCACTGCGTTCTCCTCCTTGTTCTTGAGTACGTCGACAAGAGCATCGGTCTTGCTTGCAGCCTCGTCCTGCAGCTGCGAATAAAAGACGTTGTCCGACTCGAGGGCAACTTCGTCGTCACTTTTGTACGGTGCGAGGGAGTCCCGCTGCTCGCCCTGCCAAACCAACTCCGCAGAGGGCGACACAGCCTGTACCATTTCACTTGCCGGCTTTGCAGTCCCATCGTCGTAGCGGTGCTGCGGGTAGGACCGCCAATCGGCCAACTCGCCTGGTGTGGAGGCGTTACTCTCCTCAATGTCGAGCTGGTCACCAGCCACGCGCACTGCCTTGCCAGCCTCGGAGAACTCCGGAACAGCAGCCTTGCCATCTAAGACGGCTTGGAATTCCTTCTTGACGAGAGCCCGTTCGCGCCACAAACGCACGCCCCACCCTTCTGGGCCGCCGCCGTCCTTGGGGTATGCGAGCTCCCCACCGTCTAGGGCCCACAGGCCACCTGCCACTTCGCCCTCCTCCTTGCGGATCTTGGGAAGCAGCTTCTGTTTGTGCAATGCCGGTACATCAGCTGGTGTTTTGAAAACAGAGTCGATGCCCATCCGTGCGAGTGCCGCGTTCTTCTCCTCAAAGGTTTCGCCTCTCGGCGTGCCATCCGCGTTCTCCTCCGCAAATAACTCGTGCTTACTGATGGTGTTCTTCTTCCACTCTTCCCACCACGCCAGTGTGGTGTTGACTGGGACGGGTAGAGGCTGAGCGACCGCCGCCGCCTCGCTCTCGGTGGGCGGCGACGGAGTTGGAGACGGTTGTAAAGGGAAGTCCACACCCTCCTGCTTGCGCGCGAGATACTCTTCTCGAGCCTGCATGATTCGGCGGGCACGCCGCTTCATATCGCGTTTGTACCCCGCCGCGTTGTTTACACGGACAATCTTCTTGAGGAGCGACGCACGTACCGGAATGCGCGCATTTTCCATGGCCTCGAGGTAATGCAGAGCGCGTGCCGCCCCGCCCTCCTCGCCCGACGAAAGGTGCATAAAGATCAGGCACTCGTACGTGCGGCGACTAGGCACGAGATCTTCTTGAAGGACCATCTGCTGGAACAGCTTCTCGGCCTCGTCGATGCGCTGCTGGTGCGCCAATAAGGCAATGTAGCACTCGTAGCTGTACACGTCCTTCTTGAGGTGCCACTCATCAAAAGTGTTTGTCCATATTTTGTTCGCTTGCTCCTCAAATTTACCAATCGCGGTGGCGTTGTCAGCCAGGTGCTCGACACTGAGGATGGCGGTCTGGCAGCACAGCCGCAGTAGGGCGTTCACGAAGGGAGTTTGCATCTCCCACCCTCGCCGGACGACCAGCTCGTAAATCCCGAAGCAGGTATCCATGCGATCTAGCCAGCTCGCGTAAATGTCCGTTTTCGCCTCTTTCATCTGCTCGTAGTTGGCACGGATAAGGTGCTGCACGTGCGCTTGAATGGCCCAGGAGAGGTGCATTAAATTGACGGGAATGCGCTCATCGCGCATCTTGGCCAGATACTTCTCCACGCTTTCGACGTCCCCCACCACTTGGGCAGAGCGAATGAGGTTCAGGTACGTCGTCGCGTTCCACGGTATTCCCATCAAGTCCATTTTTTGTGCCAGCTCCTCGCAGCGGAGCCGCATCTCGGGAACAGGGCTCTGACTCAGTGAGAACATGAGGGCGTCGTAGTGGGGCCGCGCTGCAATGTAGCCGTAGACGTTTTCCATCTGATCAAAAAGCTGCACCGATTCGGCCAACGAATTCATCTGCGAGGTATCTTTGCCCAGCGCACGCAGTTGCAGCGCAAAAGTCACCTCGTTTGGCTCAATATTGGCGTACATCTTCATGTTATCAATGATGTGCGACACTGCGGGGTAATCGCGCGCATTGTGGAAGGCGCGCATAAGCTCGTGCCAGTTTCCAATACGAGGCGTTATGCCATTGCTCTTCATCTCTTCCACAAGCGCCATCGACTCGTTCGCGTTTCCGTTGGACGAGAAGTGTTGCATGAGAGATTTGTACATTTCCGCGTTTGGGCCGAGTCCGACCTCGCTGGCGAAGCGAAAAATGGCGCGCGCAGCTTCATAATAATGTTGCCGTGAAAGGGCCGACAGCGCTACCACGAGACCTTCCTCAGTGAGGTCCAGTCCTGCTCCAGCAAGAATAACACTCAACTCCTTGCTCGCATTGGTTCTCTCCGATTCATCATCGAGGTAGGCGATGGGAATGTTTGTTTCCCTCGAGAACTGCTCTACAGCCATTATCGGTCGGGTCTCCGTTTCCTCTGCCGCAGTCAAATCTTTGATGTCATCCTCAAGGGCATCGTACTTCTGTGAAGCAGTGAGCAGAGGCTGTGGCTGCTGAAGCTGATGCCCGTTTCCTGCGTTCAGGGCCGCGTACGTGGAGGAGAAGCGTCCAGATCGAGGAACGTTGGAGGGAGGAGAGCTGACAAGGCGATCACCAAATTCGAGCAGCTGCTGCATCGCTACATCGTTCTTTTCCACAGAAGAGACGGTGTCGTCGTACTCCTCCTCTGCCGGGAACTGCCACGCGTACGCCCAGCGCTCGATTGTGTCATCCCATTTCCCCTGCACAGGAGGGCGGTAATCCGCAGGGAGAGTACCTTTTCGGTACATCTCTATCTCCATCTCCTTCGCGCTGGGACCCATGGCCACAGAACCTTTCAGCGCGACCTGCTTGAGGGCCTGCGCGTAAGGAGAGAGCGCCTTTGACAACGTCTTCCGTGATGAGAAAAGCATCTTTAGACGTAGATTAAGAACAACAACAATAAATGCATATAATGACTTTTCTGTTCAGCAACGACGTGTAAAAAAAAAAAGAGTTCAGCGTAGACGGAAGAGAAAAGAAGAACGGAAAGCTAACTTCAACTTCGCATAGAAGAGAGTTGATAGAAGGAGTAATTCCCACACTGTTACTCATACATATGCGCGACAAAAGAAACTCTCAGAAAGAGACTAAAATACTTTTGCCCTCTCATTCTTTCTTTCAATAAAATGCCTGTCAAAGTTCACAACAATTATGTCGTCCCCACAATCTCTGAAGCTCGAATGCGGTGACATGGAGCTGTTCTTCTTCTTCCTTGTATTCTCTATTTGCATATTACTTATTTTAGAACGATAGCTTTACGTTCACCGAAGAAAGCGATCAATCGTTCTTTTTTTCCTCCACAGTCTTCTCCGCAGCACTCTTCTCCTCGGCCTCGCGCTGCTGCTGTGAAGCGAAATCTAATCCGGAACTAAAGACGATCTTCATCAGCCAGTTTGTTGACGCGGTGAGACCGAGGCCGAGAATACCAAAGATCCAAACGTGCACGTTCTTTGGCATCGAGCAGACGAACATCAACCACACAACAAAAAGCGCCAGCATGATGACATTAAAGCTAATCCAAACCACAGGGGACAGAGAAGACCCAGGAGTTAAGATGTGATTAAGCATGCGCGCCATGAGCGGCAGACTCTCCTCGCCCTCCTCCTGCGGCTTGACTTCTTCAGCTTCATTTGACCGGCTCATCTTCTACGAAGCAACAGCTAGTTCCTAGAGTGTTGCAGAATTGTCTGCACACCACGTGTGATGAGACACACAAAAAGACGAAACAAGGGAATCAAAGAAAAGGAGAGAAGAGGAAACCCAGACAAAAATGAAAGAAAGTGACGGTCGCCAACGGGGTCGACATTAGTTTAAACGCATGCGTCCTTCAGGCACGGGACAGGAAACGATATCGAAAAGCACGTTCTGGGGTTGATAGTGAACCCGTCGGCTTCCATTTAGAAATTGAGGGAGTAGGCACAATTAAACGAAGACCTCGTTTTATTTTGAATCTCACAGAGGAAGAAAACTGCTGTTTTTGTTGCTGTACCCTTTTCGGTGTGGAGAAAAGGAAAGAAAGACGGTCGGTTGGGCCAGTTGCTTGCATTGGCAAGAAAAAAAACTTAAACGAATCGTCAACGACACTGATATCAAAATACGACCCGCCAGCTGATCTGCCGTCACGGAAGAGAAACCTGTATCTTTCCGTGCCAAGGGGAGGAAAACTCCAAGCACTGCGGCGACAACCAACTCAGGTGAAAATATTTGATGAGAAGCGAGGCGTCAGCAACGCTCAGGCCCGCAGCGGGAACTTCAACAGAGGAGACGAGCTTGAAACTTGTCTCGTTGCCTCCGCCGAAGAAACTCGCAATCGTCGACGCCTGGTTGGCTGACCGCCATATCTTGATCTCGTTCATCGACTCATCGATTGTGGCGATGTCAAGCGTCACGATGTTGCCGCTGTACGCCACACCGAGAACAGGCGCCTTGTGAGCCTTGAAGGACGAAACGAAGGTGGCAGTTTTCACGTTATACACCACCACACTGCCATCATGCCGGCCAATAGCGAGGTGGTTTTGGCTTGGCTGAAGAGAAACGTTGGGCAGCGACTCGAGAGAAAGCCGCAGCAGTTGTGAGACCGAAGCGCTGAGAATGGACGCCTCGTCTTTTGTTCGTGCGGAGTTGTCGCTCAGTCCGCTCATAAAAATTTCTGCAATGGCGCCAAATGCGCAGTAGGCTTCGTAAGGGAAGTTCTTGACGAGATGGGAAAGAAAGACGATGATGTACGGTCGGTACGACACCTGACTTTGGAATGTACGCAAAATGACTGTGGAGAGAAATTCCTGCGGATCGTGCGCGACAAGCCGTTCAAGAGCCTCGAGGGAAGCTTGCTTGATCGCTTCGTTCCTGCCGTTAAAGGCTTCGTTGACCAATGTTTTGACAAAAACCTGAAACTCCTCACCACCATTTACGACGCGAGCTACCTCGTAGCTCTCTACCAGGCCCAGAAGAAGCGCTGACTTGGAGAGGAACACGTAGTCGTCCTGGAATGCCGCCAGCAGACTTCGCAAAGTTTCGGCGAGGACATCGCGTAGGTAACAGCATAAATCGGTGTCATCTTTGATGTTATAATCCGAACGCTGCGCTGCTACGCTGGACACGATAAGTAGCGCCGAGATAGCTTTTTCGCGCCGCTGCGCATCACTTTTCACGGGAACACCGTTTTCCACTGCTTGGTCGGCAAGAGCAACGGCCGATCGCGCCTTCAACGTGCCCATTAGGGAGCGCATGCTGTCAACGGTGCTTTTGGAGATTAGCATCTGAAGAGCATACCTGAACGACGCTGATATGGATCGGCTCAGCGTGTAGAAGCGGGAAAGAAATAGCTGCACGGCATCAGCCTGTCGATGAGCGTCGTGCGTACTGTATTTGAGGAGCTTTGTGTTCAGTGATCGGATTGTGGTGAGAATAGCAGCCGCACTCACGGCATCAGAGGTGCGGCTCAGCAGCGCGCACAACATGAGGATGGCGCACCAGACGCATTCTTGCGTTTGCACCGGTGCGACAAGAAGACCCACGTCGTCCAAGGCTTCTCCGAAATTATCCGTTGTGGGAACGACCGCAGAGCAGCTTTCGCCAAGGCAGCGCAGGATCAGACTGATTGCGGAAATGTACTCTGCAGATGGCTGCAGCTGCTGCTGCTGCCCTGCGTCGAAAACGCTCACAAGAAGGTTGACGTTCACATTCACCGCGTAATGCTGTCCTCCAGCGAAAGCAAATTTGAGAATCTTCGTTGCCGAGGACCAGTGATACTCGAGGAGGTTGTCGAAGTGGCGATCCAGTGCGCCCTGGTGCGAACGAAACGCCCGCTCCAACCGGCATGTGGGTATGTGCCACAAGTTGCTGGAGGCGTCAGAGAAGAGAAACATGTACTCCAAATCACGGTCAAGCAAACACGACGTGAGCGGCCGGGAGGGAGAAGACATGGTTCGTGAGACGGCTGCGTTGTCGCCAGCGTGAAAGCACACCGTGCCCATCTCGGTGGAAATGCTCACAAATAACGTGTCATCCGCTTCATTCATTTTGGGAAGCCACAACAACTTGTCAACAACACCGCAGTGCGCGACGCGAACCCAAGAGCGTACTTTCCCGTCTACAAAGACGCAAATGTCGCCGTCATTGAAGCCGAGAACACACGCATATACCTTCTCGCGTGCTTCATAGGCAAGGCAGCTTGTTACGTCATGTGGGTGGTCTTGATGCGCGATGCACACCGTGCCGCGCTCGCCGTACAAAGATAGGTGACACTCGCCATTGCTGAAAAGGCACACAATGCCGTAGCTCTCGCGGATGGGAACAACTTCGAGCAGCAGTACATCCGTCAAAGTGGACGACGCGGAGAATTTGCGCCCGCCTCGAGTCTCAACTGCTTCAAAATTGCTCTCGTCTACCGCCGACTGAAGGAGTGCGGTGTCTCGCGCTAGCGGCGTGCCAGTGCGCCAGCATAAAAAGCTCCCGCTTTCCGCGCTTCCTAAACGGCAGGAAATCACGCTTGGTAGCGCAACCTGTCCCGAGACTACAACCTCTCGGATTGTGGACGTTTCAAAATTCATGACCACGTCGTAAAGCAGGCAACGCGCGTCGCTTCGGAGAACATAGAGGCGACATCCTTCCTCTGTGCGCTTCCAGAGCGCTGACCCAAAGGCGGCAGTTAGCTCATTTTTGAGCGCAGCGGTAGAGCTCAGCGTGGCGTCGTACCATGAAGAGAACGAAATGGCGTCAGGGTACACAACGGCTAATGCGCAGACACCTTCCCATTCGTGAACGTACAGGTTGGAAGGAACATGACTCCCGGGTGTTCTACTTTCGTCGTCCGTAAGAAGGAGAGTATAGTCTTCCCTTTTAAGTTTTGCATCGTGTGAGTCGCACCGCAGGACATTGAGAACGTAGCTATCAACGTGTGCGATGAAAAAAACCTGCGGCGTTAATCGACCGGCAGAATACGCAGCCACTGCGCCTATGCTATTGATACCGCTCGCACCGCGGTAAGAAACCACGTCCGCGTTTTCCGCGCAGACGGAAATGACTGATATGTTCTCTGTTGAAACGCAAATGCAGGTCGAGCTTTTCGGAGAGGAGCACCAGTGACAAGTATGATTGCTTTGGAGCCGCATCGACTTGCCAAAGATCTCCGTACGATCCGCGCTGACGAAAATTGCGCCTAGATAGCCAGCATCCGTTCCCACAAGTAATGTGCTGTCGATAAAGTCAACGAAGCTCGCGACGCCGTCAGCGGAAAGCTGTATTTCAGTTGAATTTCCTAGCTCTGGCAGCTCTGCAACTACACCATCAGCAAAGTCCTTCACTTCTTCATCGATCAAAGCGCTCAGCACCTGACCACCACCAGTGTGCCGGAAGAAAAAAGTGCCGAGAGCGATAAGCTCATTACCTGTGAAGCGATACAGAAAGCTGCTCGAGCCTGCACAAACACATACGAGGTCGCTCCCATTTTCGATGATTCGATACTCCTTCGAGGTAAAAGTAGTGCTACTTAATTCTAGCGCAAGCTTGAGCTGCTTGCTCTCTTTTGACTTAGAACGCAAAGGCAGAAAAACCTCCATTGCAATAAAACCTGGAAAAGAATGGTGCAAGCAAGTAGTGCAGAAAAAAAAAAAAGAAAAAGAGGGTCAAGATAAGAGAGAAATAGGAGTAGTGAAAAAAAAGGTACTTCGTTCGATGACTTCTTACGGCTTTGGTAAGTTTCCTTTAAAGAACAGATGGACAACATTAGCAAGTCATGGAGGTTCATTCGTTTCAAAATTTGATTTCGGCAACCGATAACAAAACTGCTTGCGCTTCTGCCAGTTCCTTTTTTTTTTTAAAGCTTAACACGATGCTGCAGCTACGAGGAAAATAAGGAAACCCAACCGATAATAATATCAAATGCGACCGTAGAGACGATGGTGCTCAGACAACAACGATGACAAGAAATAGACGGTGAAAGTAGCAGAGAAACCAACAACCAGAATAGAATTCATGATGATCTGGATTGAGTGTTGAGTTCATTTGTCAGCTCCACGATCCGTTTCACCAACACAGCTTTCTCGCGTGCTAGTGTTTCAACGTCGTGAAAGGCGTCTGTTTCCAATCCACCCATTACACTTTCGGGAGCTGCCGTGAGCTTTCTGTTAGCAGAGTCTGAAGGGGTGTTGTGCATAAAAACGTTGGATATTTTGGTGAAACCTTGCAGAGAATCGACAAGGTTGTCGATGCTCAGCTTCAGCGGTCGCAGAGGTTCAACGCTGCTCTGTCGACACTCATACAAAGTGTAAAGAACTCGTACGATTCCATCGTTGCTGGTAATTTTCGTGAAGTGAAAAAGTATGTTGGGCCCACGTGGGTTGATACTGGATGCTTGTATCGCTCTCTGAGTGTCTTCATAGGACAATTTGTGCGCAGGAGCTTCACAAATTGTCAAAAACCCGAGCTTCATAAGACCAGACGGAGTCTCCATCGAGTCCACCGCAGTCGCGCCAAGAATCACGACCTCACTCTTCTCAGCATTTTCCTGCCTATCAGTCAATTCGTGCGCACTTTGTCGCAATCCGTAAAGATAGTGAATATGTTTAAAGCCAGGTGAACAAGCATAGGCGGCACTGACAAATTGCGCAAGTGGTGTTCCGCTGATGAACACTCGGTCTGCAGCGCTCATGCTCGGTGTTGCCACGCTTTCTTCCGTGCAAAACTATGAGGTATTAGAAAAGATTAAATAAGACGAGCCAGATAGGAGAGAAACTCAGAACTCCAAAGACCAACATAGGTGGATCAGCCACAGTGTTTTAAGCGAGAGAAGACACAGATTGCACACTTCACCTGTGCGCACTGAGGTATTAAAAAGATACGTCACAACACAGATACAAAAGCAGCAATTAAACAGCACCGAAAAAACCGAGACTATTAAGCTGCTTGAAACAGACGCGAAGTTTCGGCACTGCACCTCTCATAATAGCCTTCAGATAAAGCAGCAATTGATTTTCGTTATTATTATTATGAGTGAGTTTTTTGTAAGTGATTGCTCACAGGCTGAAAAGACTAATCATCACCACAAGCGTTCTCGTTGGAGTCACCTTTACTGTCGATTACGCAAGTCAGACTTAAAGTTTGTGATATCCTACACAGCAGCCAGGAATTTTGACAAAATCATCGAATTCGAGACATCGCTTGTCCGGGCAGCATTTCCAGTACTTATAGGTGTCCCAGAACACAGGTCCGTCTTTGTGGTAGTGGCACGAAATTTCTGTGTTCTCCGCAACAACAAATTCCTTGGTGCAGCCAAAATTTCGGCACCTTGCTTTTCCGTCAACAACTTGCTGCGGTTCGTTGTGCATGAACGACGCACCTTCAAACTCACGCGGTCCTGTCGTTCTCTTGCCATCATGCATTCCTGACGGAGCGGACGCGGTTTGATTCAGCTGCTCAGCAGAGAGAGGAACGTTCGTAATCTCTTCCTTCGGAAAGCTGAAGGGCTTGTTTGCAGTGCTGTGGCGAGTGATACTGCAAGTGGGAATCTTCTGGAACGACTCCCAGTCACAAGCCTTCTTGTTTTCACAGCAGCCCCAGTGCTTTTCCAAATCGTGAAAGACTGGACCTTTGGTGTGGCAGTGGCAGGATGTATCCGTGTTGTCGTCTTCCTTATAGTACTGATTACAGCCGAAATTCGTGCAGCGCAACTCGCCATCGTGATTCTGTTTCACCTTCTCAGGGACGTTGTGAAGCACATAAACGTCGTTGTAGTCGGACATGCATTTCGAAACCACATCTTGCGGCTTCAGAAAAAGACCGCCACATTTCATGCACACGTCTTGTGCGGCAAGGTCAATGTCACGCTTTGCTTTGAGTGTTTTGAGGAAAAACAGTTGCAGTCGTTCGCATGGTCCCTCCATCCACGATGCAGGGACCTCAATCTTGAGCTTAAATGCCTCTGGTACCTCGTTCACAACACCGCCATCGGCGTCTCGGCCGTTGTAAATAAAATACACTTTCATTTTCAACACGTCGTTGTATCCGCGAAATGCAAAAAATCGTTCTTTCTGAAATAAAAGATTGAGAGTGCACTAGAAAGAGAAAAACGCTATCCCATATAAGCTACGCAGTGAGAGAAAGTTGTTCTTTCGCTTAAGGCTGATGAAAAATACCCGAGTAAGAACAGCACCGACAGCATAGAGAAGTATTTGACACAAGAAGGAGAAGTGTGGAAACGAAGGTAGCGATAGCAAAACCTATCCGCTGCAGGTCATTACATTGAGAGGAGAAAGGGGCGCGCTTTTTGCCGCATCATTGTACACCACGGATATTATTGCTTCCTGTGAAATAAGTAGGGTAAACTCGCTTTTTTGCGGAATGAAAATCGGAGCGTCTTGCTTTCTAATACGACCGAAGAGCTGTATGTATAGTAACTCTTCTGCACAGAAAAACAATCCTACAGCACGCCAAGCCCATGTTTCCAGATTTTGGGGTGTACGGACTTCGATGACCTCGTGCTAAGTGCTTGGATTAATGACAGTAGAAGACTCCATATAGCCTTCATCTTCTGCAGAATACGTCTCATCGAGCTCCTTTAAGTTCAAAGCAGCTTGTCCAATACAGAGAGTGAGACTGAGAAATTAAACACTGGAAGGAGAGGGGGACGACTTTTTTCGCAACACAGAAAAGTGAAAAACCTTATCTGCCGCATGCGCTCCTTTTCGATCAGGCTGACACTGTTGAACACGATGGTGCTTCTGACTGCCGAGAACTCCAAGTCGCTCCCACAGAGCAGATGCCCCATCAAGGCGTCCTCTATCTTCCAATCTGTGTCGTGAAGCATGAGATCATCGGAGCGCTGACGAACCACTGCATCTCGCCCAAGAGCTCCTTCTGCGAGGTGATTGCACCGGCGCCGTGGAAGAGGCAGAGGGCGTGGGCGTGGTGGTGTGTGGCGGGCTCTTCGGGTGCCGGACGCGACGCTGTCTACCGCTGCGGCACCACTCCTCCGAGCCGAGGGGCCAAAGAACGTGCGGCAGCTGCCCACCAAGAAGAAGCAACTGCAGCAGCAACGGCGGCTTCCTGCTGACCGGCGGAGTGTCGCAACGCCGCGTGCTCAACCGTCGGCACACCGCGCCAGCTCTAACGTGATGAGCCCTCCGCTTCCTCGGCGACCGCACGGCAACAGGCACAGGAGACGAGCAGGGGCGAAGAAGGGGTACGAAAGGGAGCTGACTCTTGCCGGGAGTTTCTTGCGGGACGGGGGGACGCCACCACGATAGCGGAGGTGAAAAGAGCACCAGCGCGAAGGAGAGGCATGACACAGTGAGGGCTGCGACAGTTGCGGCGATGTCTGTGCCATATGTGGTGGTGGTCGACTCGAGGGCCTGGCCACGCCGAACATAACACGGCCCTCTGCACGGCATGAGAGCCGGACACTTTACTGAGCGAGCAGGCACGCGAGCACCGTGTACAGGGGGGTAATGGTCCATCTGTGGGCTGTTACCTTGCTGGAGACGTGTGACGATGGCGATTCCCACGGCTTAGGGGTAGCCGCTCTGGGAGTGCTGCGAGTGCGGCCCAAACTGGGGAATCTGCCGCTGTGCACCGTGCGGGGGACGCTGACACTGCTCCGTCTGGTGCGTGTGTGTGGCCTGACGGTGAGTGGCTGCGTGGGGTGTATGGCTGGCCGGGTGTGCTGTGGGGTGAGCGTGCTATAGAGGGCTCTCTGCCTCTGAGTGTGTGGTGCTGCAAGAGACGGAGGGGGCAACATAGCGTATGTACATGG